ATCTTTTATTTGGATGTCAGGATGCTTGGTTCTTTTTCTAAGGGAGGAGAGAATTGATGTCACACTAACAATTTCCTGCTGGCTGCCATGTGAGGAACAGACTAGAGAGAAGCAAGGAGGGAGTCCTTGGGAGGGGACTGAGGGCAGCCAGAAGGACGGTGCTGGCTCGGACCCGGGGAGGTGTGTGAGAAGATGGGGAGAAGCAGTCTGAAAACAGCTTTAATAGAAAAACCAGCAGGACACCAGACAGGGAAGCAGCAGAAACAAGGGTGAGGCCTAGTCTGAGTCTGAGCAGCTGGGCTGGTGGTGGTGCCAGACCCTGAGCTGGGGGAGACCGGAGAGAAAGAGCAGGGGGCAGGTGGGGCCACGGGCGGGGAGGGGGAGGATGTGCACCTGCACAGCACCCCCAGCACCGCCACACCTTGGGGATGAGGTGAAGCTGGGAGGACAGCTCCAGAGTCTGGGCTGTCCCCTGGAGGACTCCCAGCGAGCCATCCATCCCAGCCTTCCCCGAGCTGCGCGGTTTGTCCTGCTGGAACCCCAGGACACAGGCAGGGAACCTCACAAAGGCGTTGAGAGGGGCCTTGGTTGTGAGGCGCACCTGGCTGCGAGGCACTCAGGCCAGAGGGTGTCTCCCACCCTCACCCCTGTCCTGACTCCCTTCCCACAGAGCTGACAGGAACCATGACGGTGCCGCCCAGAGAAGGAAGTTGGGAAAGCTCTGGCCAGGTTCTCCAGCTGCATTCCTCAGACAGGACAGACAGACAAGACAGCCAGCACATGGGGGGCTGAGGAAGACCGAGATTCATTCCCCAAGGTCACCCAGGCACTCGGGAGCAGTGTCAGTGTGTAGGCCCCTGATTCACAGGCCTGTTTTTAGCCACAGGTGGAGGCAGCACCCCGGCTCACCCACCCTGCCTAAGTCACTGCCTGCCTAGGGCACCCATCACCCAGGCCCCAGGGCCAGTTTTCCAGGTCAGTGTCCCCAGGGGAGTCTCAGATGCTGCAGAAACTCGTCTCCACATGGTTCAGAACCTGAGAGGCCAGCCTGTATTGGCAGGCAGCCCTCCGTGTCAGCTGTGGGTGACTTGGGAATCCAAAGGCTGGGATCTTTGGGACCGCACCCCTTGGGAGCTGGACCTGGGCTAGCATTGTGGGCTTGGCCTGCTAGCCTCCAGGCCAGTTGGAGCTTCCTTCCCAGGGTAGACTGCCACCAGAACTTTCCCATCCACCTTCTGCAGTAGACGGGCCTTGGCCTCGTAAGTAGCTACCTAGCTGGACAGCTCAATGCTGGAAAGTTTCCATGGAAGACTTTGACCCCACATACCTTTTGTACAGAATCTTTTGTCAGCCACAGAGTGCCCAGATGCTAAACCTCATTTCCTTTGTGTCTTTCCTACCCCACGGAACACCTGCAGATTTCCAGCAATTTCCCTCACTTCTTGAGCACGTGCCATGAGTGAAGTAGTCTGTGTTTCCTCTAGCTCAGAGGACCGGAGGTTGGAGGGCCCTGAGGGTAGAGGGATCAGCTAGTGATGATTACCAGGCCCGCGAAAAGAAGACCCGACACCAGAGGACCCGTGATGTCAGGGACAGGGCAGGCCAGGGGCACCCCACTCCCAACCCTCAGCAAGGGCTCAGCCCTAGTGGGTTCCAGCCTGTGCACACGGAAACTGGGGGAAAGGCAGCCAGAGGAGGGGTCCCCGGAATGTCGACACCAACTGCTCAGCCTGGGGGGATGCCCTGCACCCACTCAGCTCCCTGCCTCTCCCAGTGACCCCTGTCCTGACTGGGCCTGGGATGTGCGAGGGGCCAGGCCACCTAGAGGATGCTTTTCCTGCTTCTTTCGGGTAGCTTCATTTTTAGGAGCTTCCCCAGGAGTGGGACGGGGGTCTTGGTGATACAGCTGATTCTGGGGGGGGGGGAGGCATATCCTCTTAGGCTGACCCTCCTGAAAAATCCCAAGTGAAGAATATAGCCAACCCAGAGCTGGGCATGTGCCTGCCAGCCACCTCACTCCATCCTTGCCTCAGCTTCCCACACCTACCTTTCCGGGCCCCTGACATGCACTGGAAGCTGGTCCGGGCCCCACAGGACCTTGGGCCAGTGTATAGCCACCCCTACTCCTCACCTGGCCCTGCACTTCTTCTAACCACACCTCTTTCTGTGCCATTGGGATGTCCCCCAGCACCCAGCTGCTGTAGCACCCACTAAGAGGAAGGTACCCCGAGGCACACAGGGGCCACGAAGCAGAGATGTTCTTCAGAGGCCTCTGGGGTACCATGCAGAGGGACCACGTGGTGGCCGCCTCCTGCTTTGGGGTCAGGAGAGTGATCTGAGCCAGGCCCTGTCAAAATAGCAATGTGTGAAGACTCAGCAGGTAAAGTTTGCCCAAGGTTTGGGCTCATTCAGGCACCTTGTTGTTCTGGTCTGGGTTCCTCAAGAAGTTGACCCTGAGACAAGGATTTGGGTGAGACAAGGATTTGGGTGAGACAAGGAGTTTATTAAGGTCATTGCAAGAAGCACCAAGGGACAGTGGAGGTGACCCAGGGAAGAGAGGGGAACAAAGGGAGAGAGGATGTAGTGCAGGGGAGGGGTTGGATCTGAGCTGTGGGCAGCCAGGGCTCGGAACCCTGGGGATCCTTTGAAAGCGTGCAGACAGGTCTCAGTATCCTTTCCCTGGGAGGGTGAGGAAGGCCAGCTGCGTGCCCACCAACTCCTGTCTGTCCTGAACACTAACTCCCAAACCCCACAGCCTGCCAGCTGCCCGGGAACAGAGCACCCCCAAGGCAAGGCCAGGGGGCCGGGCCCTCTGCAGGATCCCTCTGAGGTGGCCCGACCCGGCAAGCTCCCAGGTATGAATGGGGCTCCACAGCAGCTCCTGCTCCAATCTCGACATTAAAAGCAGCAGTCATCTCAAATGGACCCTTCTGGTTAATGCCTGTCACCCTTGGTGTGTACCCTGCCCAGGCACTGTTGGCCATCAGGGGTGCTGCGGTCAGCATCTACCCTCAGCACATGTGGGTCTTATCCCAGAGGCTGGCCTTGGGGCCGGAGCCTCCTAATCTCAAGTCCCAGCTCTGGCGCTTCCTACCTGTGAGAGTAGGTGAGTGCCATCCTCCATCTGGCCCTCAGTTTCCTGACCTGTAAAATGGGGACAGCAGCACAATGACTATGGCCTCAAAGGTACTAACAAACCTTCCCTAATTCAGTCACTTACAATAGCAGTTATTTCTTTTCGTGGGCCAGGAGTTCTTTTGGGGATCAGAGACCCAGGGTGGCTCAGCTGTGCTCCATGTGTCCCTCATCCTCTTGCTGGGATGAACATAGGAGTCCGGGTGTTCATGATGATAGCAGGACAAGTGGGACCCTGCCAGGCCTCGGAAGGGCTGGCCGTGGAACTTCCACATCCTTATGTGGGCATGTCCCACGGCCACTCATAGTCAGGGACGGGGCAAATGTGCTGTGCTTCCAGGGGGCAAGGACTGCAAAGGGCATGGACTCAGGCAGGGCTGGAGACCCAGGCCCATTGATGCAGTCTGCCCTTCCCCCTCCCCTGAGGTGCTCGAGTATGTGCACAGGAGCATCCTTTGTAGGCTACAAAGTACTGTGTGTGTGTGCAAGGTGAGGTGCTGGTGAGGTCCTATGCCTTCTCCAAGACCACACTGCCTTCCAGGTTTCGGTGTTACACGTATGTGATCCACTGTCTCTGAAAATGGTGATACCCCTTTGGTATCCCAGAGGAAGGGAAGGGGGAAGATATGTGTTCATTATGCAATACTGTTCACGCAAATCCAGCAGAGTCTCAGCCTCCACCGTGTGTCTTGGGCAAATTACAGCCCCGCAGCAGAGGAGGAAGGGGAGAGGCAGGGAAAGGCAAACTCCCTGTCCCTCTATTCACCCTTTGCCCTCCCCTTGTCTAACCAGGTCTGGGTCTCCCTGACTCCACGGAGAGGTAGACTAGAGGTCAACAGCAAATACGTAACTAAAAAGTAATAAAATCAAGTTTTGGGGGCGCCTGGGTGGCTCAGTTGGTCAAGCGTCCGACTCTTGATTTTGGCTCAGGTTATGATCTCAGGGTCATGAGATCGAGCCCCATGTTGGGCTCTGCACTCAGTGGGGAGTCTGAGATCCTCTCTCTCTCTGCTTCCCCCACACACTTGCTCTCTCTCCCTCTGTCTCTCAAATAAGTAAAATATATATAAAAATAATAATAATAATAATAATAAGTTTTAACTTTGGGCTAGCTAAAGGCCTAAACTCTTGACACTGAATATTGATATAACTGGAGAACCAGCCTCTCCATTCCCCTTCCCCCAAAGTACAGCTCCCCTGGGGCCCCGTCCCTCCACTACCTGGAATTCTCAAGTAACCAATATGTCCATCTCCCTGATTTATCCAATGCCAGGGACTTTGCTCCATCTGGGTAAGAAGTAGAGGAAATTACATTAGTCAAGAACATTGTTGTTGTTGTTGTTGTTGTTGTTTTCTCTCCAAAAGCAAATACTTTGGGGCACCTGGGTGGCTCAGTGGTTGAGCATCTCCCAGACTGGGATTGAGTCCTGCATCGGCCTCCCCACAGGGAGCCTGCTTTCCCTCTGCCTGTGTCTCTGCCTCTCTCTATCTCTCATGAATAAATAGATAAAATCTCAAAACAAAAACAAAAACACAAATACTCTGCAAAAGCCCTGTTTTCAAAATAGATGAAAGCAGAGCTACCCTGGTTGAGCTGGCAGGTGGAGATGAGACCCCATCCAGGCCCGTCCTGCCCGTAGCACACTCAGGCTGCACAGGGCATGGTTGGAAACCGCTGCATGTGAGCGTCCCTGTGACAGAAGGCTGTGAGGGCCCTTGGGCCCCAGGGCCCAGGAGACCAGACTGTGTCCAGTGGCCCGGAGCAGGCTGAGGCCTGAGCCACTGTCCCGGTGCCCTAGTAGGTGGCCGGCCTGGGCTCTGACCCCACCGAAGCCTCAGAGCCCCCACCTATCTTCCCCTCACAGGCTGATGCTAAGATGGTGTGCGACGTGGTGAGTCGGATGGAAGACACCGAGCCCTTTTCTGCAGAACTGCTTTCCGCCATGATGCGGCTCTGGGGTGACTCAGGAATCCAGGAGTGCTTCAACAGGTCTCGGGAGTATCAGCTCAACGATTCTGCCAAATAGTGAGTGTGTCAGTCCTGGGAGGCCGCCAGCAGGGCACAGATGTGGCATGGAAAGGGGGGGCACGCAGGGAGGGGTCCTTGGCGAGTCAGAACTGCCAGGACATGTCAGGAAAAGTGTCGGGAAGGAGTGGGAAGGGGCTGTTCCTCCCACCCCTTGGATAAGGATGAGGCCAGGGAAGCAGAGGACACCAGAGACCAGTAGGGCTCCCGGGCGCGGGGCCCTCCACCTCTGTACCCTGGGTGGGGCCTGGACTCCAGTCTAACAACTTTTTCCCACTGGAGAACCCTGACACTGTAAGTACAAATCAAGAGCCATATAGGCAGAAAATAATTGACGATTTGTTTTTGTTTCATTTTAGAGAAAATAAGCTTTCCATTGCTCTATCTTTAAAGTTAGCATTTTAAATAAGAATAAGGAAATAAAGAAATAATCGAACATATCCTTTGATAGTGTGTTATAACCAAATAAGGGAAGAAAAGGAGAGATGAGAGAAGGGAGGGGAAGAAAGGGAGAGGGAAGGAGAGGGATGAGGCCACTGGAAGCCAGAGAAGGCTCAAAGGGGGAGAAAGGGAGAGACAGAGGAAGCGGCCTGTGGGGCTCTTCATGTGACAGCAGCTCAGGCATCCCTAAGGTTATGTGGCCTCTTCCCTAGATCGGCCCCACATCCCTGGGAATGGTCCGCACTAGTTGGGGACTAACTTCTGTCCTGGAGAGGTTGGGACGACACCCCACTTTTGTAGCCTTGTGCCTGTGGCGTCAGTGGGAGCCTCTGGGCTTCAGCCCATGGTCTTAGGACAGGTGTGCTCCGCCACCGATCTGATCCAGGCATCCTCACCCCTGCTGCTGTCAGGACCACTGCGCCCCCAGGAGACATTTGGCAACGGCTGGAGACACTCTTGATTGTCTGACTAGGGTGGAGTTGCTGGCTGCCAGTGGACAGAGGCCAGGCATGTTGCTGAACGTCCTTCAGTGAGCAGGATGGCCCTACATGGCAAGGAATCATCTGGCCCAACATGTCAGTAGTGCTGAGCCTGAGAAACCCTGGCCAGCAAACCCTGGCGCTGTAGCAGAGGCTAGGGCCCAGAAAATGGCACTTGCTCATGGATGTCAACCACAGTAACAGCTGTCAAACTAGGGACTTGAGTGAGGCCACAGCGTCTACCCATTTCTGCAAACCTAGGCTGTCTATTGGGTGAATGCTAGGTCCTGGGAGTCCCAGGTGGTAGGGAGCCAGGCCCAGGCCCTGAGGGGCCCCCAGGGACACCTCAGTGGGTAGGGGTGCATACCCACTGCTGCCGGTATGGGTATGTACTCAAATCACTTCTGCAGTGGACCCAGGTCTTTCCCCTGAGTCGTTTGGTGGGGAACAGCTTCCCTGCCCCTGCTGGGCCCCAGTCCAGGGCCTTCCTATCCCCCATCCCCCTGGGACATCAAATTGTGCTCTCCACCTAAATTGTTGCCCATTTAATTATGACATACATACATTGCAAAAACAATTTTTTTAACACTACAGAGAGTATAAAATTAATAGTAACCTCCTTCTCCCCTTCCAACTTCAATTTTCATTTCTTGGTCCCAGTGTTAAGAACCTGACCCTCCCACCTACCAGAGCATTTAGTGGCCTCCAGTATGGAATCCGAGGAATTCAGAGCACCTGCCTGCCTCCCCTGTCTCTTCTCTACCTCCACCACCAGTTTTGTGTTAGTTAGGGGATTACTTGTGATTCTTCTGGTGGTTACCTTTATAACTTTAAATAAGAAACATGAGTCAATATTTGTCAGCTCCCCACCAAATCAGCTGAGGAAACCTGCCTCCTTCTCTGTGTGTTTGTCCCTGGGACAGGGTCCGGGGGCAGGCGAGGGCAGGAACCCACAGCAGTCAGGACCAAAGGGCCTTAAGCCTTCCTGGTCCAGGCTTTGTGATCACGGTGTTAGCAGCCAGGTCCCCTTTTCTGACAGAATCTGGGGTGCGATATACAAAACAGTTAACTGGATTTGTTGTGACTGAGAGAGACGGAGCCCCACAGAGTTGTCTCGGGCTCTAATCCCAGGGGTATGGTGCGAGTGGCTCCCGAAGGCCCCGATTCCTTTACCAACTTCCCCAGCCCGATCCTCACACTTGACAGGTAAGGACAGGGCCCCAAGGGGACAGGGAGGTGGCCCATGCTGCCAGGCTCCCTGCACTCAGGCCCCTGTGGGCAGGACTGGCTCTCCCTTCATCCCTGTGAGTGACACTGAGACAAGCCCCAGCAGCCCAGAAGCCTGAGCACATCCAGGCAGGGGCCATAGGAGCTAGTTCCATGGTTTGGGTAGGGCAGTTTTTCCTCCCGCCCCTGTCCCTGGAGCCCTCCCCTCAGGCTTGCTTCCGTACCCCGCCAAGCCTGCTCAGGCTCTCCACCGCTCCTACGGCAGCCCCGTGCACCCCCATGCACCCCTGGGGCCTCAGGCCCCTCCCCGTGTCCTGCCTGTGCCTCCTCTTCCAGTCCACGGAGGGCCTGGCTGGTCCTCTCCTGCCACGTCACCCTCAGTCCCTTGCCCGCTGGGATGACTCTCACTGTCTGCCGCCAGCCCCCCCCCCCCAACCCGCTGAGTGCTGCCTCCTCAGTGTCCATGCGGACATCTCAGCACATCTGAGGTCTGTACGTGCCGCCGGGCTCCCAGCTGCCAGCCTGGCCCAGCCTGCCCTGGCCCCGCTCTTCCTCTGCTAAGAGCAGCTGCATTACACCACGAGGAGGTGGTTTTCCTGGGTTCTGCCTCCCACATCCCACCTTCCACGTCCCACCTCCCATCGCTGTGTCCTGCTGGCTTGCAGGGTTGCAACAATCTCCTGACAGGTGTCCCTACTCCCCCCTGAGATGCTCTCCTTACAGCTGCAGAGTCCTCATTCCCACACTCTTCCATCAGAGCCTTCCAGAAGCTTCCCATCTTGCTCAGAGGGAAAGCCCAAGTGCCTACACATGATGCCCCACCCTTGCCTCCATCACCCCACTCCAGCCCCAAGGCTCACTACTCCTGCCACAGGTGCATCCCACCACACCACCCCTTCACAGGCCTGCATCCCAGGCTCCTCCTCCACCACAGGATGGCCTCTGCACCCACTGGCTTCATGCTGGGCATGGTGGGCAGCTCACCCCAGCTCCCCTCAACCTCCACTCCAACGTCAACCTTCCTTCTCCAGCCACCCTCTGTCCATTAGCCACCCTTCTCCAGCTTTCTCCTTACCAACTTCCTATCTCTCCTGCTGACACCACCTCCTGACATGTTCTGTATCTTAATTGTTAACTATCTCACATGTGCATGCATGCACATGCACACGCACACACACAAATGTAGGCTCTGGGAAGATAGGGACTGTACTGGTCGTGTTCATTGCCTCATCCCACACCCAGGACAGTGGTACATAGAGTAGGTGCCCCTCCCACATGCTCATCGTCCCCTCCCCTGGCCATGTCCCTGTGTGAGGCTCAGCCAGCATAGAGACAGAGAGCCAGATTTTCTGTCTAAAGGAGCTTTCCCCAGCCCTGGTGTCCAGCCAGAGACAACAAAACAGGGGTCCTTTCAAAACCAGTAAAGCTCCTAAGCAGAGGCAGTTGGAGTGATGCTAGAGGGGCCGGTGGGCAGGGCACAAGGGGTCACGCTCAGAGGGCTTAGGAGGATTGGGAAGGGCTGATCCTAGAAGCTCCCGTGGGCCTGGCCAGGAGATGCTGGGGCAGCCAGAGCTTCCAGGTCTGCTCTGCAGCCTCTGGTCCCCAACTTCCACAGAGGAGAGGAGGCCTGGAGGCCTGTTTAAGGGTACCACTTTGGGAATCAGGTATTTCCAGACTCAAATCCTAGCAGTGTTCCTTTTCTAACAGTGTGACTTGAAGCTTATGCTTCCTACCCTTGGGAATCCCTCATTTAGTTTTATTTCTTGAGGGAAAAATGCTCACAAGGATTTTAGGTAGGCTTGGATTATTGGTTTAAGAGCACAAACCCTCATTGGTGAAGGTATCCCCCCTTCCAGCCCCATGAACATCCTCAAACCGAGAAACTGAATCGCACATGTCCCAGAGCTAGTGCTAACCGGGAACCTCACATTGTCCTGTGGCTTGGACCCTCGGGGCTTCTCCCCTGTGAGCTGTGTGTGGTCCTCCCCCAGCAGGTGGGGGAGGGGCAGGTGGCAGAGCCAGCCCTGTGAGTCACTGACTCCTCCTTCAGGCCTGGCCCGTCTCCCTTCTCCCTGGTTTTCCAGATACCACCCCCGCTTTGGGTTCAAACCTAACCCTCAAAGACCCCCCCAAAGCCTTCCCAGCTGCCTGGCCTGGGTGGATAAAGTGCAAAGACATAATCTGTCTCCAGAGCAAGTGATAATGTGAAGAGAGCCCCGCTGCCAAAGACGTGGGTCCAGCCACTGCCTGGTTGTGTGACCTCTGAGGCGCTCTTCCAAGGGCATCAAATGGGAAGATGCAGTAGACACCCTGAGAGACCCTAAGCAAGTACAGAAAGGTGGGCGGATGCCCAGAGGAAACACTCAAGAGTACCGTTAAGAGGTGGACCTGGAGCAAGATGTCTGGGTTTGAGCCCTGGCTCACAGACAGGCAAGGTACTTATCTAGTTTTCTAAACTGTAAAATGGTACATATAATTCAGGGAAATTAAAGATGAAACATGGTCACACATGTGAAGAGTCAAATGTAACCATTGGCCACTATTATTTTAAGATGAAGACATGGCAGAGTGGCATCACAAACATGTTAGTCTCGTGTAAGACCTCTAAATGCACCTGGAGCAGTGCACACAGCCTTTGGTCTGAGTTAGAGGCTCTTTGAGAACATGAGGGCTGGGCATGGGCTCCTGCTACGGTGGGTAACTCCCACCCTCTGCCCCCAACACCGGTCCTGGGTGAAGTGGTGCCGTTGTTTCCATGGTCGGCCCCCAAGAGGTGCTGCCTAGGGTTGGGCTGGCTTGTTCCAGGGTCGTGTGTGTTCCCATTCCCAGCTACCTGGACAGCCTGGATCGGATCGGGGCCGCCGACTACCAGCCCACTGAGCAAGATATCCTCCGAACCAGGGTCAAAACCACCGGCATCGTAGAAACCCACTTCACATTCAAGAACCTCCACTTCAGGTAAGTCCCAGGAAGCCCCCGGAACCCTGGTGAGGGCACTGTGACAGGTGGGAGACACCAGCCTCTTGACCTCTTGACCTCGTCTGCCTTGGGGAGCTTTCCACTGGGGACAGGCAGTTTGAGACAAGAAGGGACCTGTGAGTCTGTCTTCCACCAAGTTCAGGGGCCAGGATGACCAGGGAGGCTTCCTGGAAGAGGCATCCTGGAGTGGATCTCCAAGGAACAGGGAGGATGTGAGTGGACAAAGGAGGGGAGTCCTGTCCATGAGTGACTTCTGAGGAGGAGGAGGAGGAGGGCAAATCCCCCAGGTGGCCCCTCGAAGGCCTCCCTGTGTGGAGAGGGAAAGAGGGATGGATAAGCCCAAGCAGTGTCTGTGTGACCTCAAGGACCCAGATAATCTCAGAGCTTGAAGGGGCTCAGAAATCAGCTGACCCACCATGTCTAGGTACATGTGGGGAAACCGAGGCTGTGCCCAAGCACAGAGCACAGCTCAAGTCCAGGATCTCTGAGTGCCTCAGAACAGAAGCCTGAGGCATGAAGCTGGATTTCTCAGGGCCTCCTGGAGATTGTGCCCCCACCTGCGGTAACCTCTCTGTACTGAGGCCTGAGAGTCCCAGTCCTGCCCCCACCTACCTTCCAGATGTGGTTCCTGGTGTCCGTGGAGCAGGAAGAGAGGCTGGGGATCCCATACCACCTCCCAAGCTCCTGCCTGCTCCCAGACAGGCTGAGGGGGCTGGGGTTCTGTCTCCGGGGCCCTGGGCCCAACAGGCAGCATTGGACACAAGAGCCTCCCCTAAACCTGGGAAGTGCAGCAGCGGGCCAAGTGTCTCCAGCTTGCCCCTCTGGGCGTAGGGCTGTGCAGGAGGCAGAGTCTGAGCATAAGCATGGTGGAGGGCTCACAGAGGCCATGCCCCTGCCCCTGTATTTCAGATGTGGAAGCAGGATCCAAGTGGGCGGGGGGGGGGGGGGTGGCTGTTGGAGACGGGAACTCCACCTGCTTCCTTGCCCGGAGCTTATGCTGGCCTCTGCCTGCAATTGTTCTCTGCCGGGAGGGCTTGGGGTCCCTGTACACACAGGGCCAGGGCCCAGGCCTAGGTGGCATGAGACTGACCTCTGACCTCCAGGACATTGGTCCCACCTGCCCACAGCCCTCGTGTTCCCTGGGAGGTGGTGTCTAGAAGGGGAGAGGTAGCCAGCTGCCAGGAAGGGCTGGCATAGAGCAGAGATGAGGCTTTGTCTGCAGATGCACCCAGGCCAAACCCTAGCCCTACCATCCTCGTTCTTGCCAGGACCACGGGGCCCTCACCCTGTGGTGCCTCCTTTTCCCTCCAAGTAATGAGTGCCGATCCCAGCCCCCCTGACACCCCCCCCCCCAGGTTTGGAGTTTGCCGAGACCACAGACAGGAATGGACACACTCGGAAGGCCAGGAACAAGATGTGCACATTGCCCCTCGTGGGCAGAGGGCCTCACAGAGGCATTTATGGGGGGAGCCAGCCGAGGTGCACCCCTTCATAAAATTCTTGAGCAGCTGCAGGTGTTCGAGCCCCAGCGTGTGAGTGCAGCCCCTTGCCGGGCAGACGGCACTAGTCTGCCCATCAGCACCCTCTCAGGGCTTGCAGGCATTCCCACACCTGTCTACGCCCCACCGTCCATGGCCCATAGCTCTCCTCTCTCCCCACCAGGCTGTTCGACGTCGGGGGCCAGCGATCTGAACGCAAGAAGTGGATCCATTGCTTCGAGGACGTCACAGCCATTATCTTCTGCGTCGCACTCAGCGGCTACGACCAGGTGCTCCATGAAGACGAGACCACGGTGAGTGGCCCTGGGCCTGCCCGGCCTGTGGCCGCACTCAGCGGCTGGGGTTCCACCACTGCGGGGTCGGGCCTGCTACTTCTTGCAACTGCAGCCAGGCAGACGCCTCGTGATGCAGGCGCAGGAGAGGCCATGGAGGCCCGCCCTGGCTCAGGGGCTGTGTACAGATGGATGACAGACATCCCTGCAACCTCTGGGCTGCCAGCAGTTAGTGCCTCTTCAGTAATCACAGCAGAGACACAGAGGCCATGGCGCCAGAACGGAATTAAGCAAATCCTAAAAGAAATCAAGGTGTAGTCAAGCAAGAATATATGTAAGACAGACAGCCGTTCTTAGGCCTGAGAGCCCGCCCTGAGCACTGGCCAGGCTGCGGCCAGGAGAGCCATCTGTGGCCGGCAGGGGCACGGCCGTGGTGTGCTGGTTCCTGGCAGCAGGGTACAGGGCCCTGCCTCAGAGGATGCAGCCCCGGCTTCCACCTGCTGTCCCCCCATCATCCTCAGTCCAGGGCCTCGGAGGACGGCCCGGCTGGCTTCAAAGGGAGACCCTCACCTGGAGAGAGGTGCAGCCTTCCTCTGGGCCTACTCCCGGTTCCCTGCCCAATTCCAGTGGCCCACTCCCTACCTCTGTTACCTTTATCTGTCAAAGCAGGGTAACAATGAAAGGTTGCACATGAAATGCTCAGTACGGTTTCTGGCATGGCAGCACTCAGCTGCGGGTTGTGGTGTCACTGGCCACTGTCTCTGTTTGTGGGGGGTGTCAGAGCCTCTGGGGGAAGCCAGTGTTGGCATGATGCACCCGTGGGCTCCCTGGAGACGAGCCTGTGGCATCTCCTGGGGGCTTTGGGGTCCTGGCTGTGGGGTCGTGCCCTTGGCATTTGTCAGCTGCTTCTGTGGGGAGCACACTCCGACCCTCACTCAGACCTACACTCAGACCCCGAGGCTCTCAAAGTCGGCACTGAGAGCATGAAGCAGTTTGCAGTCATGGTAGGCCCTGGACAAGGTGGGCTTCTCTCTGGGTGTGTCTCCGCCTAGGCCCTGGCCTGTCGCTCCCACAGGGCTGCTGTGCAGATCTGAGAGGCTGTGGGCTGGAGGTGCCGTGCTGTGGGGAGAGACCCACATGGTGATGAGTCTTGGCAGAGTGGGACTGGAGCCGCCGGCAGGGTGGGTGATCCTCGTGCTGCTTTGTCCACCTTGCCTTCCTCTTTTGGGGCCAACTACATCCCTAAGTTGAATTCCAACAAGGCCCTCTAAGCCCTGCCTTGTCCAGGGGCAAGGTCCTGGGGCCTTGGCTGTGAGCTCTCTCTGGTAACAGTCATCCTCAGTGGCCTCAGCAGGCTGCAGCTTCTAGCTCCCTGGAGCCTGGTGGGTAGACACATACCCTGGGCTCTGCTTGGACCCGGACTCACTGGCCACCCCACAGCCCGGGACGGCTCCTGGCTGCCCCCCCCCCCCCAACCGTGCATCCCTGCACAGGGACAGCCCCAGCACATCTCTCACTGTTCGCCGATGACTCTGTTTTTGGAGCTGTTATTTGCTGTCCAGGCAGCCACCCACATGATTTGGGCTGCACTTGGCTCATCTTCGCTCCCTCCAATGCCCGGGAGTAAGAAGCAGGGCTGGGCAGTGAGTGCGATGCTAGCCCAGCCACAGGTTGCAAAGAAAACTGAGAACTGGAGGGCAGGAGGGCCCCTCCCCTGCACCTGCCCTCCCGGGCATGCACACTGCCTAAACCCAGGTTCCAGGCTCAGCAGCCACAGGGCTGGGCCTCTCACTCGCCTCTGGAGAGCCGGTTAGAAGCACAAGGGACACCTGTGTGGGTTTGGCCGCCACAGGGCCCCCAGTGAATGTGGGGCTGGTTAGGTGCCAGGCCTTGTGCTCTGTCCAGCCTGGCCAGACCTCTGCAAGCACCTCATCAGCCCCGCTACTGTGCTGGGAGCCCAACCCCCACACTCCTCGCCTCCTTCTCTTCTTGCCTTTACTGTTCCTCTTCTACCCTCTATCCTCTCCCTGCCCCGTTTCCGCTGCCCTTGTTCATAAGGGCAGAAGCACAGGACCTTGGGGAAGCCAAGGCCAAGAATGGGCTTTTCCTGGAGCCCTTTTTGCCCCAAAGCAGGCTGCCTCTGCCTTCTGGGAAGAGCAGCAGCCCCTCCAGGAATGGGCTTCAGGACATGACAACCATGCACAAAGACGGCTCAGTGCCACGGGGGCAGCAAGAACGATACCATTGCTAGAGAACCAAGTGAATGTCTGTGTGTCCGGGACACGGCAATATTGGGCAGCTGGGGAGCCAGAAGGGTCTGGTCCAGAGCCTGGTCCCGGCCCCACATCTGCCAGCAGGTGAGCAAGGGCAGCCTCTCCCTTCCTCCTTCATAAAATGGCCTCAGTGGTTGAGCAGTGGTGAGACTCACAGCACCCAGGACTCTGCGCTCAGGAGATGGCTGCGGTCAGGCTGCTCCAGCCAAGCGTGTGGTGAAAGGACGAGCTGTGAGACACAGACACTCCACCCCCAGGAGGCAAGAGCTAGACCCTGCTGACTGTCCTTGGTCCTCACACTTCCTCTGTGCTTAGCCCACATGACCCTCGAGGCACTCATGGGACAGCCAAGACAGAGGAGCCTGACCAGGGGGCTCCAGGCCGCCCACCCACTGCACGCTGGCAGCCCGAGGGTTTCGTCCTGTCCTCATACCTCAGGCCGGTGGCTCCAGCGGCCCCAGGCCTCGGCCTGCCACCACTTCTTCACTGCCACTGTCGTCTCCACCGCCAACCGGGCCTTAACTTGTCAAACCAAGGCCAAAACCATGAGCAGATTCTGAGAGATGCTCCAAGCTGGGCAGGTATGAAGCGCCTCCCTCCAACCGAAACCACCAGTTAAGAGTTGAAAGCACCAGGTTGTCAGGGCCCCGCCGGGTGACTTTGCTGTGACTGCCTGCCCCGCCCATTCCCACCATCCTCGTCCTTGGTCCCAGGGGACCGTGGCCTCGCCAGCCTGTGTAGGGGCCTCAGGATGGGCTGGCCTTGACTCCCCGAACCCAAGACTGGTTGAGCCAATATTTCAGTTTTTTCTCTTTCTTTTCCTCCTGTATTCTGGGCTTTTATCTTCCTTTCTGTGTTAATCTGTTTTGCTGGGTTTCTTCTTGGGGTTCTTCTGGCCACTCTACTGAGAAACCAGCCCCAACAACTGGCTCGCATCCAGAGCCACCCCCGGCCCAGCCGTGGCCCAGCCAACCAACCCAATCCCCCGACTACACCAAGGCCACAGCAAGATCACCCCCCAGACGCTGTCCCCCTGGTGTCTGCTTCCAACTCTGGATTAATTCGAGGATCTCTCCATCCTCGGTTAATGTTTCCCAAAGGAATGTGTGCACCCTCCCACCCCTGCTGGTGAAACTGAATGAGACCCTGGTAGAGAACTGTGCATGGCCCATGGCTCCGTGTAGATGTGTCGGATGGTGGTGCCCCCTGCGTGCATGGTGCATGTCCTCTCTGTGAGCTGGGGCCCATCCAGGGACTCCGCTGGCCTGGGCCAGGGGGCGGGGGGTGGGGGGCAGCCTGCCTGCGTGTGGAGTGAAGTAAGGAGCGTGTCTCATTTGTCCTGCAGGTTGTCCCATCTCCGTCCCTCAGTGGTGCATTTAGCCACCTCCGTGGGCCTTTCCTTTGCTTGGCGCGCTGTGTCGGTGGCCGTGGGGAGTCGGGTGCCCCGGGCACTGCCAGCCCTCACCTGCCTCTCCACTCTGTTGCAGAACCGCATGCACGAGTCCCTGAAGCTTTTCGACAGCATCTGCAACAACAAATGGTTCACAGACACATCTGTCATCCTGTTTCTTAACAAGAAGGACATATTTGAAGAGAAGATCAAGAAATCCCCGTTAACCATCTGCTTCCCCGAATACACAGGTAGAGAGCCCCCATCCCGGCAGCTAGAGCAGGAGCCTGCGTCGCTGCTTCTGGCCACGTGAATCCCTGAGGGAGCCACCCTGTTACTGAGCCCAGTGAGCCTTCACCGTGCTCTGAGGATGCAGGGCATTCTGTGAGGAAGAACCCAGCACAGAGCCGAAGACGGGCCTCCCCGATCCCCAGGATGTGCCGCTGGGAGGCCGGCTGGGCAGGCAGGCCGCTCGAGTTTCCTGGTCAGGGGGTGCAGGGCTGGAATCTTGGCTCTGCCACACACACAGGCTGTGTGAGCTCCACCCCTCTGGGGGCCTCGGCTTGGGCATCTGTAAACACAGTATTGGAGAGGTGACAGCACCAGGGTGACAAGGGGCTTAAAAGTGGGGGCTTTGGGTCAGGCAGCCCAAGGGTCATGCCCAGCTCTGCCACTCATAGCAGGTTACATAACTTGTCAAGGCTCCCGCTTCCACGTCTGCGAGTTGGGGTTAATCACTGGGATTAAGCAGCCCTCCCTCAGGACTTGCTGTGAGGACAAAGTGAGCTAATGAGCATGGAGAACTTAGCGTGGCAGCCGCCCATGATAAGTGCCCACTGAGCATTTGCTATTACTGTTTTTTTTTTTAAGACTTTATTTATTTATTCATGAGAGACATAGAGAGAGAGGCAGAGACAGAGGCAAAGGGAGAAGTGGGCTCCTCACAGGGAGCCCGATGTGGGACTGGATCCCAGGACCCCAGGATCACGCGCTGAGCCAGAGGCAGGGGCTCAACTGCTGGGCCACGCAGGCGTCCCTGCTATCACTGTGAAGACTGTAACTAACACGTGCTGTAACAGCACCTCCTGCACGGGCTCTTAGAAGATACGAGTGGCCCCTTGGCTATGACAGGGCTTCTCAAGCAGCAGAGCCCCTGGGCTCCCTGCAGAGGGGCTAAGGAGGTCAGAGCCACCTCTGTTAACGTTGCCATGGTTTGCCTAACTGTGGGACGTACGGACAGCCAGGGAAGGCAGCGTAAACGGGGCCCCTGCACCAGCAGAGGTGGTCAGAACGGCCCAAGTGCCCACTGGCTTTTCCAGATGACCAGAGCCTGGCCAGAGGGGTGAGTGAGTGGAGAAGTGGGCATCCCCAGCCTGACCAGCCCCCGACCTGGAAAGCACAGGGCAGGGGCAGAGTCCCAATGAGGCAGGCCTGTCAGGGAAGCCCCCAGGCCGAACCCTACTTCCCTGAGAGTAGATGTGGGGGGTCGGGGCTTTGGGCCAGGCAAGCAATATTGTCTCCATTTCCCCAAAGGCCAGGCCCCCCAGTGGCAGGCGACCGGAGATGGACAAGGCCCTCATGCCCCCCAGTCAGCCGCCTTGTAGCCATGAGTTGGGGGTTTGTGGGTCCCACCACTGTCCTGATCTGGGCTGTGGCCTGTGGTAGAGCGGAAGCAGGCAGGATGGGCTGGTCACCGAGGCTGGTTTGGAGCTCAGGAGGCCTGAGTGATTACCTGTAGGTCCAGGGACACTCTCCCTCACCTCCTGCCCTGATTTCAGAAGGAGCTGTGGTCTGGTAAGCCCTCAAGGCCAGGCCCATGTGCCCAGGTACCTAAGGGGCTGCCACCCCCAGACTTCCACCCCAGTGAGCACTATGGCTGTAAGGTCCAGCTCCATTCCCTGCCTGCCCTCGGCAGGTGCTGGCAGCCCTACGATGCCTGGGCTGAGACTCCTGGAGCCTGTGGGGGCTTCAGTGCAAAGCCAGGAGTCCTGTTCTGCTTCTCCCGGACAGCAACTGCTTTCTGGAAACACCTGGCCCTGGGCTCACCGGGAACAGGGTACTGTGGCATCCCCCAGGACGGCAGCAGCACCAGGCAGTTGTTAATACCTGGTAGTGAATGTGAGAAAGGCAAAGGGTGAGAAGGAGGAGGGAGGAGGCCAAGGTGGCTCACGGGCGCCCAGCAATGGCCAAAAGAGGTGACCCAGGGAGGACCTGCCTACAGGGTGTCTCAGCCAGGGCCACCCTCTCTAAGCAAGACCCACAGCCACAGCATTAAGAACACTTGGAGCAGGAGGCAGTGGGTGCAAATTTAAAAGGAAATCAGAAGCTTCATGATACAGGACTCACCCTTAATACAGATGAGGCACAGCGAGCTTTGATCATTATGCTTCGTTGTTTTCATGCTGGACGCGGACTCGGGACTGGATTTCGCGGCTCCTGTTGGCTTAGCTGAGCCCTGGACCCCACCCCACCGTCAGGTTTTGCCCTTGGGGTTGTCGCAGGGGAGGCCGGGCCTCGCCTCACCGGCCCACCCCGGTCTCTTCTGCAGGCCCCAGTGCCTTCACAGAAGCCGTGGCTTACATCCAGGCCCAATACGAGAGCAAGAACAAGTCAGCCCACAAGGAGATCTACACCCACGTCACCTGCGCCACTGACACCAACAACATCCAGTTTGTCTTTGATGCCGTGACGGACGTCATCATCGCCAAAAACCTGCGGGGCTGCGGCCTCTACTGAGCCCCTGCCTCACCTGCCGACTGCCCACCTCCCTGCCTGGCCCTCTGCCCCATCCTCTGCCCTGGAACCGGAGCACCGCCACCGCAAACGCCACTCTCTGCACTCGACCAAGAAGCCTCGGGCGGGAGCACGGAGGGAGGAGGACACAGGCACACCTCCACCGGCTGCCCTGCCCCCAGGCATCAGAACACGTGGTAACATGGGGCTGTGCAGGCACCCACCCTGCGGGCCTCTGCTTCGGCTCTGAGTGTCGTGTCCTGGGGGGAGGGAGGCCTGGCCGCCGTTTGGCCCAGAATGGGCATGCACTACACTTGGTGACTCGGTGACTCGTACTCCAAGTCCCAGGGTCTCCTCCTGTGTGAGGGTGGCTCCGGGGGGCAGGGTGCTGGCCAGGGTGGGGCCAGCAGGAGCCCCTGCTCAGCTTTTTTGAGGTCTCTCTGGTCGAGGGCAGCTCCGTCACCAAAAGCCAGGGTGGGACCCTCCCAAAGGCGAGAGGGTCCCAGAGCTCGACCTTGGCGAGTGCCTCCCTCCTTCTACCTGGATCTCAGCCCCCTGGCCCAGGCCCTTTCTTCTCTGGGCCATCCTTCCTTGCACACCCTTGGTTCCCGTTGCCTTCCTGGGGAACCTGGATCCCTGACTCCTCAGAGATCAGGGAATGCTTCTGAGACTGACATACTGCAGAGGCCTGTGGTTGATGGTGGGAGGGGTGGAGCCTCGCGCCTGGAGGGAGGTGGGGGAGGAGGAGGGGAGGCTGAGGGGAAGTAGCTGTGGTGTTGACTGGGATGAGAGCCTCACATGCCCGGTGCTCACAGGCTCAGGGGTGACCCATTCACTTTCTCTCGTCGCTGGGTGTCACGCAGCTGCTCTAGAATGTGAGTAGACCTGCTTTTCCTTCTCGAATTCACAGTGAATCCAACTCAGCAAGGGCAGGCAGGGCCCTCAGGCCCTGTGTACTGTGGCTGGGGAGGCCCAAGCCTGCAGCCAAGACCCCAGCTTCCTTCTGTCTCAGTGAGGAAACCAGAGTCTGTCCAAAGCCTGTGGCATCCTGCCAGCCCTCAGGAGCAGAGGAGGACAGAGGGTGGGACCACCATCCTCGAACGTACACTATGAGGGAGGCCAGGCTGGCTCCCAGCGCCCCCTTCTCTGGAGGGAGTCCTAGGTTGCCTTGCAAGGGCTTTGCTACAGAGGTCCCTGAGCAGAAAGGGGTGGGGTGACTGTGGTAACCCAGGCCGTCGCTGGCCTCGGGCGGTCAGCACACCTCTCTCTCACATGCAGGGGCCTCCCATGGGCCAAGGCCACCAGCCAACACCCCAGGCAGGCTCTCCCTGGGAGCCCTGGGGTGCCCCTGGGGAGGCCTCCGGCTCCTTCTTCAAGCCATCTGCCTTCCCGGGCTCCACTCTGGACTGCCTTCCCAGCCCCCTGGATGGCCCAGAGCCAGGAAGAGTCCCATGCCATCAGCTCTGGGTTTCTTGGTTCCAGCAGGCATGAAGCCCTGGCTGGTGCACGGGAAGCCCAGGGCATCCTCCCTAGTGCCAGATGCCTCATCTGGTGCTCTCGCTGCTGCCCCTGGCCTTGTGGGAAATCATGAGGCGGCCAGGCTGCAGGAACCGGCCCACCAGCCCAAGCTCGGTACTTGTACCAGGTACCTTGTAGCAGGTGCTGGGGCACAGCAGAGGACAGGCCCCTAGAACCAACAGTCCTGACGCCATGAGCAGCCAGGGCCAGTGAGGCCATTCTGCCCAGCAGCGAAGACAGAGGAGTTATGTCCCGGCCTTACCACCCTGGTGTGATCAGCTGCGCCCCTAACTCTGCCCCGTGAGCCCACCCTCCAAAGCAGCTGCCGAGAGGAGAGGTGCTTGGCCAGCCCCACCTCTAAGGCCATTGCCCTGGACGTGGAAGTCACTGGCCACCTGGGCCCAGGGCTCTCCATCGCCCCGCTGCCCCCACCCAGACTCCTGTCTGCAGCATTAGGGGGGCCAGAGGGGCAGGTCACTTGGGCCCTTCCTGTCCTTCTGTGCCCTGTGCCGCCCTGCTGCTGCTTGCAATGCTCCCACTGTCTCGCCCAGGGTGGAAGCCCCTAGGGAGCGGGTATCCAGGATGAAGTTCCCTCCCTCTGCTGCGTCTCCCATCCTCGTCACACCGGTGGCTCCACTGTGGGGAGGGATGACAGAGGGTGACAGTGAATTTTGGCTCCGTCGCGTGTATAAGGGGAAGAGGTTGAGAGTGTGAGAGACGAGACATGGGTGGGTCTCTTGTCTACAGTGGCCCCGTGCGTGTCCCCAAAAGGACCGTGCTTAGTGTCTGAGGATCGCCCTCATTTAGCAGGCTAAGGAAAAACTGGATTTCTAGGAGGAGCACCTTTGCCAAACCCATGAAAACCGTGCCTGCCATCTAGCTGCCTGTGAGCAAGTTCCGAGCCCTGTACCCGTTGCCCTCACGAAAGCCCAGCCTTGGCCTTCCTGCTGAGAACTGAGAGAGCTCCGGGGCTCTCTGGCCTGGCTGGGGGGAGCGGTTCCCCGGGCCCAGTGGGGGCTCTCCCTGGCTCTGGGTCCCCTGCCAACAGCTGCGACACTCTGCCTTCTGTGGCCAGCTTCCACGGAGGCCTTAGATGCCGGGCTGGCCCCTTCGTCTCCCGTCTGGCCCAGCAGGGGTCGTGCGCGCCTGCCCAGGAGTGGTGGCACAGAGGCGGGAGACCCCCACCCACTCTGGTGCCGGCAGGCAGAGCCACCTCTGGCCCCCGCCCAGCCCCCACCCCGCGGCGCCGTCCACGTCCACGCCTGTGCTGGGCGGCAGCAGCGAGGGCCTCCCCGTAGGCCACTGGCCCGTAAGCCGCCCGGGCCGCCCGGAGTCCTCTCCCCAGGCCCTGCCCTTTGCAGGCTGAGCCCTGCGGGAGGGGCTGCTCCCAAGAGTGTTTCCAGTTACCCTCCCCCGGGCCTCCCTGAGGTAGGGAAATCTGCTGGCCCAGCGGCCGCAGCTGTCCAGCCCCCTTGAGCAGGTTCTCCTCTGAGCCTTCCGGAAGTTAGGTGCACCCTGGCAGCTGGCAGGCCCTGAGGCCCGAGGCTCTGGCTCTGTGGCCACCATGGATTCAGTCCCCCGAGTTGGCGCCCAAGCCTACTGACTGAAGGGTCCCAGCAGCCCCGGGCAGGGGACAGGGCACAGCAGACAGACCGGGGAACAGGGCCAGCGTGGGAGCTGCCGCTGGGTGTTGGTGGTCGGGCCACAGCCACCCCGCAGGGAAGCCAGTCCTGAACCGTGCCGCCCAGAGGCGTAGTGGGGCCTCCCCTCTGGGGGCTCTGGGGCTGCGGACACACCCCGCCCCAGCCAGACCAAGACCCCCGGCGAGGGAGAGGCAGGCTGGCATAGAAGCAGGAAGGCGGCCTTCGAGTCCCACAGTCCCAGGCCCTCGGCAGAGAGGGGGTTCCCTCTGGAGGGGAGGCTTTCTGCTCCAGGCCCAGTGCTCAGGACCACCTCCAGGAGCCCACAGTCCATTTGCACAGCCTGCAGCTCTGCCGCCCTGCTGCAGCACAGGCCGGGCCATCTCCCTCCCCCTGCCCCACCCCTGCTGCCTCCCTGGCAGCAGCCAGGCCCTGGGGCTCCTGCTCCTCTCCTGGCTCCTCCCCACTGGACCTCCTCCCAACCCTCGCCCCCAGATCTCCTCCCCCCCCCGTTCCCCCCCACCACCTCCTCCTCACCATACCACCCCCAGACCTCCTTTCTGACCATCCCTCCCCAGGCCCCTTCCCCACCGTCCCCCCCAGATCTCTCCTCCCCACCATTCCCTCCAGACCTCCTCCCCGACTGTCCCCCCCAGACCTCTCCTCCCCACCATCCCCCCCAGGCCTCCTCCCCACCTGCTTTGGCCCATCTGCCCCCACCCTGTCCCCAGCAAAGGGGAGCCAGGGCCTGCTCCCACCTTAGCAAACCTCCCTGAAGTGCAGCGGCCCCACCTGCCAGCCCTGCCGCCGCCCACCCCACATTAACTATAATTTTGTAAGAAGAGTGACTTGTTGGTTTAATAAATCTCTAGTTACTGTAATAATTTATTGGCTGCCGTAATGTATTTATTAGTGACCTGCCGTTAATAAAAGTGCCAGCTTCCTCGCGCGAGCGTGCTGTGTTGTGTCCGCGCTCAGAGCTTCCGCCAGTGTAGCCACATGACACCATGACACCCACACCTGTCCTCGCACTCAGCCCAGCCACCCCGGGGCCAGGACTGTGGGCCACCTGGCCAAGGGGCACGGTATTCTGGGGGCCGGAGGATCCTGGCAACCGGCCGGGCTCTGCTGACCCCTCGGGGTGGTCACAGCGTGCCTGGTGGGGCCACACCACTGCCCTGGGGACACTGGCCAGGGGGCCCAAGCTTTCCTGCAGTGGCGGGGGCGGGTGTGCGGGCCAGGAAGGTGACTCCGGCAGGAGGGGGTGGCTGTTGCCTGCTTGTCATCTCTGGCTTCTTCCTCTGTTCTCACGTGGTGCTGTCTCCATTTCATGTGTCCTCCTGCGTCCTCCTCCTCCAGGGCAGCTTGCAAGGACGAGCTCCGGGCTCCTTGGTGGTGGGTTGCAGTCAGTGTGCGCAGGACGGTGGCCAGGCCCGCGGGTGGGGACGGGCTCAGTGCCGGCGCCTCCCCTCCCCACGGTTCTCCTGAGCCTCCAGGATCAGCCCTCCTCCGAGACCCTCCCCACAAACCCGGCTCCCACTGCGCAGAGCTGCAGGCCGGAGACCTCTCCGCATGCGTGCATCGTCCCCCCCGCTAGACTGTGTGCTCTGGGAGCAGGTGTGTGCGTGTGCCCGGCCCCCTGGGCAGAGGCTGTGGGGGGCTGAGCCAGAGCCGAGCGCAACTGCACTTGTCCTGCAAGCCCTTCAGCCCGGCCTGCTGGGCTCAGGTCACCCGGGCCACCCCTCCTGGTCCTGAGCCCTCCAGCATACGTCCCCACCGCGACCCCCGGGGCTGATGCTGGGGCGGTTGTGCAGTGGACTTGGGAGCTGCTCTCTGGCCATGGGCTTCCAGCTCTTGGTGGAGCAGCTACGGGACCAGGTGACTGTGTGGAGGGAGGCCTTTTTGTTTGAGTCCTCGGGTGGCGGAGCATCCCTACTCCTCCCGCAGAGGTGGCACAGGGAGCCTGAGTGTCCCCAGCCCTCTGCCTTGGCCTCCACCCGTCCTCTGAACAGACCCGGTGGAGTCCACCAGGGCAGATGGGTCCCCCCACTCCCCGAGTGCAGCTGTGCAGACAACAGGCCCGCGGGGGGCTGGGGGTGGAATGTGCCGGTCGAGGCCAGGAGGGTAACAGGATCAGAGGTTTTGCTGACCCGGTCTCTCAGAGCACAAGGACAGGGCCGTTTGCTGCAGCTCCCAGAGGAGCCGAGAACCAGGCTCCCGAGGGGCAGCTGAGAACTCGTTCTAGCAACTGGCCTTAGCCATAAGAACGGGGGTGGGGGCTGTGAGACCCTTGGTCACAGGCCACTGGTGTAATAATGCAGTCACAAAGAGGGACTGAAGATGCACAGAGCTGGTCATGACCCTCTACTATTTATTGCTCTAAAGGTCCCAGACTGCTCGTTTGCTAGACAAACCCATTTCGTGTCATTAGCTCTGCATCTGGCCCAGGGCCGGGTACACGCCTCTGCTCTTCTGGGCCCCAGCTCCGTCGCCTGTCTGTATTCCCTAGGGGTTGGTGAGACTATGTCACATGAGGCAGGTGAAGTGCTGGGCTTGGTGCTTGGCAGAGCGGGGCCTGGTGACCTCTGGTGGCCAGTCCACTATCCTCCTCACCCGCCTTTCTCTCAGAACCAGCTCAGCCCCGGGGAATGAGGTGACCCCCATTGAATAATGCCCAGTGATGCCCACGCCTCCTCCCTGCAATAGTTTGTTTCAGTGTGGCCTGGAGTAACCCACAGAGCTGGGTTTGGAGTGGCTAAGTTCCCAGGGCTAGGACAGGGTCCTTGGGGAAGGTGGGTGGCTGTCCCTTCCCCTGGGAAGGTACCTTTCATGGAGGAACCACCTTCCCATGCAGAAATGCCTTCGCTCGCAGAGACGTGCTCCCCTGTGTTGCCAAGAAACATTCCTCAGGTTCGTGTGCTTGACACCCCACAGTAGGATGAGTCCGTCCTCGCCCAGGGCACAGGGCTGTCCCCTTCAGGTCCTGCTCTACTTGGAGTGCCCAGGATAGTCACTCCTTTGCTAAATGGACTTCTGTGTGCAAGACAGTACTTCGTTTTTGCACCACTTCAAACTCCTTGCAGGGTCAGACACGGCTGAGTGTGACCCCACCAGAGGGGTCAGTGGCCAGGCTCCCCAGAGCTCTTAGAGGCAGCTGGGCAGGAACATGTCTCCCCAGAGTGGTGGCCCTCCGAGGATGCTGGCAGGAGCCTGGCGTGACTTCCCCTCCAACTGCAGGAGGGGTGCTGAGTCCCTCACCGCTCCCAGAGGACGTCACCCACAGATTGGGCCCCAGAGAAAGACCTGGACAGGAAGTGCCAAAGCCCAGCTCCCTGGGGCCTCCATTCCAGCACCTTCCCCCGACCCCTGCACACCTGCCACAGGGAGAGCCCACATCAGCCTGTCCTCAGCCTCACCCAGGAGCCATGGTGGGTCCGGGTCCAGTGTCTGCCATTAGCCCCAGGATGAGGGTGTAGACCACCCGGATCGGCGGACTGAGCCACGGTGTGCTGTGACAGGTCGCAGTTCCACTGTCCCCTTCAGAGGAGCCCTGGGCGCACAGGAGGCCCGCTGAGCTGCTGAGCAGCCCCGTTCCTCCCTCTGAAGCCTAATTCTCTTCTTGTCTCTCCCTGTGCCCCCCCCCCCCACTGTCTGGCTCTCTCTCCCCGCCTGGGGCTGCAGAACCGCATGCACGAGTCTCTCATGCTCTTCGACTCCATCTGTAACAACAAGTTCTTCATCGATACCTCCATCATTCTCTTCCTCAACAAGAAAGATCTCTTTGGTGAGAAGATCAAGAAGTCACCTTTGACCATCTGCTTTCCTGAGTACACAGGTGGGTGTCGGGGAGGCCCCACCTCTGCCGGGGAGCCCGCTCTTCCAGAGCCACCAGCTGGAGCCGGCTGCGGGAGGGCTCTGCCCCGGGCCGGCAGGGACCGGGGACAGCGGGGACCAGGGACCGGGGCCGGCAGGGACCGGGGACAGGGAGACGGCAGGCTGCGGCCGGGCTTGGCGCGTCCCAGGAGGCAGCCAGGGCGCCGTGGGAAAGGGAGCCTCCTGACCCACGGGTGTTGCAGTCACCGACCGAGCGCCACCTGGCAGGAATCAGGAGGCGGGAAGGGCCACAGACCTCTTCTGTCATCTCGCTCACCCTCTAGAACTGCCCTGCCGCCCCCGCCTGCCACGGCCTCCCCTGAGCCCTGCGCTGGCCTGGGCTGCCCTTCACCCCTTCCTGCTTGGGTGCCCCGCTGGGGCCTTCACCCCTGCTCCACCCACCCATGCCCCTCTCCGTCCCCCCACTCTACCTGCTGTCCCCCTCTTCCTGTGCCCCTGGCTCTTTCCTCAAATCACACCACTCTGACCCCACAAGCCTCCTCTGCCCCGGCCTGCCTCTCTCCGGTCTTCTGGGGGCGGGGGGAGTGGCACCGTCTCTCTCACAAGGCTCCCAGGAGGATGCATCACAGACCCCCCCAAAGACGCTCCTTCAGAAGGGGTGGATGCGGCATCAGGTGCCTCTCGCTGGTTCCGCTGCTGAAGGCTGGAGCGGTGCTGGTGGGAGAGCGCAGCCTTCATCCCTCTAGTGGCCCCTGCAGGGAAGAGGGGCGGGGGGGGGGGGGGGCGGTGGAGAAGAGGATGTGTCCCAAGGAGGCTCAGCCAGGAGCCCACGTCCTGACCACCCCAGGGAGAGATGACAGCATGGACTCAGCGCCCAGGACTCTGCAGGTCCCCAAGCCAGCCAGAGTCCAGAAGAGATGGGTGCCAGCCCCCCCAACCCCCGTCTACTAGGAGCAGGAGTCGGCCTTCACCCTTGGGTGGGGAGGGGGACCTATCAGCCTGTCTCCTCACTGATGCACCACCCTGCTTGCGAATCTGCAGGGCACTTGACACCCTGGGTGCGTGGAGAGGGGATGGGCACCGGCTCCAAGAGGCGGGCGGGCAGAGGCAGCCTTAGAGACAGCTCGCCTGCGGCCGCAGGCAAACCAACCACCCCATCACCGTTCATCTGGGGCCCGCAGAGGCTGCTGGGGGTTCTAACGGCTTGGGGGACCTTGTGCGTGGATGGAGGGACAGAGCCAGGCACCAAGCCCACTTAGCACCGGCCGTCACCGTCAGTGTTACCCAGAGAATGAAAACCAAGGGGGCACTGGCCCCAGTCTACAGGTCTGGGGGGCATGGGGCAAGCCGGAAAGGCCCAGCCGCCCGTTGCCCCGGAGCCGAGGGGCCCATGGGGGGCCTGGCTGCAGCTCACTCTCAAAGATGGGACTGACCTCCGTCAGCCTCAGCTGGGCCCTTTGGGACCAGTTCAGGGCCTTAGAAAGTTGTGACCAGAGAGGGGCTCGGCAGCCAGAGCCTCCGCAGGCCTCCCTGTGAAGGCTCTTCCCTGTCCCCTGGGTCCTGCCCCACGGGAACCCAGTTTGGGACAGGGTCCATGGACTGGTGAGTGTTAGCGCTGGGCAGTGTAGGGCTCTGGGCGCCCCAGAGAAAGTCGGTCTGAATCTGGGAAACCTCGCAGAGTTTTGCAGGGCCTCCAGAGGAATCCAGCTAGAGTTCACGCCTCACCACGATGGGTGACAAACATCACCAGCGCGACGGCGCCACGGGGTGCCAAGGCCTGCGGACACACAGCGAGCTAGGGGGCAGGGGCCGGGGGCAGCTCTAAGGGGCGGCTGGACCGTGTGAGGGTAGTGACCGCCGCGGCTGGGCACCCCTGCCGTGTGGCTGGGGTGCCCCCGTGGGCTTCTCACCTCCCCAGTGCCCTTCCTGGCCTCTGCGACAGGACGCTCCCTGATGGGGTCCACCGCGGGGCTGGGTCTAGTCTTCGAGGTTTTCACCGCAGACTCCGGGCACTTTGGCGTTTGGCGCCGGGCCCACAGCGGAGTCGAGGAGGAGACTCTGCCCCGAGCCCCCTTCAGAAACATCCCCACCCCCTTACCTTTGGCCCCATCTGCCCCTGTGACTCACACCCTCCAGCGGGAGAATGGGCTGGGGGGGGTGGCGGCTGGGGCCGGGGGAGAAAGGTCGGATGGGCTCCACGCTGGCCAGATCCTAGCCGCGCTCAGGAAGATGGGACACCTTCCTCTGATGGACTTTTAGGCAATTCCGGGTCGGTCCACGTTTCATGGTAATTGAAAGCTGCCTCCGGGGCAGAGCTGCAGAGGTCTGGGTGTAGCTGGTTCTTTGCGGGTACCCCCACACCGTCCACAGGTCTCCCCGCCAGGCCCAGGCAGGCTCAAGGGGGCGGCCAAGGGATCGTGGAGGGCAGCAGGCCAGTTACACTGCACACGCCTTAACCTCCGCACCTGGGGGATACCGCTGCTCCCACGTCCCAGCCCTGCCAAGGGGCTCCTCGGGAGAGGAAGCCCTCAAAAAAGGAGCGCGGGTACCGCTCGACACCCGCCACACCCTGGGACACCACGATCCCGGGTCACCCCCTTCCCGGGAGCGCTTCCATCAGACTTCACTGTCTTGTTTCTCAGAAGCAGCAGGACTGGTGTAGACCACGGGGGAGTGTCGTGATGGCAGCCCCGGGCCCCAGCCTCGGTGTGCTCTGCTAGAAAGCCAAGGGGGCGCCCTGCGGCCCGTGCACCCCCAGGGGCCTGGGTAGGTCCAGTGTGAAAACAGAGTGAAAGGCCTTGAAAAGGCAAGAGCTGGGCGAACACGAAGTTGACGGTCTTTCACGTAAGATGCAACCACACCTTGGGGCAGGTGCGGCCACAGCTGCCTCTGCACCCGCCTGCCGGGTCCTGCTGCCCGGGAACCCCATGGCCCGCGGCTCCGGCGGGAGTTCCCAGCACCCCCACCCCGCCACGGCTCTCACCGAGCCTCTCCCCTGTTGTCTCGTTGCAGGCCCCAATACCTATGAGGATGCGGCCGCCTACATCCAAGCACAATTTGAAAGCAAAAACCGCTCACCCAACAAAGAAATTTATTGTCACATGACTTGTGCCACAGACACGAATAATATCCAGGTGGTATTCGACGCCGTCACCGACATAATCATTGCCAACAACCTGCGGGGCTGCGGCTTGTACTGACCTCTTGTCCTGTATAGCAACCTATTTGGTAATGATTCCAGCACTCACAGAAAAGCTTGCGCGTGCACACACACACACACACACACACACACACACACACACACCACTAACAAATGCAAGTTGGTAAATAAACTTTAAAAAGGTATAACAAGACCTATTATATATATACAAATATATATTAAAAAATTCTTTTTAGTTTGTAATTAGAAAGAGCTTCGGACAGAACTGACCACCATCCCATAGATCATCAGGGATTTTCGGGAACAGCACATGAGCATGCACGTGTCGGCGTGCACACGCACTCACACACACGCCGTGATGGGGGTCTGATTTGGGAGGCCATCCTTCTAAGAACAGCCACGTGATCTTACTCCGTGACCCACTGCTATGAGCAGAGGGCAAAGGGAGACCCGGCAGTAGTCCGGCCCCTCTGAAGCCGTGTTCTCAGTTCTGTCCTGCTCTCCCACAAATTCCAAAGCCCTTCAAAAAATGGCCAACACCCTAAACACCTCCCTACCCTCTCCTCCCAACGAGAGGAAAACTAAGGCTGCTTCTCCTGTGGGTGGCGGCGGTGGCTGTTCATGTCAAGAATTTAGAAGAATCGTTGCTCCGACCAATCCACTGTCTCCTGAGTTTTCTTTATTCAAAGGCAAGAGTCGGAGGAATGGGAGACTTGGCCTGCTTTCTAGAAGCAGCTGAGGGGCGGGGACATTGAGACCAGGGCTGCCCTTCACCTGCAGAGCCGAAGCCAGGCCCCTGGAGAAGAGAAGGGCCTGGAGGGAGCAGGGGGGAGGTGAGGACCCTGGACGTCCTGATCCTCCTGATGCCGCCCCACCTCGCCCTACCCCCATATTATGGAAAACGCTGTAGGGTTGTTTCGTTTTGGTTTTTTTTTTTTTTTTTGGTTGGTTGGTTGGATTTTAAAATCAAAGAAAATGGTCAGACTGGACCCCTTATCTCTCTCTCTACAGACCGCTTCCCGGACTCTTTGCTGTTGGCGTTCACCTCCTGGTAGCATGACCTTTTGGCCTTTGTAAGACACACAGCCTTTCTGTGTCAAGCCCCTGTCCAACCTACGACCCCAGAGTGACTGACGGCTGTGTATTTCTGTAGAATGCTGTAGAATCTGGTTTTAGTTGAGTCTTTACATTTAGAATTTGAAAGGAAAAAAAAGAACATTTCTCGTGCTTTGTAGCTTAAAAAAAAAAAAAAAGAGGAAAAAGGAAAACACCATTTCATCCATATTTGTCTTTTTTTTTTTTTTTTTTGGAAATAAAGCAGCATACACATCTGCACCTGCACTCCCAACCATCCCCAGTGTAGAGGCCCCCCCGCCCCCGCGCACCTGCAGAGGTGCCACCTGTCTGCCCGCCCCTCCTGGGGGCTTGGGTCCTGGGGAGTGGGCTCAGGCTGCACTGCCCAGAGCGCCCCAGCCCACGCCCACACGCCCCAGCCCACCCCAGGCTCCCTCCAGGTTCGCATAGAAAAGCACAGCTCTCACTGGCCAGTGGCTGCCAGAAAGACTACCGATCAAACATATAAATCGAGCCCTATAGAAGATTTTCCTGCCAAACTCCTTCCTATAGATTCCCTTTATGATTTTTTTAGTTTTTGTTTTTATTTTTGTCCCAGTAAGCACTATGTATCACATACCAGATCAGCTTTCATTGTCTTTGGGAAACGGGGTTGTGGATTTTTTTCCTTTTGACATTTTCGCTTCTCAGACTCTCAGATGGATGCTCCCTTTGTGTGTGTGTGCCCCTCTCCACCTTTTCCTTTGTTTCAGTGACCTGTGTTTGCTCCTTCTCATGTGGGGATGTTTGTGCTGCAGATAAAAAGAACAACAACAACAAAAAATTTTTAAATACCACAACATGGAAAAAAAAACAAAAGAAATTTTAAAAACAAATGGAATGTAGTGTTTACATGAAAGCCAGTTTTCATGATCAGTCCTATGTCATTTCTACTTTGACTAGTATCCAAACCCCAAACCTCTCCACGGTGTCACTTTTAAGACTTACTATTTGCTGAAGAAGACCAGTCACGGCCATTTCAGATAAAGAGGAGGCGAAAAGACAAAACATACAAAAAAATTAAAAATACAGAAAAAAAAAACTTGAAAAATGGAAAAAAGAAAAAAAAAAAGCCCAAGGGTCTTTCTAAGCCTTTCTATTCCCAATCGGTGAGGTTTCTGTGATATCTTACACACTGCCAGTCTACTTCTCTGACTAATGGAAAATTCATGTGTAGCTCAATAAAGAGAATGTTTGTCTGTATTCCTGAGTCTCTCACCCTCGGCCTTCATTCTGACAGGAGGGAAGGAGGCATCTGACTGGGCCATAGGCCAGGGGAGGCTGGTGGGTAGGGGCCAGATAAGGACCTCCACCCCCCCGAGGGGAGCCAGCTGGGCTCAGCCACCTGGGAGCAAGGAAGGCCCAGGTATGGGCCCTTCCCCACCTGCAGATGGGCAGGGTGGGGGGTGGGCAAAGCAGGTAACCCCAAATTTTGTGCTAAGACCTGGTCCTATTTCTTCCTGCCAGTCAGTGGTCCCACAAAACCAAAGGATGGGTGGTCCTAAGAACAAGGCCAAATTGCCTGGGCCTTCCACACCAAGGGGTCACATCCATCCACCTGGACACCTTTAAAAGTCTCTCCTGCTGCACCGGGGGCGCCGGGAAGCCCACCGCAGGACAATCAGGAGAACGGATCGGCGCAGCCCGGCACGAGCAACTGGGTTCTCCCCTCCTACAGGCTCCAGGTCTTACCTCCTCTCCACTAGCTTGCCAGGTTGGTGTTGGAATAATCAGCAAGTCGCTTGGGACTGGGACCCGGAGGGGACCCAGCCCAGCAAAGTCCTTGTGTCCAGTCCACAGATCACTTCTTAGCCAAGCAGCCAGTGCTACAGCCGGCTGGGGAGAGGGGAGGGCCTCCTCTCCACATGCCAGCAAGCAGCAGTTACTAGCCCGGGGAGCCCCCCGCTAGCAATCCCAGGGGCCTCAATCTAGAGGGGCTGGCAGTAGAGGTGCACAGCATGGCACGGAGCTAGGAATAACAAGAGGCTAACTCCGTTGTAAGGAACTGGCCGGGCACCCTTGGCCTTCCGCGGCCTCTCGTGCCCTTCCCACCAGCAACCCTCACCCCAGCCTGTGTGCAGGGGGAGGCCCACATCATCTCCAGTGGTGGCGAGGCTGCGCTCATGGCCACAACTGGACAGGACACTGGCCTGGGGAGCAAACCAGGATGCAGACACATCAAAGGATGCTGTGACCTTGTCTGCTCGAAGTTCCCTGAAAACGAGTTCTATTCTAGCAGTATTCTTTCCTAACTTTCGAAGGAGTTTGGTGGGTAAAACAGGTCTCTTGGCCTTATCTTCCTTAAAATGGAAGTCAGGAAGCAGTTAAGGGGTATAGAGTACACGGAAAGGCAAATCAATTAGAACAAGGAGCATGAGGGCAGAACCTCTGCATCAGTTTCTAGAAGCTCCTCGAGTGACCCTAAAGAGCAGTCGGGCTGGAACCACTTCTAACCTAACAGGAGTAAGGGGGAGAGGAGCTGGAGGCTTCTAGGTGACACAGGGCCTTCAGAGCAGGTGGGCGGAGGGCACTCCTCGACCAGCAGGTCCGGGAGGCCGTGGCTTGCCGTGCCTGCGGTGTCCCGCTCAGCAGAGCGCTCGGCTGGCTTTGCACCCCGAGGACCACATCTGTTGGCGGAAGACAGCACGTTGTCAACACAGCTCCGGTGGGAAACTGGGTCCACGTGGCCACCTGGACACCTAGATTTCTACCAGCAGCACAAGTGAGACATCCAAAAGGGCCACCATCCTGTGGTTCATAAAATCCTCAAAATTTGGAAGGGGCAGTGGGACTGACGAGAACCTAACACAGCAACAAAACAGGGCCCATAAGAAAACGGAGGGAACAGCATAGACCACTGCCTAGAGCCCAGAAAGGACGAGGGCACCTCCACCGCCGCTCACCACAGCACCTCCTACTCCATTCTTGGCTAACAAACGCGAACTAGCAGCCTGGCCTCAGCTCTGGGCCCAGATGGCTAAGCACAGGACGGGTGCCCTCGGCCCAGAAGATACCATGGGATGGGGACCCCACCCAACAGAAGACCCTGGCCTGGCCTTCTGCCACCACCCTTAGCATCTGTCCCAGATGCCCCCAAGAAGGGACACAAGCCAAGAGACAGTGTAGTGCCCAGGATCCTATACCATCCAGGTGCAGAATCAAAGGATGGGGACTTCTCTCCTTGGGTCATTCTCAGCTATGGGAGGCAGGTCTCCGCTTTGATCGCGGTCTTACGGCTGTATTCCAAGGTCTCCGGACCCTCTAAAGTTCTCTCCAGGCCGTTCCCTCTTTTCACTCATTTGAAACCTAAGAACACATGGAATTAGGGTCACCTTTAAAGTGTACAACATGCAGGGGGGAAGGATGGGGAAAAAAACCCTCCAACGGTTTCCAACAGAAAACGGTTCACATAAAATCAAAGTGGGACCTAACTAATTTGGCCCCTCTGAAAAAAACTACCTTACTTCCAGCCACACACAACACACACTAGAAGAGTTTGCCTTTTATTATTATTATTATTGTTTTACAATAAAAACAGGTAGCTATGCTCTCAGCAAAACAAAACCAATTTTTAAAAAAATCACAGAAATCTACTAACAGCATTTCGAGGTAAGGCTTTTGAAAGATTTATTCAAATAAATTATCTTGGCCTAAACATTTACTTATCACTCTTTTCAATTACTTGTCAACATTCCAAAAACTTTCAGTTATGTAAAATACATTTAACTTTGCCAATAATTTTAGATAATACTGGATTCTTCCCAAAAGGACTACCATAAAACTATGCTTTAAAACATTAAAAAAAAAAAATCCAACAGGACATAAAACCAAACTATGTAGCCTGTGATTGCGTGTTTCAAGTCCTGGAAGTTAAAGATGTGAAGAATTTGAAGAACAGGTTCAAGACCTGGGTCTGCCCCGAGGCAGGTGGATTCAACATCTTACCTTTCTATGTTTAATTAAACCAACAAGAGCAAAGGGATGAAAATGAAGAGCTCCAGGGAAGAAAGATACAAAAGAGATTTTTATTTCTCCAAGAAAGCCCTCTAACAGTGACTGGCCTGCTTCCTAAGGTCCTCATTTTCTCTAAGGACCAGACCCACAGGCCTCGGCATTGCCTAATTTACTTGACGAAGGAATTGAAACTGGAAACCAAAGCTTGCTACTCAGCCCCCATGGCTGGGGTGGGTGGAGGACCCTGAAACCCGGAGTGGGGACGGATGCATGGGGACGGGGGGCGGGGGGGCACTCGTGAGCTGTAGGAGCACCGGCATGAACGGAAAGGGGCTCAGTGGGCAGTTCTGGATGTCCGGGGACACAGCCGGTCACCTCCTCCCACTCTCCGGCCCTGGCCATCCCCCTCCTCTGCTCCACCTATCAAACCAAGAGTGACTTTTCCAAGATGCCCTTACGGCCTGGAGGCTCAGGGGGCTTGGGGTGCTCAGGGGCCTGGCCTCCATAGCATTCTCAATGCCACCCACCCAAGAAGGGCTGTACACGGTGGTGGAGTCAGGCCCGGGCCGCACGCTCCCCATGGTGCTTCAGCGGAGCCCCCCCGCCGGCCAGATCTGGAGCCCAGGACGGCAGCGTCTGCGTGCCCTCTCCGAGCAGCAGCAGCCTGGGAGCCGCCGGCCGCGGGGTCTCTGGTTGCCCTGTTCCACTCGGTCACCCCCACCCCCAAGAAGTCCAGCCAACACCAGAGATCATGCCTTGAGTTCAAATGTGCAGTGTTTCTAAAGGGAAGGGAAATGTCACATAGAAAGTATTACAAAAAAGGATTAAGTTTGTCAGCTGTCCAAACACTAGTAAGACCACATGCTTTGTACAGCGCAGCGCGGCCGAGCCCCTTGGCACATGGCGGGGGGCCCGGGCCTCTGCGGCCGTGCTGCTGGGGCCGGCGGCGAGCGAGCGCTAGGAGATCTGCTGCTTCTGGAGCCTCCGTTCGGCCGCCGCAGCCAGCATCCTCCGACGCAGGGTCACAGGGTCGGAGTTCGTGCCTTCTGACGTGAGGCAGCTCTCAGAGGCGGAGGCGGACTCAACTTCAGAACTTCGGTTCAGGAAACGCCTACAAAAAAGCCCAAAGGACTCGTGTGAGGGACGAGGGACGACGGATGAGGGAAGCTCTGGAACACGACCTGCAGAAAGACCGAGGCTGCGTCTTCATCTGTGATTCCCCATTTCCCAGGAGCCTCCGTGAGGCGGTCATTCAGCAGTGGGCTGTGAAGAAAACACCTGTCCCAGGACAGAGGAGCAGAAGCTCTGGGCACTGGGGACAAGGCCCGCCTGGGGGCTCTTCACACCTCCTTCTCGACGGGCCACCCGCAGGAACACCCCGAGCTCCGCTACAGGCACGGTGGCCAGGCCGGGGTTTGGGGCCCTGAGTCTGTCACATGAACACAATTACAGTGCTCCCTCTGGGAGGCCAGAGAATCAGACTCCTTACCACAATGGGCCTAGGTCACACTGGCCCACGGGTACAGTGTGGACGACCACAGGAGACCACCAGCAGCACCAGCCTGCTGGAGGTTACCAGTTAGGTGCGAACCCTTTGGTTTTCCACCAGAGATTGGGAATCTGAATGATTATAATGGTTATCCAATGTTGGCCATCTGTTCAAAAAGGCACCATGTGGGCCTGATGTGACAAGGGCCTTTGGGCCACTGAGTTGTGACTCAAGATTTATAGGACCAAGAGCCAGAGGATCAACTTACTTGCGAGCTTGCTGCAGGAGGTCATCCTTACGCTGGACCAGCATGCGCTGCCTCTCGTCTGCAGACTTGGAGAAGCGGCTCCCCCGGGCCTCAAAGTCTTCCCCCTCACTGGGCTCCACCTCCACCTCACTGAAATCCAAGGTCTCCTCCAGCCGAGGACTGAGGTCTAGTGGCACACGCTCAGTCTGGGCACACAGGAAGCAAGGGACTGCTGTGACCACAGGCCACCCTCCCAAGCAGATCCCCCACCCAACCCAAGTGCTCCAAATGATGTGCTTCAAGACCCAGGGGAGGCAGGCTGCCAGGTGGGGAACCACCAGCACACATATAATGGCTGATGTGGACTCCTGGAGGGCAGGCTGTTGCGTCGGGCTTATGCACCACTAAGAACAGCCCCTGACTTGAGCCAGACATTCGATATCAGCAAGGTTTATTATACATGATTACCAGTGTGAGAGACACAGGCACCCTGACGCTGTACTCTCAGAAAATAATAAAGTTAACTCCAAGCTTGTATTCAGGGAAGTTTTGTTCAACTCTACTAATTGCTCTAAAACTTAAACAAGTCTTACCACATTTACTGCAAAAATTTTACATCTTTACTTGACTCTTAAAACAGAGGTAGACAGATTAAAAGGGATAAATTCTAAGGATCTTTTTAAACAAATATAAATCACATGATTCCTTGTGTGACAGATATTAAAATGGGACTCTCTGTTTGGCTGAAGCTCTGAACACTAAAACAATGCCCAGGCGCCCCACACACTTAGGGGGGTGCCTGACCATCTATGTTCCTGCTACCAGATGGGCCCAGGCTGGCCAGGGTCAGCCCAGCACCTGCCTCTAGGTAATAGGAGTTGAGGTGGAAGAGGCTGAGAGATTGGCCCATTTGTAAGATTTCCTATGTGTGGCACTTAACTGTCACCCACCATCACCACCCTTCCCTGCCTTCAGCCTAGCAAGTAAGGGGACTTTAAGAGAGCCACATTCCAGACTAATATAATATTCTCTGTAGTTTGGGGGCCCTGGGAACTGGTGGTTACTGACACACCCAAGGAATCTCAAGACAAAGGGGTACTATCTGCTGGTGGTAGATAAAAAAAAAAAGGCTGTGAGGGGAGCAAGTTCAACGTGTGACAGTAAGGCCCTCCTGTGTGTCCTGAGGGACAGCTGTGGGTCCAGCAGGAAGGAACTAGCCTGAGGTTGTTGAAACAGACTCTGCCCAAAGGACTGCCTGTAAGGTGATGCAGCCTCCATGAAGGTAGGGGTGGTCATAACATAAAGAGCCAGCCGAAGTTGGGGTTTCTGGTGCTAGATGCGGTGGCGGGGGGGGGGGGGGTTGGTCTATAGGATAACTGTGATGCCCACACACACATGCTGGGGTCACTTGGCCTGAGTGAACCCACCCTTCTCCCAAGCCTGACTCTGGAGGAGGTAGAGCAGCTGGTGAGTGGAGGAGGAGATGAAGGAAGGGATCAGACACCCAGCCCCAGGCCTGCGGGCTTCTAAGCCAGCCTGAGCGCAGGCGGGGGGGCAGGGACATGGACGGGGAGACGACGACTCTGCATCCAGTTAATGCCATGCTTGAGCTACACTGAGGTCTTTGCTAATAGACTGTGACCCAAGGACTTCTTACTTCTTGACAATGGCTGAAAACGCTAGATAGCACACTCCTTGTGAAGTAAGTACTTTCCCTTCACTGTGCCAGAAAAAATTCAGAAATCTTCACATTAACTATAAAACCAGAGTTGGTGAATGGGGACAGAAAGTGAACGTGCTCCATCCCCAGGAACCCCTAACCAGCCCAGCACTCAAACCTAGACTGGGCCAGCTATCCAAGACGCGGGAATGCAAAACTGAATCCCTTCTTCAAAAGCCAGGCACCATTTTACCAATGCTGCCCAATCCAAATATGGATTTGGGTATGAAAAATTTATCTCAGCAACGGATTTGAAAAAGTTTTAGTTTTTACGGTTTCCTATTTGCAGGGAAAAACATGCAAGGCGAAAGCAGCTTCCATGTCACTGAACCATTAGAGCAGTTGCTCCAAGAAGAGCCTGAGAGACACTGGTGGACAAGGCAGCACCAGTGCTGGACCCCAGCCCCGTGTGTGGGAAGCCCCACCTCACAAACACAGAAACACAAAGACAGGGTTGTTTGGGGGTTTTGCCAGTATCTTAAGAAAGTTTCTAGAAAGTGTGATAACTGATTAGCAAATGGGAGTTACGGAGAAGGGGTATGAACCGGAACCCCCAGGACGGGGACAGGAACCTCTGCCCTGGAAACCAGGACAGAGGAGCTGCTTGTGGAAGGGGTGGATGAGTCACCCAGGTGTGCATCTCCTCAGAGCCGGCTCCCAGCATAACCACACCCCTCCCCACCTCCACACCAGTCTGAGGATCTCGTTTGCATGAAGTGCATGGAAGCACCTGGAAATGCCAAGTTCTGACAAGTGAAGTGTGGGGAAGATGACCTTGATGGTTTCAGCTCAAGAGAGCCAAGCCCCAGTCAGTCCCCGTCTGGGTACAGATGTCCAATCACCTTGGGTCCAGCCTGGACCCCACTTCCCTCTGCCCATCCTAGTGCTCAAACTGAAGGTAGCCAAGCTGGCCCAGGGACAGCATGACTCCATTCTCCTCCATGGCCCTGGGTGGAAAGGCAGGCCATGTCGTGGGCACATCTTGGCTTGTTAACCCAAAATACTGGGACAATGTGGCCCAGGGCCTTCTCTGACACCCCTGCCCTAGGCCTCAGGAATATCACAGGCAGGACTGGAGACCACTGCAGGCCGCACACAACTGCCCCCGGCCCCAAACCCTCTCCCCTCAGGGGCTGATCTTACCTGCACAGAAGCTTCTCCCTCCTCCTGGTCTCCATTTGGCCTTTCCACAGGACTGTTCAATGCAGGCCTGATGCCATCTGAGCGCTGCAAGGGAAACAGCACCACAAACAGTATGGAGCTGCTCAGGGTTTAAGGAACGGAGCTGGGGAAAACGCGGGGTAGAGAGGGAGCTCTGGTCCCCAGTGCTGCCTGGGTTTTGACAAAGTGTGTGGCAGCAAAGAAATGAAGCTGCTACTAAGATCAAAGTGAGGAGAGGGGAGCCTGAGGCCTGAGCTTGGGTTGAGGTTCTCCTCAGTAACAGCGACCGCACGACACAAACAAATCAACAGCAGGTAATGCTGACTGAGCATTTGCGGAAACCCAACATGTCTGCCTCATTTAGCTTAACACCCTGTGAAGTGGGTTCTGTTGCTCTTCTTTTAGCCAGTCTGAGACCTTGGCCAATGCCACGGAGGCTCTGGAGCCCTGCCCATGTCCCCGAAAGGTCCCGCCAGCTGGCCAATTTCTGTGCCGCTCCTGAAAACTCACTCTGGCTCCACGAGGTCACTATGCATGCCACCTCCTCAAGCGGCCCTCAGCCAACAGCTGATGGGAAGTGGTATCTAAACACCCCCACTCACCGCCCCTCCAGAGGTCCCCAATGGGATCAAGCTCTTGTCCTCCATGACAGTAAGCTGTTCTCACAAGCCCTTACTGGCCACCTTGCCTCCCCTATCTCCCAGCCCCGCCTGCTGCTGTGTGTCCTGGAACCTTCCCAAACGACCCAATGGCACTTGACCTTGTCCTAGGGTCTGCTGCTGGATAATCCAAAGTCAACAACCAGGTCAAATGGGGAAGGATAGATAAGCTATGTCCTACATCAGCCCATTTGACTCCAAACTCCAGGCTCTCTTGAAAGAGTCTCAAGTTTTAGGATTTTATAACAGATTTCCACACATCCTCATACATGAAGTTGAATAATTTCTCGTTAAATGACTCCCTGGTCATGTACAGATGATCCCTTGGGCCTGCCAGAAAGCTTACTTCAAAATGTTACTACTTGGGTCAAACTCACTATGTCATATATCTAAAACGAATATAACATTGTTTGTCAACTACCCTTCCATACTAAAATTTAAAATAAAATGTTACTACTTCTTGTACTCAAAGAGGTTATATCATGGGCCAGGAAATCTGACCTTTTTTAAAACAGGAGTACAAGCATCACATAGCTACTACACACCTAATGGAAAACTGTACCAATGTGAAAAACCAACCAGGGACAGAGGGCATTACCTCCTGAGAGCTGGGGGTCAGCAAATAGCCTGCAGGCCAAATTCACCTTCTGCCTATTTTGTAAGTAAATGTTCCCTAGAACACAGGCAGGCACATCCACTCACATATTGTCCACGGCTGCTTCGGCGTTACCGTGGCAGAGCTGAGACATTACAACAGAGGCTGCGCGGCTCACAAAGCCTAAAATATTTCTATCTGCCCTTTAGGGAAGGTTGCCAATCCTTGTCCAAGAAGCACCAATGCTAGGACCTCCCGGACTGGCTGGGCAGGCAGGTCTGCCTGCCTATCTGTACAGAACAGTGTCGCCAGTACATTTATCTTTATCTTAATCTAAACCCCTTGGATGGGTCGGTCCTCAGATAAAATTCAGAAAGTTAGCAAATTCATAGAAACCCTTCATCAAATCATGAATGATATTCAATTAAGGAAGTAAGAAGTTAATCTATCAACAGGATTCAATCTTTGTGAAGACAGAATCCATTTTTCACACATCAAACCCCAACTTACCTGTGTGGGAAAAGGTACTTGAATCCGTCCTTCTAAAATATTGTCTGTTGTTATTTCTACGGAGCGTGTCAGCTGGAGGTCCTGCAGCACGAGATGGTAGGGAACCTGGGGAAACATCTCTTGAATCTGATGAGCCTGTAGGAATACAGGAGGCGGTGGCAACGTTCATTCTCCACATTTCTGCTCAGCGCCATCGTGTATGGCAAGCTCTGGATGGATGCTGAGCCTGACACCAGCCTTGAGAACACAGGCAAGGGGCCCCTCTAGTCTGTGATCCCCATCAAACCTCACTCCTTCTGGAGTTTCTCCAGGATGCCAAACAGGTAACTTGGGATATCATCAATTTCAAAATAAAAAAGGGCATGGAAATACAGCTGGATCCCAAAACAGGCTCGACTAGAACATTCCAGTTTTAAAAAGTGCTCATTTTAAAGCTCAGTGTAACTCAGGTCAAAACAAAACGAAACAAAAAGCATTCTTAAAGAATCGTCAAAAAGGAACAAACTTCTGATACAAACCCACATGGACGAATTTCAAATGCATTAGGTTAAGTTAAAGAGCCTGGCTCAAAAGGCTATGTACTATAGAATTCCATTTATACAACATTCTAGAATAGGCGAAATTAAAGGGACAGAAGATTGGTGGTAGGTAGCTGCCAGAGGCTGGGGCTGGGGAGGAAGTGATTACAAAGGGATATGGTGTCATTTGGGGGAGGGGAGATGGAACTCTTCCAGATCTTAAGTATGGTGATTGCCACACAATTGTATTAGTTTGACAAAATGCACAGTTGGATACAATGAAGGGTGAATCTACCATATGTAAATTACACCACAATCAGGAAAAAAAAAAAGATTAAAAAGAACGTAAACACTAGAGCTGTAGGTTTCAAACTGCACTCTAGAAACGTCTAAGAGTCCAGTAGAGCTGTGAGCGGCAGCCGGTGTGTAGGCTCAGCACACCACCACCCACACTTTTATTAAAGAGGCTCAGGTTTTTTCATGTATGTATATTCGTTTTACAATGCTTATATTCATGGAAAAGCCCCAGGGGTCAAAAGAAGAAAAGAGCAGGAAAAAGGTGATTGCTTTAGAAGCACAAGGAAGTTGGCTACTGGGGTGCCAGCTGCTCAGGAGCACAGCGTCACAGCTATGGGAGGAGGGGGAGGCATCCGACGTCAGAGCCTTGAGAGCAGAGATCAGGGTGAAACAGGCACAAAGCTTTGCTTAGCGTCTCACTGGGGTCGGAGGGAAAGACAAGCAGAGTCCAGCAGCAGGACCCACGGCCCCCACACGCCTAGGACCCCTCATGGTTTATATGAATGAGAGCCCATTATTTTTTTCTCCAGGGCAAGTATCAAAGTTAAGTGGAACGGAGTCCACAAAAATCTCAACAATCAGATAACACTCTTCTCTACTCTTAAACAGCTTCCCCCTCATTTCCCAAATAAAAACATGCTCAAGATTCATTTGACTAGACCAAAGCTTTCCTCCAGAAAATCCAGTGAATTCAATATTGGATCTTTATAAAAAATGTATGGGTCCAGTACATTTGTTGTGCTAAAAATAGGCTTTTCCAACCCGTCATGGAGCTGGAAGAAGCAGAGCCAGAGCCTGAGAATTCTAAACACATCCACTTATTCCTAGAGGGTACGTGCCCAGGATTCTGATTTTTTTAGGGAACAGGCGAGGTAATCTACGTGCAGAGCTTCCACAGCTGCCAGACCCTGCAGTACACACGCAGAGCCTGCCAGGAGCCGGCGGGTGGCCACATTAGGCTGCCACACTGCAGACCATCTATGCCCATTAGAGTCACTCACATACTCTGCTGAGTGGCTGAGCACTTCCTCCAGGAAGCAAGAGCCAGCAGGAACCAGGCCTTCCTTTTTTTTTTAATCAAAGGAAGGAAATTCTGACCCCGTTATGATTTTTTTTAACCAATTCTAAGTGTACAGTAGTGCGCACCATAGGCATATTACTGTGCAACAAATCTCTAGAAATTTCCCATCTTGCAAAACTGAAACACTGAACAGCACCTCCCCAGGGCCCTCTCCCTAAGCCACTGGCAATCACCATTCTAAGAGTGACTGACTTAGGCACCTCATTTAAGTGGAATCATGCAGTGTTTGTCTTCTTGCGACTGTCTTATTTCGTTAGAATAATGTCCTCTAGGTTCATCCATGTTACAGCACATGGTAAGATTTCCTTCTTTTCTAAAGACTAGTATTTCACAATTTCAGAATCCATTCACCTCTGATGGACATTCAGGTGGTTCCCACCTCTTGGTTATGATGAGCCAGGCCTTCTATTCATACCACATCTCAGTGACCTGCTGGAGCTACCTCCATTCCTCCTGCTAAACAAGGCAAACATCTCTCCCAATCCAGCTCCTGACCCCACCATCCAGGCTCAAGGACTTTGCTCTTCAATTTTTACTTTCCTCTTTGTGCTCCACCTCTGAGATCCCTCTCAAAGTGATCACTCCCATTCGCACCCTAAACATGCTTTTGAATCTATCTTTTAAAAAGTCCCAGGCGTACTCCAAAGAAATGAAAGCAGAGTCTCAGAGACATTCATACTCCCATGCCTATCACAGCATTATTCACAAGAGCCAAAAGGCAGAAGCAACCCAGGGGTCCATCAGTGGAGGATGGATAAGCAAAATGTGATCTACATGGACAATGGAATCTTGGTGAAAAGGAAGGAAATTCTGACCTCTGCTACGACACAGAGGAACCATGGTAAGGGACATAAGCCAGCCAAAATGACAACCCTAGGGGCCTGGGTGTATGGAGGAGAGGGTGGGGGCATGACTTCACTGGATCCTTCTCCACAGCTTCTGAAACTTGTGTATAAATGGACTGTTAAAAAAAATCTTAAAAACCAAAACTCCCCTGATACCATAACCCTCTGGAGCTACCACCTCTATCCTTCCACCCCCTTTACAACACAGTCTGTTTCTCCAGCTCCCACTCATTTCCAATCTACTGCGAGTAGCCAATCCCACAGGCCACAGAAACCACTTGTTCCTCTGCAGCTAACCAACCACCTCCTTTCTGCTGAATCCAACGTGTCCTCCTCCGACCTTACTTTCTAAGAATTCTGAGTCCTCTCCTGGTGAGCTACATCTTCTCCTGGAAAGAGACTGGGTCCCCGCCTCCAGTAGCACCTACAGACCCAGAATTCCCAAGGGTCCGTGTCTCCAGCTAGATCTGCTCAGCGAGGTGCAGATGTTGACGTGGCAAGCCCACTTGGAGGGCTCACTGACGCCCAGTCTGCAGTCCTGCTTCTACCCCGTCTTGCCCCCAAATTTGCTGGGTGGCTTCACTGCAACCTACCACGTCAGCTTCCGTTCTCTGCCTCCCTCACCCATCATCCTTCCACCAAAAGCAAAGTGTCGTCCAGTCCTGCCAGCTCATTGCTCAGCAAGTGCTTTCAAGCTGCCCCTTCCTCTCACTTTCACTACCAATATCCTGGTCCCCCCACCATGGTTCTCACCCGCACTACTGCAGCCTCCTAACTGGGCTCACTGCCTCCACCTCTGCTCCTCCACTATCCAGTCTCCCAGAAGCAAATCATTCTGTTAAATGTCCTGTCCATCCCTTGGGGGAGGAAAAAGACCTTGAACAACCTTCCAATACTTCTACAATAAAATCTAAACTGGAGGGGCATCTGGGTGGCTCAGTCAGTGTAACGTCTGCCTTCAGCTCAGGTCATGATCTTGGGGTCCCGGGATGGAGCCCCATGTCAGACTCGTCAGCAGAGAGCCTGCTTCTCCCTCTCCCTCTGCCCCTCCTCTCTGGTCGTGCTCTCTCTCTCAAATAAATAATAAAATCTACACTGGACTGTGGCCTACTAATACCTCTGCATGACCTAGCCCTGCAAGCTCAGTTTACATCACAATTTTGGTCCCTGACTTGCTAGGTCCAACCACAGTAACCTCTCTGCTTCCAGCACCTTCTTGCCTCATGGCCTCTGCACCTACAATTTCCACTGCCTCTGTTTCCCCCAATTGCCTCCTTCTCGGCCTTCATGTCTCAGCTGAAGTATCACCCCCTAAGAGAGAACTCCTTGGATGCCTCCCCTCAAATAGCCCTTACCACCCCCACCACTGCCACATCGCCAGCCTTATTCCCTTCAGAGCACTCACTGCATCAGCAATGAGCTCACTTATTTGTGCTTATGATCAGTCTCCCAGCCAGAATCCATGCCTCCTGGGAGTAGGGCCCACATTCACCTAGTTTATATAGCAGGTGCCATGCGACTGTTTACACTGCACAGTGCCTGTCGCAGAAATGGGTTTTCAGGACAGGTTTGTTCGATAAATATGTTAAGATAAAGGAATGAATGAACAAATGAAGCAGCGATGCTCTGAAGTACTAACCAGGCTTACCCAGGTCAGCCAGAGGCTATCTAAGCAGGACTAAGGTCCTGCATTTTAAGACTCCTGCATTTACTATCATAGTGAACACTAAACTGCAATGATAATGACACGAAGCCTCTAACTCTATAGAACAAAAATACACACCAGATGACAAAGCTTTAAAAGAATACAAACACTATTTGAAGAATATCCTTGCGCCAAAAGCACACATGCCTCCATATCTCAAGGTATACAGGTGTACTCCCACAGATGTGTGCGTGCTTCCTTATTTGGGGGAGGAATGGGGACAGATGTCAGGAAAACACATTGGGTAGGCCTAATACAACTTTTAATAAAAGGCCCATCATGCTCTCTAGTCACTAAGCCTCCAAATACTTTTGGCTAAAATCAAGTAGAGTCCCAAGATAGGCCTAGATCCCAACAGAGTGAACACAGCAGTGCTCAGAAAAGGATAAATTATCTGCCACACAACTAAAGCAAAAAAAGCTGGCTTCCAGAGCAGTTTCAAATTTTATAACACAGGAATTTAAGCGGTCCCAGGGAATATAGAAAACGCCCCTGAAAATCCCACTCTTCTGCCAGAGTGGAGCATACGTGCTGCACAGCGTCCTCCTCTCTTAGCCATCTTGAAGCAGTTGGTGGTCCTTACCATTGCATTCAGCTGGGAGTTGCTGGCCTGCGTAATGCCTAGAATGTTGGTGGTGTGCATCACTTCTACTGAAAAACTCGGCAACCAACTGGCAATCCGGGACCCTGAAACAAACAAGAACCCAGCACAGATTAGAGATCCCTTTTCCTGTGTTGTCTACCCTACAGTCAGCCACTCTGGGGCACCAGCTGGTTCCACTGAGGGCTTACCGTAGGCCAGGCCTTTTGTACCAAGGCTTTCACATAGATTAGTTCACTTAATCATGTCTAGAAACTCACATGGTACCATCTGTTTTTAACCCCATTTTATTCTTCTCAGAGATGGCTCAGTTCCCTTGCTGTTTTGTTCCCATGGCACTCAGATGTTAGATAACTTGCCAGAGGTCATACAGGTATGGTGGTCAGGATCTGAAGCCAGACAGTAAGGTTCCAGAACACTTCACCACCAGGCTCTCCTGGTGTTTTGTGGCCCTGGATCCACCCATCAGTCCACTCTCAGTCTGGCAGATAAAGAATGTTTGGAAGGTTCTATAGCTGCTGCAACAGAGGCATTTGTGCTCCTCTTTCACACTACACAATAATTACTCATGTGGCCACATCCCTTTCCCAATTATGTTCAAGAAGTATTTTCTATTTAATCATCTGATTTGAAGACCCTGATTTTCTCATTTGATTCGAAATTCTTTTCAAATAGTCCCACGACACAGGCTTGTGGACTAAAGGTGCCATGAAGTCTGCTGCTTCTCTCATTTCCCTAAAAAAAGGGGATCGTAAGATAAAACACCAGAGGCTCCTGGGTGGCTCAGTAGTTGGGCATCTGACTCTTGGTTTCAGCTCAGGTCATGATCTTAAGGTCATGAGATGGAGCCCTGCATCGGCTCTGTGCTCAGCAGGGTGTCTACTTAGGATTCTCTCCCCCTCCCTGCCCCCTCCCTCTCAAATAAAAAATAAAATCTTTAAAACAACAACAACAAAATACTACCAAGTATTGGATGTGAAACAACTTATTAGCAAGCCACATATTTAGGGGTTATTTTTCTCTCCTTTGCAAAGAGGTACTGAGGCATGGAATATAAAGACAAGCTAAATGGCTGTCTCAAGGTCTTGCTCAACAAAATGTGCCCATTAAAAAATGAGATACTTATTTCATGTACTTACCAGGGAGAAACAGTTGACTTTTCTAGTTCAAGTTTTAGTAATAATTCGTAAAGTAACAGATTACACAGCTGGGCCCCATGTGTGAGATCTGCCAGTATGTTTCAAAGTCATACCTGATAGAGACCTGAGCTGACAGTCCACAAAGTGGCTGCCTCTAAGCCCTCCAGCAGCCCCATCCCCTGGTCTCAGAGACTGGGTCCTACTACCCTTGATTCTCCTTGTAGGGGTCTCACCAACATGCCACGACTCCCACCATACTTTACCCTTGGAAACTCAAACCCCAGATTTGAATAGCACACCCCCTAACAAAATTCCAGGGATACCTGTTTTTACACTAACAAATAGGAACTCAAAGAATTTAGTGGTATCAAAGTTGATGAGAATCTACAACAGCTTATTACAATGTGAATTAAGGAAAGATAGTCAATCAGCTCCTAACATTAGGTCCATGGCTTTAGAATTTTAAGTGCAGTTTTTACTACAACCCCTTTCAACACTGGTGAGAGGTAAAACATTCATATTTTATGGACAAGGAAAAGGCTCCAGCTCAGATTCTGCTTCTGGTACTCATTAGAAAGGCTGCTCCCTGATACTGCATTACATGCTTATGCACTACACTGATGCAATAAATTATTAGCAACGGTTAACTATTAAAATGATTAAGTGTGCTCCTCAGAGGTATGATTGAGTCAATATACAGACCTCCTCCTCCTCCCTGCCCCCACCCCCATATTCACAGAGAATCCAGCAAATACCTGGCACAGAATAACTCCCTGGGGCTACCCATACCTGCTGAACACTTTCAATTAAGATTAAAATATTTCTATTAAACTGGCCTACACCAATTTATACCTGGCCTACAAAGGGCAATTTATAATTAAAACAGCATCCTATCAGGGGAGAAAGCCCCTCGGGTACGGCTTTAAAACTTGAAACTAACCATCAAAGTGGAAGAAATGATTGTGTTGGTTTAGGCGAGGTCGGCCTTCAGTGGCTGCTACAGGCACCAAATTCTCATCCAAGTTGTCTCCTTGCTGGTCCTCCCGGACCCGGTTATTGTCAGCAATATTAAGAGACATTCTGCATGTTGGGCAGGAGGTGTCTTGTTCTAGCCAGGAACGAAGGCAGGAGCTACCAAAAAGTCCAAAATAAGATATCCTTAGCATATTTTGTGAGAATTCACCAGAAGCACTCTGAATATAGCAAATGTGTTGCAATTTTAGCTTTTATTTGCCAATAGTGAGATTTAAATATTGAGAAACATTTGCTGACATTCCTTTTTCACTGATACACTTCTAATGTGTTCTGCTGTGAATGTTAATTTGTCAACATACGTGGTCACCTAGTGAGCTCCTTCCTGGTCATGACCCTTCTGCAGTAAGACTCCATCACATGACCCACCATCTTCCTTTCCAACTCCATTTGACTACTTCACAATTCATGTGGCTGAATCACCCAACACCCTGGCCTCTCGTGAATTTGATTCTTCTACTCCAGCAATCTGTTCTCTCACTCTACTTTGGTTACCCACTAACATGGTCATAATGTTGGCTTTCTCTTCAAACTCTTGATGTCAAAGATCTCACTCTAACTGAAGCTCCTCTCTCCTTCCATCACACCCCTTATTTGTTGAGAGCACTGGTACACGATGATACCACCTTCTCAAGCATCACAACTCCTCATGTCCTCACTCCCATCTTTACATCGCTTACTTACAACTGCTTCCTTATGCCCACCACCTTAGCTTCTCCAACCCTCTACTATTTGTACTCTGCTTTCCCAACCAGGCTGGAAGCCTCTTTTGCCCTCTCTCTCAGGAAATGACAATGGCCTAATTATGTCAGACACAGTAACTACTTACGCTGTCCATCAACGGGACGTGAACTAACAAAACCAGGAAGGTTGGATGAAATGATCTCTGAAGTTCCTTCCTATATTATAATATATTACTTTTCTTCTAAGATCTCAAGGAGCCTTCCCATCCCATAACATGTTATCTTTCCTTTAAGAGTACAAGGAGGGACTGAATAAAAAAAGAGCTCACTTCCTCTGTGTCACTTTTAGTATCTGAGGACATGGGCACATATAATGTTACAAAGGAGATCTTCACCCCAATGTGATGATCCCCAGAACCTCTGGGCAACGTATCAGTACTTACATGTCAAAATTGTCCCTGGCAGATTATAAGGGAAAGGAGGAAACTGAGTAGGGAAAGATTAGAGAGGAAGACAAACCATGAGAGACTCCTAACTCTGGGAAACAAACAAAGGGTTGCGGAAGGGGAGGTGGGTGGGGGTAAGGGGGTAACTCGGTGATGGGCACTAAGGAGGTCACTTGATAGGATGAGCACTGGGTGTTATATTCTATGTTGGCAAATTGAGTTTAAATAAAACAACAACAACATAAAAAAACCCAAACTGTCCCCAACACCACGACGGAGCTACTTCTTACTATCTTTGAGCCAGAAGAGTTTATGATAATAATGTGACAAAATAATGAGTGTGTATAGCTAATTCTATCATATTTGAAATATACATCACCTATATATATAAAGTACTTGTTTGTGATCATTCATATCAGTCAAATAAATGATTATATCTTTTAAAAGTTTGCTTCCCTTCCTCATAAGTAATAATTAATTAATTAAAGTCTGCTTCCATAACACCCTTAAATCATACCACCAGTAAAATTAGCCTAGTGTGGGACTACAAAAGTATGTTAAGATCCTGGGCACACTGTAATAATGCTACACTGTGACATACTTTTCATAAGCATCCCTAATTTTATTTCATAATCTGCAAAAACCTCCCACATATATAATAGCCTGAAAATCCCAAGGTGAGGACAACCAGATACAGGTGCCTTAAAAATAAAATGTTAGAGTTCCCCAGCTAAAGAAACCAAATTTCAGAGAAGACAGGTATTTTTCTCTATAACTATCTAATACTCTAGTCAAAGAGTATTTCTCTCTCTTTTAAGTATGATACTTCAATGTAATGAAATATTCATCGGACTCTGTAATCTTACAAAGACATCTATCAAAACAAATTACCTAGCTATACAATCTGCTGGAATTTACACATTTAGTTTTATCACAAATTAAAATGCATTTGCCCTTGATTATTGTAGTATAAGCCCTGACAGTCATCTTTTCTTTTTGTAGTGCAAGTGCTTGTTTTAGGCTTTGATTGTTGAGGTACTCACCTCCAAGAAGACTATCTCAAATAAACACAGTGCCAGCTGCATGACTAAGTAGAAAGCCAGCAACACCCCCAATTTATTTTAGAGTTCTTGGTTGATTTTGGTTAGCTGACCAAGTAAAGTAGGTTATATTTTCTCTTCCTGTGCTTTAAACTCCTATTCTTGTGTTTTAAGCATTTTTTTTTAAGATTTATTTATTTTAGAGGGAGTGTGTGAGCAGAGGGAGTGGCAGAAGGAGAGGGAGAGAAGCAGACTCTCTGCTGAGGGTGGAGCCCCAACAGAGGGCTTGATCCCACAATCCTGAGATCACAACCTGAGCCAAAATCAAGACTTAGACACTTAACTGACTGAGCCACCCAGGTGCCCATCTATTTTTATGTTTTAAAATGACCAATGAAGAGTGAATCCAGGACACCCTGGGTTTCTACCCTCCACCCTAATAAAAGGAGAACCCTAGGCCCATGCTTTCATCCCATCCACAACCTCACTGTGGCTCCAGGTGTGCCATGTGCTTTCCAAGACCTTTGAGTATAAACCCTTTGTCCCCAAAGTTTCCTGATGGTCACTGCTAAGGGTGTCTTGCAGTCATAATAAGAACCACAGGAGCCAGTGCAGCCCTAAAACTGATTATCGATAAGTTGAGACCAGCACAAAACAACTATTATCCCACAATCTTATTCCCATCCTATTAACCAAAGCTACAATGTAAGGCAAACCAAGAGGTCCTATTAATGTTTGCTCACTCAACCCAAGGCAGGTGAGTATTTTAAAAATTAAGCACTTGAGCAATTAGGAAATACTCTGAGACAAATGAAAACAAAATCACAACATAGCAAAATTTATGAGTGTAGCAAAAGCAATGTTCAGAGGCAAATTTTGTAACTACTAATGAATGAAAAGAAAAAAATTTCAGGGACATCCGGGTGGCTCAGTGGTTGAGCATCTGCCTTCAGCTCAGGTTGTGATCCCAGGGTCCTGGGATGGAGCCTGGAATCGGGCTCCCCACCGGAAGTCTGCTTCTCCCTCTACCTATGTCTCTGCCTCTCTCTCTCCATAAATAAATAACATCTTTAAAAAATAAATTTCAAATCAACAGCCTAGAAAAAGAACAACAAAACCCAAAACCTCTACCTATGTCTCTGCCTCTCTCTCTCCATAAATAAATAAAATCTTTAAAAAATAAATTTCAAATCAACAGCCTAGAAAAAGAACAACAAAACCCAAAGCCAGAAGGAAGGAAATAATAAAGATAAAGACCAGGTGGCTCAGTGGTTTAGCACCGCCTTCAGCCCAGGGCCTGATCCTGGAGACCCGGGATGGAGTCCCACTTGGGCTCCCTGTATGGAGCCTGCTTCTCCCTCTGCCTGTGTCTCTGCCTCTCTCTCTCTGTGTGTGTCTCCATGAATGAATAAATAAAATCTAAAAAAAAAAAAAAAAAAAAGAGTTGTATGCTCTGGCTTTGATGGGCATGTACTCATTTACATATATAAATTAAAAAAAAAAGATCAGAACAGAGGTAACTGAAACAGAGAAGACAAAAACAACAGAGTAACCAAGTAATCAATGAAACCAAAAGCCAGTTCTTAAAAAAAAAAAAAAAGTCAGTTTTTAGCTAGACTAAGAAAAAAATAGATATGAAAACTAAAATCATGGGCAGCCCGGGTGGTTCAGCAATTTAGGGCTGCCTTCAGTCCAGGGCATGATCCTGGGGACCCGGAATCGAGTCCCACATTGGGCTTCCTGCATGGAGCCTGCTTCTCCCTCTGCCTGTGTCTCTGCCTCTCTCTGTGTCTCTCTGCCTCTCTCTGTGTCTCTCAAAAATCTTAAAAAAAAAAATTAAAATCAGAAATAAAAGTATGGAAAAAAAAAGACAGTATGAACATCACTATCAACCTTACAGAAATGATAAGGATTACAACAGAATGCTAGAAATAATTGCAATCCAACAAATTAGAAAATATAGCAAAAAGTGGCACATTTCTACCAATACTGAAATTACCTAAATTGACTCAAGAAGAAAGAAGTTTTATATAAGAGACTGACTCAGTCAAAAAATCTCCCAGAAAGGAAAAGCCCAGAACCAGTGAACTCCACCCAAATATGTCAAGAAAAATGAACACCAATCCAACTCAAGCTCTTCCAAAACATAGGAGAGAAAACTTCCTAACACATACTCTAGGCCAGCATTACCCTGATACCAATTCCAGACACAGAGGTCACAAGAAAAGATAACTGCTGGCCAGTATCTCTAATGAATACAGATGCAAAAATCCCCAACAAAATACCAGTGAACCAAATCCAACAGCACATTAAAAAGATGACATACACTGCGAACAAAAGGGATTTACTTATCCTAGAACTGCAAGTGTGGTTGAACATAAGAAAATGAATCAATGTAACACATCACATTAGAACAAAGGGGGAAAAAACATATGATAATCCCAATAGAGGCAGAAAAATCATTTTACAAAATTGAACACTCTTGTGATAAAAATACTCAGCAAACTAGGAATAGAAGGGAATGTCCTAAAAGGACATTCATGAAAAACCCATCAGTAATATCATACTCAATTGTAAAAGACTGAAAGCTTTTCCTCTAAGCTCAGGAACAAAACAAAGATGCTTGTGTTCACTGCTGCTATACAATATCATACAGCAAGACCTAACCAGAGCAATTAGGCAAGAAAAAGAAATAAAAACTTCCAAAATGTAAAAATGAAGCAAAACCAACTCTATTTGCTGATATGATCCTTTATAGAAAATCCCAAACATACACACAAAAAAGCTACTATATAGCTAGTTATCAAATTCAGAAAAGTTGCACAGTACAAGAGCAACATATAAAAATTGTTTCTATACACCAGAAACAATCCAAACAGGAAATTAAGAAAATAATTCCATTTACAATAATACCCAAAAGAATAAAATACCTAGAAATAAATTTAACCAAGGAGATGAAAATCTTGATACTAAAAACCACAAAAGACTGCTGAAAGAAATTAAAGAAGACCTAAATAACAGGAAAGACATCCCACGTTCAAGGCTTGGAATACATGATACTCTTATAATAGTAATATCCTCCAAAGTGATCTACAGATTCAATGCAATCCCTGCTAAATTCCAATGGCCTTTTTTGCAGAAATGGGAAAGTGGATCCATTTGGGAGGAACCCCACAGACAAAACAATATTGAAAAAGAGAAAGTTGGAAGACTCACCATTTCCCAGTTTCAAAGTTTACTATAAACATACAATAATCAAAACAGCAGAGTACTGGAATAAAGACATGCATATAGACCCCTGGAATTGAATAGAGAGTCCAGAAATAAACCCAACGTCTATGGCCAACAGATTTCAACAGGGTCCCAAGACTATTCAACAGGGAAAGAGTAGATTCTTCAACAAATGATGTTGAGACAACTGGACAATCACATGCAAAAGAATAAAGTCACACCTCTCCCTCACTTCGTGTAAAACTATTAATTCGAAATTGACCAATGACCTAAAATATAAGAGCTAAAACCATAAAACTAGAAGAAAACACAGAAGTAAATCTTCATGACCTCAGATTCAGCAATGGATTCTTAGATTTGACACTAAAAGCATCAGTAAACAAAGAAAAATAGGTACAGGACTTCACAGTAATGAAAACTGTGTGCATCAAAGGAAATTGTTAAGAAATAAAAAGAACAGCTACAGAATGAGAGAAGATATTTGCAAATCATAACATCTGATCAAAGTTTAGTATCTAGAATATATAAAGAACTCTTATAACTTATTAGCAAAAAGACAAACAACCCAATTTAAAAATAGGCCAAAGACTTGAACAGACATTTTCCAAAGAAGATACACAAATGGCCAGCAAGCACAATGTTCAGCATCAAGGGTCACTAAGGAAATGTAAGTCAAAATCCCAATAAGATACCACTTCCCACTAGCACAGCTATAGGAAAATAGAAAAAAAAAGATAAATGTGAAGTATAAAGTGTGAAGAAATTAGAACCTTCATACATTGTTGGTGGGATGGTAAAATGGTGTAGCTGCTGGAAAAGTTTGGTAGTTCCTCAAGCAGTTAAACATAGAATTATATATGACCCAGAAATTCCACTCCTAGGTATATACCCCAAAAGTACCTATTTTTAGGAACAAAACAAGAGCAGACACTTGTTCACAAATTTGATCACAGCATTATTTGCAATAGCCAAATGGTAGAAATAACCCAAATGTCCATCAACAGATGAATGGGTAGTTTATTATAAACTCATTTAAATTCAGCCATAAAAAAGGAATGAAGTGCTGATATTGCTACAAGTTGGATCTGAAAACAATCTGCTGAGTGAAAGAAGCCAGCCACAAGAGGTAGGATTCCTTTTATATGAACAGTCCAGGAGAGGCAAATTCAGAGACAGAAGCAGATTAATGGTTGACTGGTGATAGGGGAGGGAGAAATGGGGACAGATTACTTTAATTAGCATGGGGTGTTATTCTGTGATGATGAGAAAGTTTTGAAACTAGAAAGAAGTGGCAGCTACACAACATTGAATACACTAAACGCCACTGAATTATACGCTTCAAGATGGTTAATTGCATGTTATGTGAATTTTGCCTTCACCAAAAAAAGGAAATCATAAACTTAATCTAATCATGTGCTTTAGGTTTCTTCTGGACTAAAGATCACTCTTAGAGTTAGTCTTCCCAACCGTCTGCAAGCTCCTCTGGAGAAATTAGTGTGGATTCTCTGGTCTTCCAACCTCAACTAACAGCAGCCCTATACATGCAGTTATCCAGCCACAAAACCAGGAGAATCCCTGGTCCCTCTTCCAGATCTTATTCTCACAGCCAATCCAGCACCACATACCTCCTATTCCTCTGATCTATCCACTTCTCCCCAACCCTCTTCCACCACTGTAATCCAAGCTACTCTCAACACACACCTGCATCATCGCAGCCCCTACTAACTAGTTTTCCTGATCTTCTCAAGCTGTAAACCTGATACCCCAATCCCTCCTAAAACCCTTCAATAACTTCTCACCTTTTCCACTGGCCCTCAAGCCTCTGCAGGGTCCAGCTCCTGCCGGGCTTCTCCTGCCTCAGCAAACGCCACTCCCCTCTTATGCTCTAACTCCTGGTCATACCAGTTCTAGTCTAGTCCCTTCCACACACCCCATTCCCTCCAGCTAGAGGATCACTCTCCTTTTGCTGACTCAACTCCTACTCACCACCGAGTCACTTCCTCCAGGTTTGAGTCAGATTCCTCTGTTACAAGTTCTCAAGAACCACATTTTTTTCCTCTGGAGCACTTAGCTCAGTTATACATAACACATTCAGAAATGTGCCTGGCTAATTTATGTTCATCTCTTCCATTAAGCCATAAGCTGCATGAAAGCAAACACCATATCTTTGGTTTTGTTTTATCCCCAGACCCCAACAGAACACCTAGCACATAAAAAATTCTATCAATATATATGTTCTCCATAAATGGACCCTCAACTCTATGGTCAACTAATCTTTGACAAAGCCGGCAAGAATACCCAATGGAAAAAAGGCAGTCTCTTCAACAAATGGTGTTGGGAAAACTGGACAGCCACATGCAGATGAATGAAAATGGAGCACTTTCTGACACCATCCACAAAAATACATTCAAAATAGATGAAAGACCTAAACATGAGACAAAATCATCAAAATCCTAGAGAAGACAGGAAGCAATCTCTCTGACCTTAGCCATAGCAACTTCTTACTAGACATGTCACCAGAGGCAAGGGAAACAGAAGCAAAAATGAACTATTGGGACTTCACCAAGATAAAAAGCTTCTGCACAGCAAAAGAAACAATCAACAAAGCTCAAAGGCAACCTTTAGCATGGGAGAAGATATTTGTAAACAACATATCTGATAAAGGGTTAGTATCCAAAATCTATAAAGGACTTATCAAACTTAATACCCAAAAAAAGAAATTACCCAGTTATGAAATGGGCAGAAGACATGAAGAACACTTTTCCAAAGAAGACATCCAGATGGCTAATAGGCACATGAAAAAATGCTCAACATCACTCATCATCAGGGAAACGCAAATCAAAATCACGATAAGGTATCACCTCCTACCTGTCAGAATGGCTAAAATTAACAATACAAGAAACAACAGGTATTGGCAAGGATGCAGAAAGAGGGGAACCCTCTGGCACTGTTGGTGGGAAAGCAAACTGGTGCGACCACTCTGGAGAACAGTTTGGAGGTTCCTCAAAAAGTTAAAAATAGAACTACTGTACAATCCAGCAATTGCATTACTACCCAAAGAAAACAAAAATACAGATTTGAAGGAGTACATGCACCCCAATGTTTATAGCAGCATTTGCAACAATAGCCAAACTATGGAGAGAGCCCAAGTGTCCATCAACTGATGAAGACATTTAAAAAATGTGGTATACATATACAATGTATATACAATAGAATATACAATGGAATATAACTCAGCCATTAAAAAACTGAAATCTTGCCATCTGCAGCAATGTGGATGGAGTTATTAAGTGAAATAAGTGAGAGAAGGAGAAATACCATTATGATCTTACTCATATGTGCAATTTAAGAAAGAAAACTTGATAATATGGGAGGGAGAAAAGACAAAAGAGAGGTAAACAAACCATAAGAGACTCTCAATGATAGAGAAGAAACTGAGGGTTGACGGAGGGAAGTGGGAGGCGACGGGCTAGATGAGTGATGAGCATTAAGGAGAGCACCTATTGTGATGAGCACTGGGTGTTGTATGTAAGTCATTAATCATTGAATTCTACTCCTGAAACCAATATTGCACTGTATATTAACTAAAATTTAAGTTAAAAAAATGTTTAAATTTTAAAACAGTAAAATTAAAATAAATAAAATATATGTGTTTAGTTACTGATACTCAAGCTCCAAAGTCTAATATTAAAAAAGAAGAAAAATGATTTGGGAATACAAAATGAAAACAGGGAAATTAAAGATGTAAAGATAAAAACTTTCTCAATGTGCAAAAATGATCACAGATGCAAAAGACCAAAGATACTTCAGAGATACCTCAACATCAAAAATATCCAATGCAGGGGCGCTTGGGTGGCTCAGTCAGTTAAGCGTCTGCCTTCAGCTCAGGTCATGATCCTGGGGTCCTGGCATCAAACCCCACATCGAACCCGGCATCAGGTCCCCTGCTCAGTGGGGAGTCTGCTCTCCCCTCTCCCCCTGCCCCTCCCCTCACTCATGTTCTCTCTCTCAAATTAAAAAAAAAACAACAGGATTTTCTGAAAATGGTGTTTGATTACCCTTGATAACATAGTCAGGTTTTCTGGACTGTTCAGTGGTCCTGGTCCAGTCCCTAACTGAGCCCACCTCCCTGGCATGTTGTTTTCCTGTTGCTTTTGTGCACGTGCAAAATGGAAAAATATCGTCTCTTGTCCCAGTGAGTACATAAACTTTTTGAAAGCAAGGATCCCCCCTGCTTTCTTTTAAATTTTACAGGCATATTCATTCTACTTCAGGAATTAAATTCGTAAGAGATATGAAGACAGTTAGCAGACCCAGAAATTAAGATGGCAGGCCGTGAGTGGGGAAGAGTCCTGCTGTATAGAGAAGAGGCTGAGGGATGAAGGAGGACAGCCCAAAGCTTCCCTCAGCACCACTGTCAGCTCCACGGCCAGTTTGAGGTAATGTCCCCAGCCCCCTGCTAGAATGGACCTGGAACCTGGGCACAGAAAGCATCCCCCTGCCCTGGACAGAACACCTGTCCCTACTTGTGGAAAAGATGTCCGCAGGGCAGCTTCCTCGCGGCCTGCATGGAGTCCCAGCAGATGGCACAGTCATCATTGTTGACGGCCAGCTCCTCTGGAGTTGCAACCGCAAACCTGTAGAAGACACACACACGCAGCAGATAGTATGTCAATTCCACACATGTATACGGAGTGCTGCCTTATAAACTGCACTCCTGGACAGCAGTTAACAAAGGAATCTGGTTCAGTGCAACATTCCCAACCATCAAAAACATTACATCTGCTTTCTCTTCACAGCCCATCAAAGAGCAAGAAACTTACACAAAGAAACTAACTCTGTCTTAACAACAGCTCCTGTTAGTTCCTTCAACATCACACGCTAGCTAAAAATGACTTGAGGGAACATTTCTGGGCAAACCAGAGTTAAGACCCCCTCCCCCGCCCTCCAACCTGGCCCAAGAGCCAAACTGTTCCCCTGGACACTAAAAGGTCACCCATCCATCTCATACCTTCAGGCTTGGTTTACCCTCAGTTTGGCAACTGAGGCAAGTGAGTTCCTCCTCTGGTGAGGTTAAGAGTGTGTATGTGTATAAACATGCATGTGTAAAGAATAAGTGAGACCTACTTCATAAAATAGAAGACAGAAGCTCAAAGAGGCTTCTGTTTAATGATGATAATAAAGATAAAGGTGTCATAAGAACCACTTAATATTTTAGTGAGCAGCTACTACATACCCATACTGTTCAAAGTATGTTACCTGCAGTATCCCACTGACTCCTCCCAACAGCTCCAGGAAGAAGGCTCTGCTATCATCACGAGAGTGGAAACAACTAAGGCACAGAGATTTAATTAAAGTGCCCCCAAATAACACAGCAACTGAGGATTCACACCCAAAACCCAGAACCTCCACTTAGTCTCTTCATCATTCTGTTAATAGTCTACAAAAGTGGTTCTTATATGACCTGGGATCTATTATTATGAAAGATCTAAAATGAGGCCGGTTGGGCAACATCAGCTTCTGCTCCCTCACCTGGCTTCCATGTTCCCGACCACACGCAAGTAGTTCTTGTGCCGGCGGATTCGACGCTGCACTTCATGGAAGAGATAACGCAGCTGCATGAAGATGACCAAGCTGGCCATGGATAACCAGATGTTGCCAAATAACTTTACGGGAAGGACAGAGAACAAAACACACAATAAAAATGAATGTGAAGTTGCTAGTGACAGTGCCACAGAAGCTATTATTGTGGTAAAAGTGAACTGAAACAATCTTTTTAGCAAGCAAATGCACATATTTATCTCACCACCATAAACAATTTATGTGCAATTTGGCCTAGTCATTCCATCACCAGCTATCTTTTCCCAAGAACTAATCAGAAAATTAGGGATCCCTGGGTGGCTCAGCGGTTTGGCGCCTGCCTTCAGCCCAGAGAGTGATCCTGGAGACCCAGGATCGAGTCCCACATTGGGCTCCCTGCATGGAGCCTGCTTCTCCCTCTGCCTGTGTCTCTGCCTGCTTCTCTCTCTCTGTGCCTCTCATGAATAAATAAAATCTTAAAAAAAAATTAAAAGCTTTACATACAAAGACATCCATCCATGCAATTATAAAAAAGAAAACCAGGAAATGAGCAAAATGTCCAGTAGGGAAGGTTGTAAATTCATATAATATTTATTATATAGTCACTAATTTTATTATAAAATAAGGTTATATATTAATATTACACTATGTTAAATGTATAATGTTTCTAAAGATTTAATTAGGGATCCCTGGGTGGCTCAGCGGTTTAGTGCCTGCCTTCAGCCCGGGGCATGATCCTGGAGACCCAGGATCGAGTCCCACATCAGGCTTCTTACACAGAGCCTGCTTCTCCCTCTGCCTGCGTCTCTGCCTCTCTCTCTCTCTCGTGAATAAGTAAATAAAATCTTTTAAAAAAAATTTAGGACTGTATGTATCTGAACATGAAAAGAAGCAATAAATGCAATAAAATGTTAACAGTTATCCCTGGGCACTTGGGGGCTTTAAACAAAAGCTATACATGGTTTTTTAAAGTATATTTTCAAAAAGGACACTTAGAAATGTTCTGTGTCTAACAAGTAATTTTTTTAAAGATTATGTAAATAAATAAAAATAAAGATGGATTTATTTATTGTGGGGGAAGGGCAATGGGGAAAGGGAATGGGAATTTTAAATAGACTCCATGCAGAGCACAGAGCCTGATGTGGGGCTCGAACTTATGACCTGAGCCGAAACCAAGAGTCAGACACTTAACTGACTACACCTCCCAGGTGCCCCAACCCAGTAATCTTTAAATGCACCTTTAATAGGCTTATAATATAAATCAACTGCCCACCAAATACGTTGATTCTCACCATTATTAGAACACTGAAGCGCTAACCATTGAAGTACATTTTCAACACTATAATTTCTTGCACAGCAAAATAAAATGTAAACAATGAAGTAGGCGGAATTAAGTATAAATGTTTTCTTTTTAATTATAAAGCAGAAAATGTATGAATCCATGAAGTAGCTAACACCGCAAGAATTCCCATTACCCCCTACAAAGTAAGTGCTACATATTAGAAGCCACAGAAGCTATGGGGAAACAGAGAATTCCCTTATTTTCATGTTAGAACAATTACCAGTGACTTGGTCAGTGGAGTTAACACAGTGTCCTAGGAGGAGAGCAAACTTAGCCTTGAGCTAGGCTCCAGCCCAAGTGTACCACTGCTTTATATCCAGTGGCAGAAAGACAGAGGGGCATGGCTGTTTGTTTCAACAGTCTTTATGTGGTTTCCACAAATGTTTCATTTACATGTACTAACCAGAGTTCCTGATTCTAAAACACTTAGCTGAGTTAGAGCTCCTTCTGAGGAAGCTTACCAACATATGAATATGGTGCATGAGGTCCAGGGACAAGAGAGTGAGCTCCATGACAAAATCTGTGTAATAGACATAGGTTCCTTTTCCTTCCCAAGTCCCTTCATGGTTGAGGTCCCAGAGGTGAATTACATATCTGTAGTGAACAGAGAAAAATCATTTTAGTAACTTACTGTTACAATTTAATTTGGCTTAAACATGATGCAGTATAGCCACATTTTTATAGATTTTATACATGTTACATCTTAAAATCAACTGTATGAGTAGACCTCAATCGCCTCCCTCCCAAAGTTCTACTCACCGTAAAATCACATGAGCAGTCCTCACTGTCACAAGAAGAGACTATATAAAGAAAGATGTATTTTTTCTTTAGTAAAATTTGCAAATATAAAAAGCAAACGTGTCAGTTCAATTACAGCACTGGTTATTCCCGGGGGGGTGGGGTGGGGTGGATGGGACGAATGTGGTCAGAAGGTAAAAACTTCAGTTGCAAGATAATTAAGGAGTAGAGATGTCATCTCCAACATAATGACTGCAGTTAACACTGCTGTGGTACTTTAACTTCTGCAAGTTGTAGAGAGGGTAATCCTTCTCATCACAAAGAAAAAAAGCCCTTCTCTTTCTTTTTCTGTATCTATAATGAAATGATGGCTGTTAAGGAAACTTACAGTGATAATCACTTCACAATCTATGTCAGTTAACCATTAGGCTGTACACCTTAAAAGTCAATGGTGTAAGTCAATTATATCTGAACAAAACAGAAATAAAAAAAGCAGGTTGTTCAAGTTTACCAACTATTTTTTTTATCCGCTTCAAATTTCCATGAAATGTTTTCATGACCTAGAAACCAACTTTCATTGAGCCTTTTCCTGTTAATAGGTGACAATCGATTATACCCGTCCATCTCCTGGGGCTGCCTCCTACAATCCTGAGGCTCATTCTAGTAGTTTGACAATCACTTCTATTTTATACAGCAGGAAGTCATCATCACTGATTACCTCAAAGGGTGTTTGAATATTTGGTGATCCTATACCCAAAGTATAGTTTAGGTTACCACAATCCAAGATGAGTACCTGCTCTCTACATAACGTTTTGTACACCCCCTTTGCCCACACAAAAGCAAAAAGAATGAAGGAAATAAAAAATAAAAAAAGCTCTTCATAGTATTTGATATTACAGAAATTGATTGTAACAAAATTTCCTCTTAAACTACCAGAATAGAACTATTATATTGTTTGAGATTTGGAAATTCCAGTTTATAAATGGAAAACATTTTACATAGAGAAACAGTATAAATTTTAAAATATGATTAAGTTCAAAATATAGAAACTGTAACATGATAAATTATCTTAAGTCAATAGTAATGAGCTAAAATTATGTACTATAGTATGATCCAAAAAGCCTAATTTAAGTGTCTTTATTTTTAGGTATACCTTTCCCAAAGTTTGGGTTAAAATTAATTAAAAGTAAAATAGTACGAATATCAGACTATCACGCAAAAGGTGATTATAAAATATATGTAAAGCAAAGTAACATAAATCAATGCAAAAACATTTTTACACAGATTTTTTTTTCAAGAGGAACATACACAAAGTATTTATCTAGAATTGTAAATGATTTACTAAGTACCTAAACATCCCTTTCCTAATTTGTTACACTACATTGTATTCTGAAATCAATCCTATTAAGCAAAATAAAACTTTAAAAAAATTTTTTTAAATAAATTCTTACCCATATGGTTCTCAAACTCACAACACCCAGATCAAGAGTCACTCTACCAAATGACCCAGGCCAGATACCCCAATAAATTTTAATCCTATTCTAACAAATACCCAAAAAGTAGTTCAAATTTATTGTTTTGATATTAGCTAATTAGCTTTAATAATTTATTATTTCATCTTTTTCTTTAATAGTAGCAATTACTATTAATTTTTCATTAATAGGAGCAATTAATAGTAGGCAAAGAGATATTTTGCCTTTGGCCTGAGGGAGAAAGCAAATATAGCAACTGAATAGAAGGACATATAAAAAATTTTATTTCTACTGAACAAAAATGATTATTTTCAGAAAGTTTTAAAGAGTAAATTTAAAATGTACATGAATATCATTGTTCTTCCAAAACAAAGAAGTTTATATATATTATTCTATAAAATCTTAATTTATATCCCATTTAAAATCCCAATTAATTTACGGAATATAACATACGTTATTATTTTCATCTCAAATTCTCACACATATCTACATATTAAGTGTGTGTGTATTTTTTTCCTAGTAGGCTCCAACCCAACATGGGGCTTGAACTCATCACCCTGAGATTGAGAGTCCCATATTCCACCGACCAAGCCAGCCAGGTACTCCTTAGATAAACCAATTATAAAATATTTCCTTATTCATCACCACCAATCAGTCTTCATTATATCTTAAGAGGAATTGGGAGTCACAGGGCTTGAATTGTGCCACTGCTGACTCTGAAACTTCAAATCATTCACTGCACCCTCTACACCAGTTTTCCACATTTATAAAGAGAAATAATAAAATGAATCAATACACATAAGGTATTTAGAGCAATCCCCAGCATACAGTAAAGCACTATATAAATGTCAGCAAAACTTACTACTTTTTATTAAGTTGTAGCAAAGATTACAGGAAATCATACATTTCTCCCTTCAATATCAGTACCCAACACAAAAGCAAGGAATTCAAGATATGCTCATTAAGACAAAAGACCCTCAGTCACCGTGCAGGGGGCTTGAAAACACACAGGAGTTGATGGGGACAACACCTGCATCCACTTACCTCCGCCGCCATGAAAGCCAGCGTGTGCATCCCGTGCGTGTAGCCAGTGACACAGCAGACAACTGCTAATCCACAGCAAGAAAGCAGCATCGCGATCAGCAGAGACAGAACCCGCCCGTGGCTACTCATGGGTGTGGTGGGAGAAAACGACAGCTGAAATGCACAAACGAGAGGAAAAGAAGCTCATTCTTCTTCACTGTGGTATTAAGCTTCCCTGAGAAATGCAATAATGTTAGTGTTTGGGAGTCTCTGCTCAGGAACTCGGGTTTAGCAGCACCACCAAACACCAAGCACAGAAAAGCACCCTGTTACCAGATGGTCAAAATTCTCCACCCAACTTAAACGTGAGCATGAGCGAATATTGAGAGATTTCTACTGCTTAATTTACGGAATATAACATACGTTATTATTTTCATCTCAAATTCTCAAGGATCTTCCTACTAGTGGAATTATAAGTCTCTCTCCAAGCAGTTTTCCAAAGGTATGTAATTCTCTCAACATTGGCTAGCACTCCAGACTGCACCATGTCCTTTTGTGTTTCTTTCTCCAACTGGCTCTCCCCCTCCTCCCAAAAAGTCCCTTGGAGAACATTCCTAAGGTGTTTAAGGCTGAGACAACCAAAATGTCATCCAGGTGCAGAGTTCCCGCTATCACAATGCTCCACTGAGAGTGCACAAGGGGAGGCCCAGGACTGGGACTCTGAGCAAGAGGGCGGAGGTAACACAACTATTAGGGAGGCTGGGCCCTCCTGCTGGTGACTGATGAGCAGCTTTCAGATTGAGATGACATCACACAGAGGTGCAGGCACCACCTGTCCCCCCAGGACCGAGTGAAAGGGGGAGCAAATGAGGCCCGGGAGCGGCATGTAACTGAGGGGCAGAACTGTAGGTGTGCATTGCCCCAGGACCCATGATGTTAGTCCGGGTGCGCTGAAGAATGAGGGTGCACACCCACAGCTGATCTGAAGCTGAGAGGCAGATCTTGTACCCAGACAGGGAAGGACCTTGGGACACTAGAGGGCTAATTCAGTCCTTGCCCAGGGGTGGAAACAGTGTAGACTAGTTAGAAAGAAGGCTCCAAGAATCAGAGAGAACAATGGAAGGAGACTAGAACAGAAAATATCTGGAAGATAGCCGCTTTAATTCAGGTTAGACACTAAGCTTTCCCCGTGCAGTGATCAGAATGTGAGCTGGAACGCAATCTGCCAGTGGAGGGAAAGGGAACCTCCTGAGGAGACCCTGACCCTGAGTTCTTTGGCTGCTGTAGGAAGTTCCTCAAGAAATAGGCAGCAGCCACCTGATCTAGGAGCCTTGCCCTGGAGACCTACCTGGGACTTGCCCATTATGGCTCATTCATCTTACACAATGCAAGCTCCGCAAACATGTGACTAAGCAAAGAGCTTGGCTAAGACTTGGCTGAAAACTCACATATTCAAATCGGTCCTTGCAGAGCTGAACCATCAGATGTAGAAATACAAGTCCAGCAAACCAGAGGCACCACATGACCACCTCTTCCACTGTCTGCACATTCAGCACACCAAAAATGAAAATGAACTTGTAGAAAATAAAATTCCAGAACTTGTCTTTGAGGTGCTGCAAAGACAAATATTTATAAAGGTTTAGTACTATTACATCTAACCTATTTAAGAGAAGATAACACAACAAAAATGTGCTGCCCTGTAGAAAATATTCTACGGTCAGCTAACATTTGTTTGCAAGACATTAGAAGGTAAAGACAAAAATAAACTCTCTGAAGAATAAAGATAAGACACCTAGAAAGTAATGTGTAGACTCTAGATTGTAACCCTCAGTCAGTTATAAAATTTGAGCCACCAAAGGGGGAGTGACAGTAGTCTAGTACCTTGCATATTAGGGGTAATACAAATACTTCGAACACAAAATCTAAAAACTGGTGATACTGCTACAAGTATTTTTAATAATTCTGCTCTCTGGATTCTTAAAACAGACAACAGAAAAAAAATAAGTTCTTTTTTTCTTAAAGATCTTTCTGATGAAAAAATAACCTATGCTCATTTGCCAGCCTGTAATTGATAAGATAAAAATGATGCCTTAACATTTTTATGTATTTTTCTTGTCTTCCTAATGTGCAAAACCTTAATTTTTGTACACTGCTTTATTTCACTTCTCATATTGTGAGAATCTTTCCAATAGCAGTGAATAATTTGTGTATATACCATTTTAGTGGTTGCAGAAGGACAATGGAATTCTTTTTAATTTTTCTCTGTTCAGAAAATGTTGCAATGAATATCTCTGCCAGAGTTGCTATTTCTTCAGCATTACTGAATCAAAGGTTACGAATGTTTTTATGATTTCTAATAAGTACCACCCACCTGGTTTCCAGAGAAGCTGTATAAATGTCCTCTCCCAGGGGCAGTGGGAGAGTACATTGCCTACACGGAGGATATCCAGTTTTTAACATCTTTACTACCCTGAAGAAAAAGGGCAAGGAGAAGAGTCTATCCAACAGATACTAAAATATACTATTGAACCATCTGTGGGAGGAGTGGGAGCTGAGTCAAGAGGTAAGAATGGGACAGGGCTTCTAAGTCTATTTTCAGAAATAGTTCTGAACCATATAAATATTTCACCAATTAAAAAAAAAAACAGAAAAAAAGCAAAATTGATCAGAGAAATAACTGAACCTAAATGTGTAAAAAATGAAGGACTACTGAAAGATAAGATTATTTTGAGAACTTTTACACACTGTACTGACCGTACACCATTTACACAAAGAACAAATGGGACTAGGAATCTTTGGTGAGTGCCTGTTTTCAGATCTGGGACAGGTAAAGTACAAGGCGAACCCGACATTTTGTGCCTGGGTTTTGAATCTTCACTCTACCATGTATTTGCTGTGCAACTTAGGATAAGTCACTTAACATTCTCATGCTTTGGTCTCTCCATCTAGAAGATGGACCTTATGACCCCAGTATCTGCCTCATAGAATTGTTGAAGGAGCTAAATAAGCTAATATACGTACAATGTTTGGATATGTGCCATAGTAGGTACTACATGCTATAAAAAAGAATTCCTTCTTCTAAACCTCCACTGAACAGTTTTATTTTTATCCCATTTTCAGTATTCAATGTCTCTGCCTCCAGCATGACTCTTGAGCTTTCTTGAATCACCCACAGAGCAAACCCATGTCAATTCTGCAGCATTCTAACTCAAACCCAGGCTTTATACATGCCACTGAATGACATTCATCCAAAAAAAAAAAAAAAAAAGTCATCACGGTGGTGAGCACAGAATAAGTGTATAGAGCTGCTGAATCACTGTGTGGCATAGCTGAAACTAATGTAACACCGCATCAACTATACTTGAACAACAAGTTTTAAATAAATAAATAAGTGAAAGATGTGATCTGTACTGAAAAACTGAAAATAAAGTAACAGACGTGCCTTCTTCCATAGCCATGGTAAAAATCTCTGTAATGTTCCAAGGTAATGTTCTCTGTAAATTTTGAACTGCTATTTATCATTTCAGAAAAATGAAAGCAGTAGATTAAGGCCCACTGGTGCCAGATCAAGCCACCAGCAAGGAGATGGCTTGCCGGGCCTGATCATTTTCTGGCCCACAAGCCAGAAGTTTTTCTTCACAAAGAGAGAAGCATCAAAAGGAGCCTGTATCCTACCCCAAAACAACCTCCCACTGATGCTTCCTAGGAGACCCCTGGAGTTGACATTTTGGAGAAAGTACTGAATACTCACTAATGAAAATTCTCTGGGAGAACACACAGAGTCCTGCTCATAAGAGCATCCAAGGACTCAACCAGAGTAGCCTTGTTTTAGCTCTGAACTAGGACCTCAGCTGCTCCAATAACAGGACTTGGGTTGAAAGGGTAGGTAAGGAGTGAGGCCAATAGAAGTTCAAAGTAGCAGGTCCCTGTGTCTCATGACTGGGATAAGATAAACTCAAGTCTAGTTCTGTTTGTATGTTGTTGTTTTAAGGCCAGTTCTAAATTCTTATTTTTAAACACACCATTCTATATTCTACACTAAAATTCTTGGGGGACTGCCAAGCTGTACAGTATGCTTGTGGCATATTCTTTATTAAAAGCACGTCCTGCTCATATACGTGTACATTCTGGGAGTAATGTTCCAATGTCCGACTATCCCACCTGAAACAAAAACAAGTCAACTAATTTTCTGCTTGTAGAACAATGGATCTTAATTGACTTGTCCAAAGGGAGAAATTTAAATCTCTTGGTAATCCCTTTGGAAAAGGGCCTATATTCTAAAGAGTGATATTTATTATTATTCAAACTAAAGCAATTCTATGCTTCTTTAAAAACTGCATATATGAAAGGCATGGGAAAAACAGCTATAGAGAACAGTCTCGGGGCAACCTGGCTACACTGAATATGGACTATGGATTCCAGAAAGTATTTCATCAATGCTAAGTTTCCTGATTTTGATGATTGTGCTATGGTTACATAAGAAAATATCCTTGATTTTGGGAAACACATACTGAATGAAGTATTTGGTAACATAGGGGGTAGGATGCCCACAACTTACTCTCAAATGGATCAAAAAATATGTAAAATATAAATAAAAGGCAAATATGAAAGCAAATTGGACAGAATGTTAACAACTGTGAATCTAGATCAGGGTATATGGAAGTTCTTCAGAGTATTCAGGCAACTTTTCTGTAAGTTTAAAATTATACCAAATGCAAAGTTAAAAAAAAAAAAATCTGGTCACTAAAATCAGGCTTAGCCTTGGACTTACCTGCCTCTCACTCACTCGAAGAGGGCCAAACACAATACACTGGATTAGCTTAGCCACCAGCATCAAAACACAGCATGCAGTATTTACTAGAACCTGTTTACAAACCAAAGAAACAAAGTTTATTTCCTCCTATTGAAAAGTAAAAGCAGCTCTAAAAATTTCGTATTAGAGGGGCGCCTGGGTGGCTCAGTCAGTTAAGCATCTGCCTTCGGCTTAGGTCTTGATCCCAGGATCCCGGGATGGAGCCCCATGTCTTGTCAGGCTTCCTGCTCATCCGGCAGTCTGCTTCTCCCTCTCCCTCAGCCCCTCTCCCTGCTTGTGTATGTGCTCTCTCTCACTCACGCTTTCTCGTTCTCTCTCAAATAAAATCTTTTATAAAAATTTTGTATTAAGAATTCAGCAATCATTCCTAATGACTGAGCCTCTCCAGTTTAAGTAATATTTGAAGGGGCACACTTTTATGTGTGGAGGAGAGATGAGGAGTGGGAAGGAGAGGTATCAGCTTACCATTTAATTCACCAAGCCCTGTTCCAATATGTACCATCCAGCAGGCCACCTTCCCTTTCAGCCTTTACTGAACTGTATGTAAACTTTGTACTGAATGTACAGAACTGTATGCACCTTGCAAGCCACAGATATCTCCTAGGGACATCATTCCTACATTTAGATTTTAATAGCCTTGAATAAAACTTTTCTAGAAGTTGAAGTTATCATGAAGTAAAATCCAGCATCCAAATATCCTACTCTGCCCTGCCAAACAAATAGCAGGTGAGGTTGATGGTCACATAAAAGCCCTAAGACCATAAAAAACTAAGCACCCCCAATACATACATACACACACACAAACATGCACGCACGAGCACTACAATGGGACAATCTGCCAGTCAAAAGATAAATGTCCTCCACGCTCAGTGTTGGCCTTCATGTAAAGATTCTGGGGCATCAGAGGTAAATGGAATTGAGAAACCAGAAAGAAGGAAGAAGGGGTATCTGAGAACTGGAATGCAACCAGGAGCCACCAATGTAAAACCAAGGCCTTCTTCAACAGGAGGTGGGAAATCTCTTTCCTTAGATTATTAAGATATGGATACCCCAATACCTAAACAGCAAATCTAACACAAAATGAAAGAGGGGGCTGCCCTTGACCAAGATGCTAGTGGGGCACATCTTATCACTGATGCTCAAATGATTTTTAAAACTCTGCTTGAGGGGATCCCTGGGTGGCGCAGCGGTTTGGCGCCTGCCTTTGGCCCAGGGCGCGATCCTGGAGACCCGGGATCGAATCCCACATCAGGCTCCCGGTGCATGGAGCCTGCTTCTCCCTCTGCCTGTGTCTCTGCCTCTCTCTCTCTCTCTCTGTGACTATCAAATAAATTAAAAAAAAAAAAAAAAAAAAAAAAAAACCTCTGCTTGAGGGACATGAGGGTAGCTCAGCGGTTGAGCATTTGCCTTCAGCTCAAGTCATGATCCCGGGTCTGGGGATCGAGTCCCACATCAGGCTCCCTACATGGAGCCTGCTTCTCCCTCTGTGTCTCTGCCTCTCTCTCTGCATCTCTCATGAATAAATAAATAAAACCTTTAAAAAAATAAAACTCTCCATGACCCCAAAAGCCATAAAAGACCTTGATAAAGACAGTAAACATGACTTTTATTGAGAGCAAATGGAAATGAACCCCAACTCAACGTAGACTGTCTCAAGCTTTGATTCACTAACTTTACAAGAAGGTTGCCACATTCTTCTTCCTGGGTCATTCTTCCCTCTGCTCTTAAAAGAAGCAAATCATATTGTGGAAGGAAAAAAAAAAAAAAAGATGTCAGATCCCCCTTAGTATCTCATCCCATCCGCTTTGGCAGCCCTGATTCATTACAAGATTAAATTAGGTTTAGTCCTATTCTGCCTAATGGGATAAGGAAATGTGATACATTTTTAAAGAATTAAAAAAAAAAAGTTCATCTGAAACTGTTCTGGTAATTAAATCCTGCAAATAATCAGGAAAAAAAAAAAACAAGTTACCGAAAACATCCTATATCCCTAACTTGTGACTCCCTGTAGAACAGCCCTATTTGAAACAGTCCAACAAATAGCTTAGAATATTAATTTTTAAGGAGATGAAATAGATGTGAAAAAGGTTCATTTTCACTATGTTCTAAACCAGCCAATGGGAACTTCAGTCAGGAAAATTTCATCAGACAAAATCACAACCACAACCCTTCAGGGCCACCTCTCCTAGCTGAGCAGAATTTTTTTTGTTTTAAAGTAAACTCTACCACCAACAGAGGCCAGGACCTCACAACCCTGAGGATCAAGAGTCACATGATCTATCGACTGAGCCAGCCAGGTGCCCCTGAACACAATTTTTAAAATCACAACACAATTTTTAAAAAGAATTCTTGCCGGTTTTGCATGTAGGCATTGGAAATAGGGAAATAAAGTCCACACATTTAGCACCAACTTGTTCAAGGCTTGTGAGAGATTAAGAGAAATGAAGGAGCTCTGGACCCTGCATTCAAAGAGCTTTTAGTATCTACAGGACACAGAACTTGATAAGCATCTAACAACACACCAAGCAGGTTGCTGGGAGCATAATCAATGCAGGAGAAGAAAGTAAATTTGGGGTGGCTTAATCATTGATCTACCCAAAAGCACATTCTTGTGCATCTTGGGTTACAAAACAAAAAGTAAAGTATTATTTATCATTTCTCAGTTACATTTCTTAAGGTTCAAAAATGCAGTTTAAAAAAAAATCTGTATTTTTTTAAGTGAAAGTCTGTCATAATCCCATCACTCATAAACATTTCTTACTTTAATTTCAATGGAAGATTTAAAAATTAGCAAAGGTAAGAAAGAAAAAAAGCTTGAGAAAATATACTGATATTAGAAAGGGAATTTATGTAAAAAAGAGCTAACCTTTTGTGAACTTTATATGAAAGCTAGAGCTACACAGAATTGGAAGCAACTAAAAATTATTTTAAGATGATGAACAAAGTGTTTTTAAAAACACTTTCAGGATTATTAATAACTTTTTTTCTATGTCTATTTATAGAAAAATGGTTTAATATATGATAAATTCTGAACTTTAAAACTGACAAAGCCTTGAAAAATTGCAAATATGGAAAAAACATAATTGTAGCATTCCTCACTTAAAAGTATATCCCACCAACTATATACTTCAATTAAAAAAAAAAACTTGTACAAAATTTTTTTTTACCTATGTGTGAGCATTTGCTAAATTTCACACTGTATAAAATTGTGTTTCTGGGCCTCTGAATAGGAGAGAAAGATAAATAAATGAATACTTCTTTCTACTGGGGATAAGTGTTATTTTCTAACTGAAGTAAAATATTTCATTCTAAAAAATTAAATAAATAAATATATATATATATATATATATATATATATATATATATATATATATTAAAGCAAATCCCAAATCAGATCCCATAGGGTCACCAGTAATATTCTTATAGAAACCACACTTTAGCCTAGATGTGTAAATCCACAGAACCAGGAAACCTTCAATAATCAAAATGAGGCTCATCTCCAGCAAGCCTGGTCTGAACCACCACTTTATCCACACAGACCACACTAAAAGTACTAACTTCATTTTTTCTGTTCTATGCAACTGCTAGTTTTTCCTTGCAGGTAGAATCCAAACTTAAATGTAAAGATAAGGGGTTCACTGGAGCACTGTTCACTAATGGCAGAAAAATGGAGAAAAAGTAAATGTTCCCCCAGAGAGACAAGTTCAATAAACTGCAAAACAGTCACTCAGTGGAATACCATGAAGCTGAGAAAATTAACTCAACAGCTTTGCTACTTACTAGCATTGTCTGGAACCTTCCAGATCATTTGTTCACTGAAAAAAAAGCAAGGTGTAGAAATGCCATTACCATGCTACCCTGTATGCAAAAGAGAAAGGGTATGCATCCGTACACACAGACGCCTTCGTATCATTGTAGATGTGGACAGTGTCAAGGACTTGATCAACCTGGATGTTTCTTAGTCTCCTATTCAACACCAGCATTACTTACAAGCACATGGTAATGGCCACTTCTGGGAAAGGGAAGCAAATTTACTCTTCACTATACGTCACTTGTGTCATTTTTAACTTCTGTACCATGATCATGTGTTATTTCTTTTAATTAATTTTTCTAAAGTTTAGAGTCCACTGAACTTTCTGACCAGTTCTAAAGTTCCACATTTATTTTTCCTATCATGATAGGAGACTGATAACTAGGTAAAACCCAAACTGGGTGGCCTCAGTGATCCTGTTATATGGTGTTTCTATTGTATTAAAATACTTCAGAAGAGTTTCTCATATCTAATGCAGTGTAAAAAATTAAATAGTATTTTTAAGACCTCACAGAAAATCTTTCTTTTGGATTTAGCCTTCACAAAACAGAAACAGGTTTTGTTTATGCCTGAGTAGCCTAGAACAGAAAACATCAGATAATAGTGACCCAAGGAACCTCTACTTAATCAGGCTTGAAGTAATTCCCTTTAAGGCCCTGTAAGAAAATTTCCCTCCCAGAATGGTTCTACTGTGCTACTTGAAAACAACAGAAACTAAATTATAAAACAGTTTAGCCTGAGAGGAAAAGAGGAAAGAGTGATAACTCTCTTAAACAGCTTAGCCACATTTATCACTATGTAACCCTGGAGGTATTTTTGATCCTGTAAAATGCTGGCCACAATGGGGTGTTATTTATGAGTTTGTGATGAAATGTGGTTCTACTATCAGGAACTGTCCCAAGGACTGGATCAATATGGTATTTCTTAGTCTCCTATTTAACACCAGCACTAACCCCCATCTCCACACCATTTGTCTGTCTCTTCCCTGTAAGAACAACTGGAATATGTTATCTCTCTGCAGGCTCTAACAAGCATAAAATTCAATAAAGGGGCACCCTTGGTGGTGAGCCTCAGACTCTTGGTTTTGGCTTGGGTCATGATCTCAGGGTCGTGAGACTGAGCCCTGAGTCCAGCTCCACGCTCAGTGCAGAGTCAGCTTGAGACTCGCTCTCCCTCTCCCTCCGTCCCCCACCCCCACACTACTCCTACTCTCACATTCCTGCTCTCTCTCTCAAATAAATAAATCTTAAAAAACAAAAAAATGAAATGCGAAGATGCATACCCCCCCATTACATGGATGATCAGATTCCTCTTTTCACAATATCAAGGAAATAAGTGAGTTTATGTATACAGAGCACTCAGCATGCACTTAGCAAGCAATCAAATGGTCTCTTTCCCCCTCACCTGAGGATATTTCCTATATTTTCAAGTTGTTTATTTAGGCTCATATCCTATTATTTAGAAACGTAGTCTTTCTCTTTAGCTGCCCCAACATTTCTAAAGCCAATATTTTTCTCTCTACTTCTTTGGAATATTCAACTTATATAGACTCAAACCTAGTAAATTACTTTTAATTCTGAAGTTTCGTAATTATATGAAGATGAGCTCTTTAAAGCAGAAGTCAGCCATTTTTCTCTAATGGGCTATCAGATAATAAATATTTTAGGCTCAGTAGGCCATACGCTGTCACAAAGTCTTCCTCTTAAGAAAAAGAACTTAAAAAATATAAAAACCATCATTAGCTAACAGACTGTACAAAATAGGCCAGGCCAAATAGGCCACTAGTTTGCCCATCCCTGCTCTAAATGGTCAGTTCACTTTTCTCCATTTTCATTTTTGGTGATTTTTCCCCCCTAGAGACTTCTATTTAAATAACTTGATTTGCATAAACTAACCCAGAACTTTAACACTTATTTCGTATTCCCATTTCTCCATTTTACCATGTCCTGCTCTTTAAAAATTTTAGAAGCAGGGATCCCTGGGTGGCACAGCGGTTTGGTGCCTGCCTTTGGCCCAGGGCGCGATCCTGGAGACCCGGGATCGAATCCCACGTCGGGCTCCCGGCCTGCTTCTCCCTCTGCCTGTGTCTCTGCCTCTCTCTCTCTCTCTCTCTCTCTCTCTGTGACTATCATAAAAATAAAAAAAAATTAATAAATAAATAAAAATTAAAAAAAAATTTTAGAAGCAAGTCTGTAAAAAAATAGGGGAGGGAGAGGAACAGAAAGGAGACAGTAATGAAAATAACAAGAATAAAGACGTGCAAAAGCCAAATACACCTGTACAATTCAAAACAATATTATAGATTGGATCAAGAGGTACTTTAACGCAAGTAACATCTGAAAAGTGTAAAATAAAACTAGAGGGATCCCTGGGTGGCGCAGCGGTTTGGCGCCTGCCTTTGGCCCAGGGCGCGATCCTGGAAACTCGGGATCGAATCCCACGTCGGGCTCCCGGTGCATGGAGCCTGCTTCTCTCTCTGCCTGTGTCTCTGCCTCTCTCTCTCTCTCCCTGTGTGACTATCATAAATAAGTAAAAATTAAAAAAAAAAAAAAAAGAATTTAAAACTAGAAATGAGCAACAAAACCTAATCCCGTATGAAACTTTAGAATGAAAGTTCTAGAAAGACATGAAGAAACAAGTGATCACATCAAATGTGGGGATCTACTAGTGTGAGAACCCTGGAGCCTCCGCTCCAACCTATTCTCAACACCCACACCAAGGGGGCCACTTGGAGAGACCTCCTTTGGGGAGGTCTTAATTCACATCTCCTGGCCTCTTCCCATTTACATAATCCCTCCTCACCACTGCTGCCAAAGGTGCCCCCTGAGGAAAACGTATCATCATGACAGGCTCTCCTCCCCTCCCACTTAAACCCTATGGCCCACAAAATGATGTCCATACTCCTTAGCAGGGCAGTCAAGATGTACATAATCTGACCCTCACCCCACATCCTATCCTCCCTAATCCATTTCTCAACCACCAATGTGCCTAAAAAAATCACTTGGGACATTTGTCAAAATGAAGATTCCAAGGCTCTGCCCCTCCCCTTGAATTGAACCCTGGATAGAATCTGAGAAACTACATTTTTCTAGTACCAGGTTGCCATTCTGAGAAATACACCGTTACAGGGGTTGGTCACTTCCTTCACCTCCTGGGACTCCTGGATCTCACTTTTACCTTCCCAACCTCACTCAATCATAGCACCCAACGGAGTTGTAATTTAAGAGCCCAGTGGGGATCCCTGGGTGGCGCAGCGGTTTAGCGCCTGCCTTTGGCCCAGGGCGCGATCCTGGAGACCCGGGATCGAATCCCACGTCGGGCTCCCAGTGCATGGAGCCTGCTTCTCCCTCTGCCTGTGTCTCTGCCTCTCTCTCTCTCTGTGTGACTATCATAAATAAATAATTAAAAAATATATATATTAAGAGCCCAGTGTATGGGCCGCTCTGCATAGGCCCTGCACCACCTTTCATACACTGTCTGAACTTCACATGCTGCTGTCTTCTCCACATGCAGTACACCATGCTACTTGCTGAGATCCTTCTCACCTCCCAAGGCTGGGTATAAATACCATCTTTCATGCATTCTTCCCCTAGGCATCACTTCCTCTTTCTTCCAGACTCTGCTATTTTCTTTATACATCTATCATCACTTATCAAATTTTGCTTTATGTGTATATGGATTTGAGGGTCAGGGGAAAGGGTTCACAGCTATGCCCTCCAGAGTACCCCTAAATGGTAGCTCTGAAAGGGTTTGAGTTTATATTAATCAAAACCTCCTGAGATGCTATCAGACCTACATTAATTTAAATTGTGATCTACAAAGGTAAGTTTTAAAAGATTCCAATATGCCGAATAACAGCTATCATGATTTGCAAATTGGCGGAAAGATCCGTTTTTGTTTCGTCTTGCTTGGTTTTTTAAAAATTGAATCTGAATGTCTTTGGGCAGGGTGCCAAAGGGATCCATTTTGACCAAGGCCCCACCATAAATATTCACTCAATCATGCCGTCAGGCTAAGGAAACAGGCTTTTGAGATGTGACTCCTGCTCAGCTACTAAAGCAGAGACTATGCCATGGGCGATGAGGAAAGCTTACAGAGCACACGTGGAGGGTCTGAGAAACCAAGGCAGGTTGCCATGAAAGTGAGAACCACCAGGAAGGAGGTTAGAAAAACAGTAAGATCACCTGAAAAATGAAAACAATCGACAGATCAGGAAGAAATGTGAAACCTGCTTTTAGGTAAGATCGCTAAAGAAAAAACTGGAGGGAAATGTAAATTTTCTGAAAAGAAGTATTTTTTTGCAGGAAAATCAACAGGCTTTTTGTAGTGTTTTATGAAAAGTGTTAACCTTGGAATTTGAACAAGGGTTTGGTAAAAACAAAAACAAAAAACTCCCGGGGGGGGGGGGTGCGTGTGTGTGTGTGTAAGTTCACTAAACAATAGTAGTTCAATTCTATAGTGGTTCTGCCTCAAAGGCTTATTTAGATCTTGTACTTATACATCAAAGAATACGTTATAATCTTCACATTTGGCAGAAACACTCTTCACATCACTTTAAGTTGTTTACCTGCTAACTCAAATGAAAAAAATAGATTGGCGAGAAGACAAAAGAGGAGTTCTTTCTCTTCTTCTCCCCTACTGTTTACACAGTACCAAGTGGCAAGTGCTCAGCCTGGAAGGAATAAAACTTCACCCTTCACTGCCTGCTACTAATCTCTCCATCAGAAGGACCAAGAGACTGAATCCACAGCCCACCGAGTTCATAAATCCCACAGCTTCCTGGTGAAGCACAGTGGGATTAATTACAACAAATGAGTCGTATATCATCCTCGCTCCTTGGAATATTAATGTTAGTCATTTACAGCCTACTCTTAACCCCAAATGAGAACTGTAGGAGAAGACAAGCCCCAAGACACCGCGGCAAACCCAAGTGACAGACTTAAATCCTGGCTCCACTTTTCTGACCCGTGTGTGCGCGCGCACGTGTACCTACGCGGCATTCAAGGCCAAAAGGTGGAAGCAAACAAAGTTCTTTAGCCGAAACCGTGTTGGTCTGCCCAGCCTGGCAGGATCTGTCCTAAGGGGCGCAGCCAGCACCTATGCCTTGTAGGTGCTGCTTATCTCGCGCTGGCAGACGAACTGCAGACGCCGCGGCAGAGTGGGCCACGGGAGGGAGAAGGCCCGGGGCGCGAAGCAGGAGGCTGCTCCGGCCGCCGCTGTTCGCCCGCCCTCAGACATCCAGGGAAACCGCCTAAGCCACCCGGGAAAGGCAACGGGAAAGGCAGCACGGCCTGCAGGCGCGCCGGACCCGGCCAGGCACTCCCGCGCTCGACGGCAAGGGGAGAAACAAAAACGAAAACAAAACAGCAAAGGAAGAGAAAAGTTACGGGACATGGCCGGGGCCCTCGGGGGCGTCCCAGCACAGCCCGGTGCGTCCGACTCCGCGCCCCGCGGGCCCAGCCGGGAGCCTCTCCGCGGCTCCGCGGCTCCGCGGCTCCGCGGCCGCCGGACGCGGGGTCCCGGGGCCCGGGCGACCCCCCCCCGCCCCCCAGGCCGCGCGCCGCGGGCCCCGGGGCGGCGACCCCGGCCCAGCCACGCCCCCCGCGCATAATGGGCGCCACGGCGGCCCCCGCCCCGCCGGCCCGCTCCGCCGCGGCCCGGGCAGCGTCGCTCACCCACACGAACAGGCTGTCGGAGAGCAGGTACTGGGCCACGTCGCGGGCGCGGGGGCCGCCGGCGCCGGGCCGCGCGGGCACGGCCAGCTCCGCCTGCAGCGGGGCGGTTGGCGGCTCCGGCTCCCCCGGCTCGGCCTCGGGCTGGCTGAGGGCGCGGTAGGCGCTGACGATGGTGCCGAGCAGGGCCAGGCCGCTGAGGCCCGTGTAGGTGCGGAGGCTGGGCCAGGGGAAGCGCTCCAGGAAGAGCAGCGGCATGGCGGCAGCGGCGGCCTCCAGGCCCCAGGCCTCCCCGAGCCGCGGCCGGGCCCCGCGGCGGCCTCGCGAACGGCGCCCTCGGGCTCTGGCGTCGCCGCCGCCGCCGCCGCCGCCGCCGCCGCCGCGCCGCGCCGGGCCGGGCCGCTCCTGGCCGCTCGCGCCGCTCCGCCCCGCGCCGCTCCCGCTGCTGCCCCTGCCGGCGCGGAAGAGCCTCGGCGGGCTCGGGGCGGGCCCCCCCACCCCAGCCGGGCGCGGGCGGGACGGGCGCGGGGGCGCGGCCTCCGGCCCCGGCCCCCGCCCCCAGCCCCCGCCCCCAGCAGTCGCGCCGCCGGCAGCCCCGCCCCGCCCCGCCCCGCCCCGCCGGGTCAGCGCCCTCCCGGGGCCCCCGCGGGCCGAGCCGCCGAGCCGCCGAGCCCAAGCGCCACCCGGCCTGGGGCCGCACCCGCCGCCCGTGCACACCTGCGGGCCTAGCAGCTCCCTGGCGGTCAGAGATGCTGCGGAGGGACGAACAGGCTCGGCCCTCAGAAAGAGGATCGTTAATCCACAGCCTTGAATTGAATCAGCCTTGAATCAACAGCCAGGAAGGTTACCTGAGTTTCTGTTGTTCACTAACGGCCTGGAGCAGCGTCTAAAACGGACCTTGATTTTTAGCAGGAAATGAAAATGTGTCCCGTCACTCACCAGGTAGGTATATAAGATAGTGCAGCTTCTTTGGAAAATTGTTAGTTCCTCAAACACACGAGTGACCCCTTGACTTCACGATCCCACGACTAGACATACCCAAGAGAAATGAAAACAGAACTCCACGCAAAAGTTGTACCCAAGTGTTGATAGCAGCCTTATTCATAATAAATAGCCGAGGGTGGAAACAAGTCATGGCTCTCAAGTGATGTATGGGCAAAATACAATCCATACAACGGACCATTATTCAGACATGAAAACAAGTACTCACAGGACACATGCTACAACATGGAGAAACCTTGAACATGCTAAGTGAAAGCAGCCGGATACAAAAGGCCACACATTGTGGTTCCATTTATACCAAACATCCGGAATGGGCAAATACATATACAGACCCAGAAAGCAAATTAATGGTTGCTGGGGTGGATGGGGGTGGGCGGTGGAGGGTAAAAGCTAAATATGGATTTTTTTTTTAAATTGTGTTGACAGCTCCACAACTCTGAATTTAGTAAAGATCATTTTATTGTGCACTTTCATTAAGCTCTGACCAAAAAAAAAAAAAAAAAAAACGCTACTCCAAAAAAGTGAGCTTGAATTATGCCTGCACATGCTCCAGAGTAGGTGCTCAGTAAATATGTTCAAGCTTACAAACTTTCAAAAGAAAAGGACTAAGCCATTTTCAAGTCTCTGTCATCCCTAATATTCTAAAAGGCTATTAATTAGAAAACAAAGATTTCTCGAAGTTATTACCATCCACTTTGGAATTTTTAGAAACATCCTATTCAAGGGCCTGTGATGGAACAAAACAATTTGGCTTTGGAGACCGGGATGTGGTTACTTACACTTTTTTTTTTTTTTTTTTTAATAGGCTCCACACTCAGCATGGAGCCCAACGTGGAGTTTGATCTCCTGACCCTGAGATGGAGACCCTGGAGCTGAGATCAAGAGTTGGATGCTTATTAACTAAGCCACTCAGGAAATCCTCTGAATTTTTTTTTTTTTTTAGCATGGTCAAAACTCACCTTCTAAAAGCAATTACTGTTTGTTTGGTTTTTTTTTTTTTTTTTTTGCATTGTATTCTACTCCATCAAAGGACCAGGGGAGGAGGCAAGACACAGAGGAATTAATATTTAAGTGAGCCCAGGAAGCCTGGACATAGGTAAAGGGACTATCTTAATCACTTGAGTCTTAAGGCTCAAATGTGGCAGGAAGGTAAGCATACCAGACCTTAAAAGGCTGGTCCAGCTTAGACAAGAAAATCTGTAGAGTCCACGATGGAAGCTAGAGCTCTCTGCACTCTCACCCTCGTTTCAGAGTACCATTTATGCTTTCTGGATTCCTCAGAAACTTTGAGCAGGCCCCAAAGTCTCCTAATGATGACTGAGAAACTGAATTTTCTGCCTTCTCTATAGAATGGTGCCTCTGATTTGGCTTGATTTAAAGGATTTTTTTTTTTAATTATCATTTCAGACAAACCAGTTTGTATAGATTGAGTCACACCTAGATACATTATTGCTATACTTTTTAAATATCTGACATCCTTTCATATTCTATGACTTCATTTGATTTTCACCATCCTTTGAGAAAGGCTGAGTAGTTTGTTGTTCTTGAAGATCCTCAAAATCCTGGAAACTGAATTTCATTATCTAACCAATAACCTTAAATGTACTCCCACAGAGAACTCTGTTGTTTCATTAGTTGGACCAATGTGTTCCACTACTAAATCTAGCAGAGGGAAAAACATTAACCAACTCAAGTTGTAGGGAAAAAAGTTAATGGGCATATTTCAATTTTTAAAAGCTTTTCTTTAATAATTTTTCATAGCTTTTTGGTAGTTGCTATAAAATATACTAGTAAAATTCTCAGAGAAATTTAACAACTTTATCAGGTTTTGTTCGACTTTTGTTCAGATATAAAACCTCAAGGCTGTGGTTTTATGACACATCTGTTGTCTTTTGGGTACACTGCTTCTATTTAAGATGCTGAAATGACATTACACAGTATTACATAAGCAGCAAGCATGGTATCACAGAACATCATGACTTCCAGGCAAGTTTGAGGAAAAAAAACCCTAAAGGAACTAACAGAGATTAATAGATGGGGAAATAGACTCCCTCCCCCTCCCCCCCCCATGATACCACAACATACAGTTAGCAAAATTCTGCGGCAGCTTCTAAATCCCAGTCTTCAGGTTGCAAATTCAGGGACCCCTTCACAGTGCAGGAAACTAGATCTGCCTAAGACCCCTACTAACACACATCGGGGAAGTGCCAGCAGGAGAGGGCAACATCAATGCCTCGGTTCTTCAGGCCTTCGCTATTCTATCAAGTTGTCTCTTACCTAATGGCCCCTGGCCAACACCACTGAAAAAGAACTGTGCAGGATTTCTAATGGCACACTAAGGGTAGTAGCCACACACAAGGAATCATTCTGTTTTATTTTTTTAATTGAAGTGACAATAAAATAAAATTTAAAAAAAAGTGACCATTTTAATCAAACTTTTACTTTACAAATATAAAAATATAACCAAAACTTCAGTTTCCTTTATACATTTTCTGTAAGTGTAATGCCATAAAAATTCTCAAAGCCAAACCATAAATGATGCTAGTACACTAGGATGTAAACACAGTTATCAAAAGCTTTACGTTTTTATATGTGCTGATCTTTCCCTCAACAGAGAACATAATACATTTTCCCAATTTTTCTCTAGTCCTACGGTTACAATTCATCATTAAAATACAAATTACACCTAAACTGGCTTCATTAAGACTTACTTAGGTTTTATTCAGTTTTTTTCACAAAAACAAGCTTGATAAATATGAGCTAATGTTAAAATATATTTTATGGCTCAAGTCAAATTACAGTATTATGTTTCTCATCACATATCTGAACAACAAAGGCAAACTACCTGAAATGAGTCCAGTTTAACCCAAATAATAATGGATGCAAAACAAGTGGAATAATTATAAAGAAATCAAACCTTTGCTATGGAAGTGGACTTGTAGTACAGTCAAAAACCACGAAGACTTCTCTGGGGAAGCAACATACAAACCACACACCCCCTGAAGCAGTCTTAGTAATCGGCCCATACTGTCCCAAACACCATGAACCAGTGAAAACATTAAGTTTGAGAAACTCCAACATGGAAAAGCTACTCCAAGCATTTCACCTCAAGTGACAGAGCAAGTACTTAAAAAACAAAGTCATTGGGGCGCCTGGGTGGCTCAGCGGTTGAGCACCTGCCTTCGGCTCAGGGCGTGATCCCAAGGTCCTGGGATCCAGTCCCTCATCGGGCTCGCTGCATGGAGCCTGCTTCTCCCTCTGCTTATGTCTCTGTCTCTCTCTCTCTCTGTGTCTCTCATGAATAAATAAATTAAAATCTTAAAAAAAAAAGTCATTAAAAACCTGAGAGCTTAAGAGTCCCATAATTTAAGAGAGGAAATTTTACACTGCTTGCTTGCTGGCCTGTTGAATTTGGAGGACCTCTACTTCTCACTTCAATTAAGCATGTTAGGAAACAGACTGGCTAATCTGGCTATGTTTTATCCAAATAAATACTAATTGAATGGAACATGTTAATAAAATAATAACCATATAAGCTAACATAAGACAATGATAAAAAATAAATCTCATTGATCTGTTAAAAGTATAAAATCATAAAATTATCATAATGCCATTTTAAATATTATCTACTTATTAAAAAGTCACAAGTCTTCATCACTTGGGGAAAAAAACAAATTTCACTTCTTCAAAGGGGTATCAATTCTAAATGACTGAAAACATCTGAGTAAAACTTTTAGTTTTATCCCCCAAACAAGTATTTTCCAGTACCATTTAGTAGATTTATGTAGAATATGCACTACTTGGACTACTCAGGGAAAACAACATGGCATATATTGTTCTTATACAATGCAAAAGAGGACTCTCATTTATAAACAAGTCTGGAACACAGGAGGCATTCAAAACTACGTATCAGTCCATCAAGAGTTCACATTAAAATTATTCAGTATTTAATATGTAGAGAATTGGAATGTACAATTTAAGACTGTTAGTTCTTGAAGAAGTACAGTTAAGAATTTAAATACATTGAAACAATTGTTAAACAATCCCTTGTACCTTCTTCTAATGTTCTAGGAATACATCAGATTTAAATTCCCTAGTTCTCCATCAGGAAATCTAAAACATGAGTATTAAGATACAATTGTAGCTGACTAGTTCAAAGACAGCTTAAAAAAAAAAAATCTGTGTGCTGTCAATTTTACATTCAAAACCAGACATTTTAACATTGTAAAGTTAGGAACCCAGCCACCTTAAATCAAAGGTTTTTCTCACCTGGGCCCCAACATATAGATGACTGACTCAAGCACTTACTGCAAAGTATTGATCAAGAATTCATTTCTAGGTCAAAGCTTGTATTACAAAGAATATGAGTAGCCCAAATCAGATCTCTTCAACTTAAACAGCATTTTATAATATCAAGTCCACCTCATCCCATCCTCCCCAAATGGCAAGCGCTAGTGCATCTGAAATGTGGTTACTACAGCTTTACACTTGGATGCCAAAGGCAACCATAGAAGGTGGGCTGGAACAAGCTGTTTCCATATCTGCCTTCTGCAACCTTGATAAGGCTCAGCTAATCATTGAATTCACCAGTAAAACTACAGTAAGTAATAAATATGCTAATATAAACCACAGGGACAGAATTATTAGCCCTTAAGGGAAGAGGACTATCCACAGAATTAGTGGCTTTTTCAAAGGAAATCACAAGTCATTTTTGGTCCTAGAGTCTGGTGCTCATCTACTATTAAGCATAAGCATGGTCACAATCACTACTTGACATATAACCTTGTGAAGGCTTGACAGGACTTCAGCTAAGTAAACTTGAACCTCTATTCATACAGTTGCTCTTGATAGGATTTTCTCAAGTCTAAATAAGGAAGAATTTACAAAATGCCTTTCAATTCACCCAATATTCAGGAGACCAGGCCTGTGATTGGTATGATGATGATATAAGAATAATCAAAAGTTCATTTCTGTCAATCTCTTAAAAACTACAGGAATCTCTCTTAAGTAGCTGTATCTTACAAGATCTCCTTTTCATTAAGCCTATAGTCAATATACTTATAAGGCATACATGACATACTTGGACCATTAAGCAATGATACAGCCAGCAAACTCCTTTGCTCCAAGATTCATTTTTTATTCCCCAAAACTTGATCCTAATGTAGCGGTGTTGTTTTAAAGAACTTTTAAAATTTGATATTTTCCCCTTCTTAGGCTGACAAAACTCATCCCCTATTCTGTCCTTAGATTTCAGTTGATTCAAATTATTCCAAAATGTTTCTGAAAAGGCTTGTCACTTGCTAAAATCAAATTTTCCTTTCTATGGATATAAACTGAAGTAACCAACTTTGCAATCCAAGAGTTCAAAACCTAACACAGACCCATTTTTAAAAACTTCCTTCACAGATCACATTTTATTAGGGCTCTGAGAATAACTAAAACACATAATTTCTCAACACAGATAATTAATACCCCCATTATATGAAGGAAAAGAGTCTCTCAGTCCGCTCTCAATAGGTCTCTTTTTATATCAATTCCCATAAATTTCCCCAATCTAGCCAATTTGAATGGCTTCCCATATGTTTAAGATCTGTTGCTTGTGAACAAAGGTCTGAATACATCAATATGAAATGTACCAGTCAGTAATATACTGGGAGCTCTGTTGTAGTATAACTCCAAGTATATGATTTGTTTCAGGAGTTGTACCTTAGGACTCCATTAAGCAAATCTAATTCCCAAAAGTAAGAGAAGTTCCTCAATCACAATAGTCTAGAACCCAGTCTTGTTGGGAGTATAATCCCCAAAAATGGCATCAAAACAAGGGTCCCAAATACTCGACTGCCTTAAACCTGCCATTGTCTCTTAATACCACCAGTCTAGAAGTGGAAGGGGGTAAAAAAAAAGCCAGTCCTCACTGTAAGAATTTTACAAGTTTAATGTGGAAAAAAAAATACAAATAGAAAGAAGTTCATATTCTTTAATGTTGTACAAAAAAGTAAGAGAACCAAAAGTAAATTAAACATTATCACATTTGTTTACACCACTATCTAGTTCTTCATATTAACTTTACTATTCAAACAACAGAAAGTAGGTAGCAATTTAGGGATTGGGAAAGAGATAAAAACCAAAAGAACTTTTCTACCAGGTTTATTCTACACTGTGTATAGCTGTGCTCACAGAGACGGCTTCTTTTACTTCTCCACTGTGCAGGAATTCAGTTGTATATAAAATTGAACCTGAATTTTAGAAAGAACAATATCTTTATTAAAAACAGCATTATTTGCAAAGTTTTTTGTTTTTTTTTGTTGTTGTTGTTTTTGTTTTTACCTCAGATGATAAAGAAATTTGGAGATTTCTACGCTCCTTTGACATTTTTGGCATTTTCTAAACCAAGATACCCCTTTTCTCTCACCTGTCTCATCTTACACCATTATTAAATAATAGTGTTGTTGAATACTTACAATCAAAAAAGAATTTAAGAGTGTACATTTTGATTAATCATCCACTAACAAGTTCCTTGAAGGAAGGAAAACTTTTATACCTCATTGTATTATGCCACTCAGCACAGTTCCTGATACCTGATAGGCAGTGTTCAAATAAATGAATAATATGACTTTTTCATATCTCATACTTCAACTTTTAACCCATCAACAAACCAAAGAGGAGCCAAAGACAATGTTTGATTAGATTAACAAAGCAGAACCAATTTCGTGCTCAACAAGCTTTCACAGAAGGCTAAAATCACTATTGGAACTGTTTTCGAACTAATTATTTATTAAGCATTTACCAGGTGCCTGGCACTGTTCTAAGCACTTTGTAGTATGCATTTTTCTCACTTGCTCCTCACAATTCTATGAAGTGGGGACAACTACCCTGATTTACAGGTGAAGAAATAAGCAAACAGGTATAATCATTTGTCCAAGGTCACACTGCCAGAAATTATTAAAGGTGGAATTCAGGGGATCCCTGGGTGGCTCAACAGTTTGGCACCTGCCTTTGGCCCAGGGCATGATCCTAGAGACCCAGGATCGAGTCCCACATCGGGCTCCCTGCATGGAGCCTGCTTCTCCTTCTGCCTCTTTCTCTCTCTCTCTCTCTCTCTCTTTCATGAATAAATAATTTTTTTTTAAAAAAAAAAAAGGTGGAATTCAAATCCAAGCACTGCCTGCAGCATCTGTATTCTTAGCTACTACATTGTTTTCTGATTCCTATCTATATAGAAGACTCTAAGAACCTCAACCAATACAAGTCAACTTTTCTAAAAAGGCATTTCTTAGATATCTGCCAAAAGCAAAACAAAAAACCAAACTCCAAGAATATAAAATTCAAGACTTAATCCCACATATCCCAAATGACCTAAATACAGCACATTTCAATGAGGAAAGAGAACACATTACACCAAGAAATTCAACTCTCCACATTTTCATAAAGATAATTCCCCTTATTTTATTATACAGTGCTTATTGCCATGGTACCATCTCTTCTTTGAATGAAGACTTCAAACTTAACAGTGTCAAAAATATCAAATGTGGGGAAGAGCATTCACACAAATACCAGAATGTCATGCTGCAACTTGGAGTCTGGGGAGACTTTTAGTCAGTCATTAATATGGCTTGACTGTGAAGTAAGAATCCACCTACGGTCTTAGTTTCCTTAAAGACCAGAATTTAACTATCCCTTCTCAAGCAGCTCAGAACATTTTAAATCTGGCAATTTAGATAAATCAGCCACAAAATTGTTCAACTTTCCATACCTGCTCAGAAGCTGAGGGAGACTAGAAATGATGGGTCCATATCCTGGGGCATTGTCATACAATTCAAACAACGGTGCAGCTACAAGCTTGTAATTTTTAGGGACTGCAAACAAGGCTAAAATAAAACAAAACAGTACTCATTTTCTATAATTTCTTACATAATCACTGCTTGCACTTCATTTATATACAGTAATCACCAGTTTTACATTTGAAAAACTTTTGAGGAAAGAGAGAATTCTCTTTAATACATTCTGGTTGTATCTTTCAAGCAAAGTTTAGAGTCCATGTTGTTAACAAGCAAGAGCACCTTGTAAGTGGTGGGAGCAAGGGCAGGACAAAGAACAAGGGGAGCAAGCAGAGAAGAGAAGCTTCAGGTTTATATGTTTTGAATTCTATTTTTAAGACTATGACAAGAAATAATTGTGTTAAAATGTACAACAGGCCTAAAGATGGTATTTAAAAAATTAATTCATCTGTCTCCTTCAAAGTTTCAGTTTATCACAATGTGAATTATCAGTACCAGAAGCTGAACAGTTATTTTAAAATACTACAATCTGGTAGTTAGGCTCCAGTTAAATTTACTTTCCTCCCTATAGCATGACTGGCACACCTATGAGAAAAACTAGTTAATTCTGGGACACACCTGGGTGTCTCAGCAGGCTAAGCATCCGACAAACATTTGACACTTGATTTTGGCTCAGACCCCTGCACTCAGTATGGAGTCTTCATAAGATTCTCTCTCCCTCTGCCTCTGCCCTCTCCCTACTCACGTGTGTGCACATGTGCACACTCTCTCTCTCTCAAAATAAATTAATCTTTTATTAATAATTTTAAATAATCATAAATCTTTTTAAAAAGGCCACTAGTTAATTCTGTATATACATAGTATGTGTTTTTATTTTCACAATAAATCCAAAAATTCAAGGAACTTGGAGAAAACACAAATAAAAGTATTCTTGAAATTACGCTACAAAAGTTTTTAGATTGCTGTTTCAAAAACAAAATAACTTACCTTTCTCTTGAAGTTGAACCAAAAACAACTTCTTATGTTCCTTAGGTTTTGTAATATGTGCAGGAATATATGGATACTAAAAGCACAAAAGAGAAAAATTTGTATTTGCCAAGACATCCCTCATATCTCTATGCCTTTATGTATCAATTTCTCCCATTTCAGACGTTAAGATCAAGTATTAACCCTCTGAGACTAAGTTCCTCATAATCCCAACACAATTTTATTTAACATTAATCCTGTGATTTCATTTATTTCTTTGTATGTTTCTTTCCCAATACAGCATAAACTGTTAGGAGAAACAAAACTCTTTCTAGTCTTCCCTTTATGAGAACCTGGTACTTAACAGATGTTCTAATAGATAAATGCTTAATACAACATAATGGGTAATAAACTATTCAACCATTCAAGTCAATTAAATATGTAGTCACAAGATTTACAGCTTGAGGAATGTATTTACAATCCAATGAAGTCTGACGTTAAGTAGCACTTCTAATAAAAGTTGTTTTGAATGAGGTATTTGACAAGACACTCCTCCCCCAACAATGCATGACCCCCAACACACATACAAGACACACTCTTCAGGAACACCAGATGAGCCATCTCAGTGAAGAGAGTCACTGATGAGCTAGAGAGAATCAAGTTGCTTGTAAAAATGGAGAAAATATTTCGGAGAATTTAAGGGATTCTAAAGAGAATTAGAGAGGGGAGGTTGCTACCTCAGAAAGAATTCTAGCATAGCGAACTTGAAAAGTCTGAGACAGCTTACCTCTACCTCCCCACATACATTAGGAAAAATCTACTTTGGCTATGGAAGTTGTATTTGAGGGGTGGGTAATTAAAAAATGCTGAAGATGGATATAAGGGGAGAACAGGATAAAACAGAGACAGCCAAAAGGAGGAAACATCATCTGCATTTTATGCAAGTGCTTAAACTGAGAAGCGACATGTCCTTCCCAAGACTACACAACTAAGTAGTGACACCAGGATTCAATCTCATCTATTCAACCCTGATCTAACTATAGAAGCCTGTTAATTCCCACTATGCTACCCAATTGGATGGATATCCCAGTATTCAAGTTAGAATAACTATACACAAGAGCCATCCCTAACGTATGATGAATGAAGACAATTGTCCTAGGCTTTGGAGGTGCCCTAACACTCATGAAAACCAGGCACACTGGCAATGACAGATAAAAATGTGAGTAGGAGTTCGAAGAACATGGGCTAGAGGACACCTGTGGTTTACATACAACAAAAGCACCCAAACCATGACCAAATCAAAGTGACTGGCATTACCCCAATTTTCTTCTACTCATGACTATATATGTTCCTTTTCTTCTAATCCTTTCTTCTGCAGTCTTCATCTTGCAAGTTTTTTAAGATTTATTTATTCATTCATTCATTCATTCATTCATTCATTCATTCATGATAGACACACACACAGAAAGAGAGAGAGAGAGAGAGGCGCAGAGACACAGGCAGGGGGACAAGCAGGCTCCATGCCGGGAGCCTGACATGGGACCCGATCCCGGACACCAGGATCGCGCCTCGGGCCAAAGGCAGGCACCAAACCGCTGAGCCACCCAAGAATCCCCTCAGAGTTTTTTTTTTAAACCAACCACATTTTATACAAAAAGCAGATAGTGTTATGCTCTTTTCCCACTGACACCTAACCAATACTCCAAGTGTATTAAATAAACACACAACGCTTAGCTACATCTCACACTAGCAGAACCAATCCTAGGATTCAGTCAATTAAGGGAACTGTCTTAGGACTCTGGTAGGGAAGCTGAATGAGAGTATTCAGAAAGTAGCCTGGAAAACTTTTGTGTTAAATTACTGAGCTTCCAATTTGATCAAAGAATGTTCAGGAAACAAAACAAAACAAAACAAAACAAAACAAAATACCCCATTAACAATAACCGTTTTATGTTTGGACCAGGAACTCCACTATTTCCAGGTGAGATTATACTTTCTTAAAGCCAAGACAATTTTCAGGTACTGAGTAATAGCAACAGCTTCCACAGTGCCTTCTCTTCCTATCCTCAGCTATAAGGAAGAAGACAGACATAGTCATCTTTTGCTTGGCTAACATTTTCCATAACTCTTAACCTGAAACATCTTGCTATATATACAAAGAAGCCATCCAAGTCACAGAGCCTTGTCAATAGGATTCAGAATCTGAGGCTCCCATCAGTTAAAGGTAAGAAAATTTGAGTATCAGTACCATTATTAATCATTACAATGGATTAAAACACAAGGAATATATTTAAATCCATGAAGTCATATGACACTCTAAAAGTCACCAAAATAGATGCTTTATGTGCCCCTTATCACCACCCACCTCAGATCTCATCCCCCTCTCAGATTTCAGAGGGCAGTTGTGTTAGAAAGTGCCAGAAAGCTCCCAATTTGCTGCCACTGTCTCACTCTCTGCTTTTCAGCCTCAAAGCATTTCCAATGCCCCAGAAAATCAGTCCTCAGACTCAACATGACAGTGCAAGGGAGTTAATACAACCCTCATCCAATGGAGTAGGAGTCTCCAGCCTTCCACTCTTCTGATGGAACAATTTTAAGGTAGATTCCCCATGGTTCCTCACAGTCCTTAGCAGGATCAATCCAATTGCCCATAGGTGTAATAAAATCAATTATGTGCCTTTCCTTCCCTTCCTTTCTTTCTTTTGACTACTGCTGTTTCTTGTCTCCCTCTCCTATCAGTCTTGTTAGTCTACTACCTTCTGGGATCACTTCCCAAACAAACTGTCTATACCCAAGTCTTTGTCTTATTCTTTCCTTTGAATAAAGTCTTTGGAGGATGCTAATAAATTAATTCATTCTTCTGAAAAGAAGTATATGTTCTTCCTACACAAATTATACCTCAGGGTAACCAAATGGTTGATAAGAGAAGTTTCCCTTAATAAAAAGATCACAACCCTAATGAATTAATAAACCTAAGAAACTATTATCAATGAGCTGCTAACATTACAAAAAGAGACAACCAGACATTATAAAACTTCTAATGGAAGTGCATGATACCATCTGTGAGGGCCATCCTCCAAGATGACTCCCAATGGCTGTCTCCTGGTATCCACACACCTTTGTGTAGTCCCCTCCCACTATGTACAATGTTGGCTTGTGTGACCAAGCAGAAGTGATGGTATGTCACTGCCAAGATTAGGTAGGTTATACAGACCACAGCTTCCTACGTGGGCATACTCTCTCTCACTAGGATCACGTCTCTATCTTGGATCTCAAGCTCTAGGAGAAGCCAGCTGCCTTACTGGGAATCACCCTGTGGAAACAGTCTCACAGTAAAGGAGAGAGGCCTCCAGTCAACACCGGACAAGGAAATGAAGCCTTCAGTTTAACAGTACAGGAAGAGAGGCCTGCTAACAAACACATGTGTGAACCCAGGATGGAATCCTTCAGCTCCAGTCCAGCCTTGAGGTGACACAATCGCAGGTGACAGCCTAACCATAACTTCATGACACACCATGAGCCAGAACTACCCAGCTAGACAGCTCCCAGATGCCTGACCCTGAGAAATGAAGATAACCAATGTCTGCTGTTTTAAGTTACCCACTTAGTAGGGGGTAATTATTATGCAGCAATAGATAAACAATATATCCCTATGGTGATCCTTATACTCCTCCACCAGCCAAATCTAGTCTCTTGATCTAACTACCAATTTATAGGACAGAAGCCAAAGAACTCCATGTTCAATGACAACAGGCAGATGCAATCAGCAATGGGAACACAAAGGACTTTAAATAGCTTGTTTTCATGAACAAATAAATTACAAGGAAAACAAAAAGAGAATTAGGAAGCCAACCAGCCAAGAGACTTAAGAGACTATCCTAATTTAAACAAATAAGAAAACAAAAATAAAACTTGATACTAGTCAGAGATATACATAATTAATGATATATTATGATAATTTTAGTGTGAGAATGTGTACTGTGTTATATCTTTAAAGAGATCCTTATGTTCTAGAGATGCACACTGAAATATTTACATTTAACATGATGCCTAGGATTTGCTCCAGAATATTCCAAGGTGAGGGCAAGGGAAAAGGAGTGGCAGGTGAAGTCTGACCACAAGTTGCTGTCTGTTGAAGATGGATGACAGATAATGGGATTCATGTACTTTTACTATTTCCACTTTTTTATGTGTTAAATTTTCCTTTAAAAGATAACAATGCTTAGCTTTTGAATTTTTTATCTAAATGAATGAGAAAGTCAAATTCTACCATACTCTTTTCAAAAGGCTGGAATTAAAGTATTTTTCTACTTTCCCAAATGCTGGCAAATATAAATGAGCACTGACCTGAGGAGGTTCAAAGTTTGGTCTCCACCAGTTACCAATGCAGTCATCAATGACCCAGTCTTGCAGGACTCCATCTTGACGACCCAGTATCTGCCCAAAAGAAGTAATACAGCTAGTAAACAACTAAATCTACCTACCCTTCAATATCCTTCTTTTGTGAAGATAGATTTCCTCTTCATAATTTTTTGTCTATTATTATCTGTGTTACTTGGCCCAAGACATAACTATTAGTTCCAAAATGGCAATCTAGCATCGACATAACTATATAGGACCAACAAATCTATTGTTATGCCCTGGCCTCACATGAAAAACCAGCTACTCATATTGCCCAATGCCATACATAAAATAGTTTCTCTAGAATCAAGCTGTAGCTTGTGTAAATCACCAGCTAACTAAATTATAGAAAAAAACGGTTTCACCTTTATAAATCTGTATAGCATATTAAACTTATTTTAATCAAAATTTTACTCTATATGCTTTAATTGGTCAAACACCGTTCTGCAAGGTTTATGAGAAACAGCAGTTCCCTGACCCACTTTCCCCATTTCCATTGACTACAACTTTCAACTCTTTAGCGGTTTTCCCCGTACTCATCTCTTATTTTTACAAGCATTCCCCGTTTTTAAATAAACTGATTTAGTTTCAGAAGGTTGCTAAAGGGGAGGCAAAAGGAGGTGGGCTGCGACTGGAGGGATAAGCTAAATGGGTGATGGGTATTAAGGAGGGCACTTGTGATGCACACTGGGTATTATACATAAATGATGAATAACTAAATTCTACTCCTAAAACTAGAAACACTGTATATTAACTAACTAGAATTTAAATAAAAATTTGAAACAAAAAACCAAACTGTTTTAGTTTTAGATTTATAGAAAAAATGCAAAGATGGTACAGATTTCCTATGTATTCCACATCCAGTTTCCCGTATTAACATCTTACATTACCACAGCACATTTGTCACAACTAATGAATGAACCAATACTGCTACTTTATTTTTAACCAAAAGTACATACTTTATTCAGATATTCTTAGTTTTTAACTAATATACTTTTCCAGGCCCAGAATCTCCTATAGGCTACTACATAAAATTAGGTTGTAATTTTTTCTGTAGACTGTGTAACAGTTTCTTAGGTTCCCTGTTTTTTATAATCTTCAGTTTTGAGGAATACTAATCAGATATTTTGTAACAAGCCCCTCAATTAGACTGGGATTATGGATTCTGGGGAGTCTGGAGTGGAAGACCACCAAGTACCACTGTGAAGTACCACTCTCATCATATCATGTTGAGGGCACATTATATGAATATAACTTTTCACTGATCTTAACCTTGATCATCTGGCTGAGGTATTATTTATCAGGTTTTTCCATTATAATTACACTTTTAATGTATTTTTTGTATCATTTCTTGATTACATTTTCATAAACCTAAAGAAAAAAGCAATTAACACCCTCTACTATGGGTGAGAATTTGAATTTTAAAACTATATCCTCCATTTTTTACTTTCTCTTCTACCATTCTTCTATTATCAATACTCGATTAAGTCTACATGTGGTATTTAAGTTATGACCAGGTGACTCAGACACACCAGAGTGTTTAATAAACTATAACTGCATTTTCTTACAACTATTCTTTTACTTTTTATTTTTATTCTTTTCTTTTAGAGTTAACTGTTTCATTCGAATTTCATTCACTATCACTATCTCATGTCCACATTTGCCCCAGAACTTAAATTTCTTCTCAATTCAAATGTCAAGTATTCTGTCAATTTCATTTTTTCCCCCCTAAGGGACACTTTCTATAATCATTCTCCAGTCTATACATGCTCTCAGCTCTGCCTGGAAACTGGAATCCTAGGGCTTTCCTTTGCCTCCCTCCTGTGTTGTTAGATCCTTTCTATACTCTGAATCTCGTATCTTCTGACTTTTTTCTTTCATTTTGGTGGTGAATACCCCCCCAGTAGTTTCCTGAGAAAGGTATAAGAGATATATTTCTAGAAACTCTATGTCTGGAAAAAATTTTACCTGCACTTGATTTACGGTTTGATAAGACAGAAAATTCTATGACAGAAATCATGTTCTCTTAGAATTAATGAAGGCATGTTCCAAGACCTTTTAACTTCCAGTTTTATATCTAGAAAGTCAGTATCATTTCTGATTTTGATGCTTTGTATCTACCTTCATGTCTGCCCTCCTCTCTCCAACTCTGGAACCAGTTTTTAGGATCTGGTCTTTAGTGATTTAAACTTACTGATTTAAACTTTTAACATTCATTATAGAGAGCAGGCCGATAGGTCTTTTGATCTGAAAACTCATGCTTTTTAAGTTTGGGCAATTTTCTTGAATTATTGCTTTGATATTCTTTCTCTACACTATCTATAATCTATTTTGGTCCTTCTAGAATGATCCACTAATTTTCTCTTTTTTCACCTGTTTTACCTTTTCATCCTACTTTCTAGATTTCCTCAAGTCAATCTTTTAATCCTCTACTGAATGTTTTGTTTCTAACATTTTTTTTAATACTCATGGGTTCTTTCTTATTGGCTGAATAGTCCTTTTTACAGCCCAATGCCCACAGCTGAACTTTCATCACACCAAGAATATTAATCGTGATTTTACTGATTGCTGAATTTTGTTTCTGTTGAATTCCACTTGTTTCTTTTGATCTTTTTCTTGTTAAGACACTTTCTCCAAAAGCCTGGCTCACAATTAAGAGTAAAGCAGTAAGATGCTCAGCTGTCACCTCTGAGTGATAGGACCACACTATACTTTGGGAAGATTCCCAATTATCATCATCTGGAGGGGGGATTTTTGGACTGGTCACTTTCTCCAGAAACAAAACCTCCAGCCGTCAGCCTGGGGTATATAGGCCTACTTGTCACAGGTCTATCAGCGTAGTAGAAGTCTAGAAGTCTCACTATTCAGGATGTAAACTCTCATGTATTCTCATCCCTTCTACTTCTTCATTCTTCATGTTCTCTGAGTTAATCTCTACTAACACTCAATCACCAGCCAGTCTTTAACTGGAAGACAATCTAGACATAGAAATACAGACTGTCAATCAATCCAGTTTCTAGTCCATGCATGCCCCATTTCATGGGCACCTGGCACTTCAATTCCTTAGCTCTTCTGGCATTATACAGTGCTAGGTCCTGGACTACCCTCCTGCTGGGCTGAGGTTTCTGCTAAGTCAGATGTGATTTGCCCATCTGTTTTCTAGCTTCTAAAAATCCTTTTTTTTTGTAATTTGTCGCATCTTATACTCCTTCAATCCCACTGAATTTCTATCTTTTAAAAACCCCTTTACTTCCTTTTTGGCGGATTTTTGAGAAGCAGCTGAGTTAAGCAAGTAAGTTCAATCAACCACATGTAAATGGAAGTACAAGCACAGCACAATATTTAGAAGTTATAAGGTACTTAAAAAAATACTGGAAATTGAATTTAAATTTAAAAATATGAAAAAAAAATACTGAAAAGATAAACCAATACATCAAAGTAGCAGAATTGCAGGTGATTTTAGTTTTGTTTCTCCTCCTGCTTTTCTGTATTTGCCAAGGGTTTTGTACACAATGTGTGTTAGTTTTGTAATTAAAGAGGGAAGGATTTGTGCTAAAAAAAGAAAAATAATAATACAAACACCCTGCAATCTCAAAACCTCAAGCATCTATGCATTTGGCCTCAAGTCTTTAGAGACATACATTACAGTGACTTTTAAAAGGTAGTACAATTTGCATAAAGCCTAAAAGATATGTGCAAAAATGAAAAGAGGTATTAAAAGGAATCAGTCTTTCCAAAACCCCATAGCGGCCTACACCGCAACAAAACTAAAGTACATTCCAATCTCCAGCTCCATGACATAGATGTAAATATCAAGCAAGTTACTTGAACTCTCTGTGCCCAGTATCCCAAACGGTAAATTGGGACTAATAACAGTACTTCTCCCTAGGGCTGTTGTGATAGTTGAAGGAGCTACTGCCTATAAAGCACTCAGAACAGTGGCTAGGGCAGTAAGTACTCAATGAATGTTGGCTTTTACTAACCATTATTGTTACACCAACACTTCAATGTAAAAAAAAGGTTAAGTACAAATTCAAACTGCAGAAAATAAACATAGTACTAACACTTGGCACTTGGTTCTTAGGTTTTATTTATTGAAAACTAGTCAAAATAAATTAAAAAAATAAAAAGATAAAAAGCCTAGTTATCCATTCAGTTGTTGGATGTTCAGATAGGCAAGGATAAAACCGCCAAAGTGGTTAAATGGAGAAATACCTCGGTCATTAAGCGTTTTAGTCCTTCAACTTCATCTTCTCCTGGGTTAAGCTCACCACCAGGTCTGTATAAAGGTTAAGAATTTCAGCTTTCAACTTAATACAATTTTAGGATAACAGGAACAAGACAATAATAGTCATCTCTATCATGTAACTGAATAACACATATTTCAATGTCACATAAGGCAATCAAACAAACAAATGTCAAAGGGAAGGGGAAGAATGTACTAGAAAGTTGAATTCATAATATTACTTCACCAGACTAACCATACACAAACCTTAGTTTTAAACAAACAAGATAACATAACAATTTCTGCCACCAGTCTATCCCAATCTTTTCTCTCTGGAAGGTGCCTGGTCATAATGGATTCTAGAAATGCCCAAAGAAGCAACAGACCACATTCTTTAGGTCTGAAGAATGAGACAGTCTTCAAGAATTTCAATCTAAGGACTTGAGTCCTCTCTTTGTGGTACACACAATCTGGTCAAACAACTATGCACTAAATGTATAATATGGAGGTATTTATGAGTTTAAATGATAAAAATAAACAGTTACCTATAAAAATGTAAGTTATTTTAAGAATGGGAAACACCATTCATCCTAAGAAAGAAATACCAATTGTTCTTAATAATGCTACAATGACATTTAGAAACTGAAGTTGGACTAATTTGCTTCATGGGGTTTCTATCACGCTCAGTTACTAACAACAAATACAGAAACATGCAGATAGCTAGTTAGGCACTAAATGAGCACTATGCTGGAGAAAAAAAAGGACTTAACGATTTTCTCTTTCTAAAGACTCCATTAACAGCAGTGTTTATAGAAATAAACGACTAAAATCTGAAATTGTCTTCCAAACCTGCATAAAACAGCAATCCTATTAAAAGTTGTCTAGCTGTTAATTTCCAGTGACACTTACAATTTGAAGAAAGTTGTTCCCAGTTGTAGCAGTAACACATGTGGTAGCCGGTGCTCATGTACAATCAGAACCCCTTCTACAGTTCTTCTCATTCCAATTTTATCAAATTCCTCCCTCATGCGCTGAAATCTGGCTGCAACAGAGCTGTCCTTCTCATAGAGGGGCTCTTTTGTACCAAAAGTATAATTGGTAAGAGGGTACCTGTGATCCAAAACAAATATCTAACATGAGAACCGAAGACCATAATTTACCAAGACAGATACCAACTACATACAAGAAACCATGGTAAAAAAGAAAAAAAAATGCACATAATGTACTCAGAGACACACATTTTGTCCAAAGTTACACAACTAGTTAATGCAACAACAGAGATTAGAATCCAGCTCTTTGGACAGAGCTTCCATTACATCAAACTGCTACATTACACATTAGTTTTCAAGTATAGATAATACCACCCTTAAGGCCCTCAAATGCTTAGATAAGTGGCTATCTTATTATTATTATTATCTGGTAATCCTCTGGTTTTAGATCATGGCTGCTAGACTAACATTGCCAACCTGGCTAATGCCTAATGCCCCCTCGGGCTCTTCTCACCTAGTCAGAAAGTCTATTAATTATGGGTGCTAAAGACTAATCTTTTTCTACAAGGTGAGCCACCACCTTCCATCATCTCTTTTTTTCTCCCAGTCAACTATCCTCAGACTTTTCTAGCACAATCCTTTCCTCCTCAGATGAACTTTTCTTTGCTCTCTAAATAAACCTTAACTTTCTGCATGTATTCTATCCAGTATCTTTATTCTTCCCTTCTTGTCATTCAAATCCTTTGCCCACCATATCTAATCTGAATATTTTCTCCTTTATCAAGAATTCAGAAATAGCTCACATTAAGACAGCTTTCATGTTGCCTAGTAAAAATCAAATTTTTCCTTATAGCTAAAAATCCCATATTTATATTTAATCACACATACCACCTTGTAACCCCCCAACCATAACCCTTACGGTAAGAGTTGATTATAAGTCTTTGAGTAAGAACACTCTGACACCTGCCTATCCCCTATTAAAATGACTTAACATTAAAAGCCAACAACTATATAATTAATCCACTTAGCTATTTTTAAAAAATAAGTAAATCAAGGTTGTCAAAACTTAACACGAAGGCCAGATTCTAGGCACGAATGAAGCAGCTCGAAAATAACTAACATATACCATTTCCAGGATGCTTTAAAGAATTTAAGGATCTTCCCAGTACATCCAACGCTGAATATGACACATCACTAGCTGCAACAATTTCACACAGTACTATGTGCCAGGCAATTTTTTATGTATTAACATATTGTTCTTACAACTTGAGTTAGAATTAAGAATAGCTGTATGTATCTATACTGCAAAGCCAGCTCTCATATTGATAAAGAGATGCCATCAAAATGAGATGTAAGAATGTTCAGATACGAAATCAGAGTGCCAGCTGAGGCGTGCATTTTATTCCCATCACACTGTGAGCTAACTTTGAAAAGCACGGAGTACCTTACTTCCTCACCACTGCACATCCAGCGTTATGCCCCGTGCTTGGTACAAAGTAGGCATTCATGCAGTACTTCCCAAAAGAAAGTATAGTAGGGGAGAAAGGACTTGTTTTCAACTTAGGTTATGATTCACCCAGATGAACTGAGTTAACAACAGTGATTTTTCTTTTTTTTTTTTTTCTGAATGCTGTAGTTATACAGGAGGAAATGTTCTGTAAATTGATCAACCCATAACTTTAATGGACCAAAAATAAAAACATTTCGCCAAATTAATTCTACATAGTAACTTGATACAAATTGATCCAATAATGAAGTTAAATCAAGGGAAACCCACAAGCCCTAGTTCTAATTAGCACTCAAAGTAATCCAGAAGCTGTGCTGTCACATTTTAAAAAAAGCATTTTCTTTTTCTGCTTCGTGGAAATCTTATGAAGATGTTTTAAAGAAGAGATATGAAATTAAACTGCTATTATGTTAATGTAATAGCTAGAGATACTAACTTGTATATACGCATCTATCTAGCTACCAGATTTCGTAAACTCTACATTTTTATTATCTAAATTTCCACGCCAGCACCTGTTTTGCCAAATAAAGCATAAAAACAACCATCTCTTCGATTTCAAATCGCTTCTGAAGGGGAAAGGTTCATTTACTTGAAAGTAAAATAGAGAGACATCAAAAGTTTCTCATGGAAACACCAGATCAGTAAACCCTTGCACCTTTTAAACACCGACCAGCATAAACTGGCCACTTTCTTCCAACAAGGTCAGCACCACGGTGCCTCACAAACTCTCAGAAATGATTTGGGGGGGGGGGGGAAGCAGCAGCAGCATAATGACAGTTTCTTGAGCAAGGCAGAGCCCCAATGCCAATTACCTGACGCAGCGAGACAACTTTTGAGAGTGGCATCGAAATGCAGTAGCTTGAAGGGTTCGAACAGAAAAGTATTGAAGATAAAGCTGCAGCCCTCAAGGGGCTCTCTGGGGCTACGCTGGTCCCCTTCCGGTCGGAATGGAAGCCCAACGGTGGCAGTCTCCACCCCCCTCGCTGGGGTGCCCGGCGGCCGTCGCTGGGCCGGAGAAGACGGGGATGCCCAGGGTAAGCCGGACAGCCCCGAGAACCTGGGTCAAACGTGGTGTATTCCGGAGCTCAAATACCAACGAAGCCGTCAAGAGGGGAGAAACAAACCAAAAAACCTGAACCTACTTATGATAGCTAGCTCTCGAAAGCTCACTGCTACAGCAAAGTGAGAGCTGCATTCATATCAGATAAAAACACACACGCGATGTGAAAACATAAACGCGGGGCAGAAAGAACAGCTCTGCAGCTGGTTCTCTCCGCAGACGTGGGGAAGGGGCGGGTCCGAAGCAGACCTGGGATTTTCCCGGAATGACTGAATCCAGGGGCACGGGGGCCAACCTTATTCTCCGGCCTTCAACCTTATTCTGCTCCTCCGGAGCAGGCCCGGGAGGCGGCCCGTGGGGACCCAGGAAGGCGCGCGTCTGGAGCGGCGGCGGCGGCGGGGAGGCGGGGAGCCCGCCGGGGGCGCGCCGGAAGGAGCTCGGGAGTCTCTGGGAGCGCCCACCAAGAGGGGCGGCGCGCGCGAGGGGGCACCAGGGCCAGGCCGCACTTACAGGTTGATGGTGCGTTCCAGGGTGAGGGGCTTGGTCTGCTGGATGTACTTGTTGCCGAACTGGTTGACCCCCCGGGGCCAGCCGGTTTGCGAGCGATTGGGCGGCACCACAGACATGCTGGCGAGCTCGAGTACTGGCGGCGAGAAGAAGCGGGGCGGGCAGGGAGACTTTCCCTGCGCCGGCAGCGGTTATTTGCGTCCCCCTCAGCAGACGCCACCCGCCATTAACAGGACAGCGCCAAGAGGAGGCGAAGGCACGCCGGAAGTGCATCCGGAGCCTCTGGCGGCAGGAAGTGGAGAGGCGGGGGCCTGCTTGGCTAAGCGCCCCTGGGCCAATCGCTGATGAGATGGCCGCAATATCTGGGGCTGCCATTGGTAAGTCACGAATGGGTTCCACCTCCTCTTACTCTTATAATTTCTATTGGGCGGCGCTGGGGAACACGGGAAAGGGGGCATTCTGGGGATTGTAGTCAGCGTAGGGAAGTAGCTGCTTCATCGCTGTGGCGTGGGTCTGTAGCGTAAGAGGAGATGAATGGGAAGCGGCCAGCTGAGCCCAGCCCGGGCCGGGCGGGGAAAAAGGGAAAGAAGGAGGTGATAGCGGAGTTTTCGGACGCTGTCACGGAAGAAACCTTGAAAAAGCAGGTGTCCGAGGCGTGGAGCCGCCGGACGCCGTTCCGTCACGGTAACTGGGCGCTGCGGAGGGGGAGCTGCCGCCCGGGGTCGGGCTCGAGCCCTGCCGTCGAGCCGAACCCCGGGCGGCAGGGCCGCGCGAGACAGGAGGCGCTGGGAGACGGTGTGACGGCGGCCACCTCTCACTCTCCGGCTGCTCTCTACCATTCCAAGTTCGGTTTGGGTTTAGAAATCTGAGAAGACCAAGAAACGTAGGCCCGAGAGTTTTGGGAAGCAGAGGGCACGCCAAGTTCGTAGTTCCTCCGAGGGCAGTGATCGGTTATCCCAAAATAGTGCAGCCAGGGCATTTGTGGTGAGCTGCCGGACAGCTGGCGCCCGAGCTTACTCGTCTTTCCACGCCGGTGGGCCGGCGACGCGACCCATGGAAGTAGACGAGTGCTGAGCCGGGGAAGGAACCCACCTTGAACGATTCCGGCCTCGGCTTCAGATACCACTTTAGAGGATGAGAATTCTGCTTGGTGCATCGTGCTTTCCCTCCTAGAGTTTGCCGTGATTTGTGTTTCAGTCGCGAAGTGCTTTGGAGGGGGGAGAGTCCTGGGTGCCTGGATGCACGTGGAAAGGGAGAGCCTAGTGTCTAAAGGCCAAGCTCTGTACACGCAGGGACTTGTCGATACCCTCAGCTGTAGGATGGAAACAGTGATGATATGTCTACCAAAGGGTTGCCGAGGAGATGAAGTGACATCAAGGGTGTAAAGCACCACTGTGTTTGGCACGGGGTGGGTGGTGGTGGTGACTCTTAATTAGAGGGTACCTAATGTAGAGTATCAGAGGCAGTAGGGAAAATGTTGAGACAGAAATCAAGGCATCAGAGAGTTAGCTAGAACTGATTTTAAAAAAAAAAATATATATATATATATATATATAGTAACTGCCTCTAACTGTAACCTGGGGAAAGAAAAGGCAGGGTCAAAGAAAACTTGCCAGCCAGTATTGCTATTCTTTCTTTTTTCTTTTCTTTTCTTTTTCTTTTTCTTTTTCTTTTTCTTTTCTTTTCTTTTCTTTTCTTTTCTTTTTTTTTTTTTTTTTTTTTTTTTTTGCAAGGTGGGTCTGCAGAGGGAGAGGAGAGGGAGAACCTTAAGCAGGCTCCCCACCCAGCGTGGAGCCTGCTGCAAGGCTCTATCTCACAACCCTGAGATCATGACCTGAGCCAAAATCAAGAGCTGGATGCCTAACCTACCCAGGCACCCTTCTATTCTCATTTTTAACTTGCTTGTTTAAGTTTGGGGAAAATGAATAAAGAATCTAAAATATATGTAGTTCAATAGCTAATTGTCAAGCTAAAGAACTCATAAAAGTGGGACACCTGGGTGGTGCAGTGGTTGAGCGTCTACCTTCAGCTCAGGTCATGATTCCGGGGTCCTGGAGTCGAGCCCCACATCAGGCTCCCCACAGGAAACCTGCTTCTCCCTCTATATCTCTGTGTGTATGTGTGTCTCATGAATAAATAAATAAAACCTTAAAAAAATAAAAATTTAAAATATTAAAAACTCATAAAAGAGCAGGAACCTTAATTTAGTGATATCACCAGTACTCCTAAGGACCAGTATTTTAAGTACAATATATTTAAAAAGTAGTCTTGAATGGGTAAAGAAAAAAGGGAAGAGCTTATACTTCTTCCCCCTAATCTTTAAGTACTAGGTTTCTGAAAATTCATGACCATTCCCTTTTGTATTCTCTCTGCTCTGCTAATCACATCAAAAATATAAAAGGAGAAAAAGCCATAAGTAATGTTTTCCTTCCAACAGAGGCCATTGTCATGGACATGGATCCCTTTCTTCACTGTGTGATCCCCAACTTCATCCAAAGCCAAAACTTTCTGGAAGGGCTTCAGAAGGAACTTTTGAACTTGGACTTCCATGAAAAGTATAACGATTTATATAAGTTCCAGCAGGTATTTATGTCCCTTTCACATTTACCCTTCCACTTCAGAAATTCATTATCTACGAAATCATTCATTACCTTCAGATTTGAGGTTTTAAATCGAGTTTGCTTTGGAGGGGCCTTGCCTTGACATTGTGAAAAACACTCATTCATTCCACATGAGCTTACTGAGTATTTGAGTGGTTTTTTGTTTTGTTTTGGGGTTTGTTTGTTTGTTTGTTTGTTTTTTAGCTTACTGAGTGTTAATGATGTGTTAGGTGTATTGCATGGGAGCCTCTGACAGTTCCTGCCCTGTAAGACTTCTAAATCTAAAAATAAGAGAGGTGCTAGTGATGATGACAGATAGTTAAGAAATACAGTAAGCCAGTGAGTTAAGTACATTATTGAAATAAAAGGGGGGGGGGTTAAGTACATTTTGGGAATTAGTATGCTGAAGAGAGTTGTATGTTGGAAAATAATACCCATTTAAATTTTTGAGTTCACGTCTTTATTTTAGGTGGCTTGATGTATTGCAGTATGCTGTGCATTGCAGTATGCTGTGCATTGCAGTACGCCCATGGAGAGTTAGATCTATTCTTTTTTTGGTGGACTATTTATTTATTTTAAGATTTATTTTTTATTTATGATAGAGAGAGAGAGGCAGAGACACAGGAGGAGGGAGAAGCAGGCTCCATGCCAGGAGCCTGACGTGGGACTCGATCCCGGGACTGCAGGATCGCGCCCTGGGCCAAAGGCGGGCGCCAAACCGCTGAGCCACCCAGGGATCCCTTGGTGGACTATTTAATTTGGCAGGAAAGACCACATCAAAATCAAGGCTGGTATTTCTACTCTTGAAAGACAGGGCTCAGTCCACGTATAGAAATATAGGTCATTGATTTCCCCAGCTTGAGGGGAATATCTTTTTAGTGCATGATGTACATCACTCTTGGAAATCCTTTATAAAATCTCAAGGATATCAGCTCTTAAAAATCACAGAATAAAGTAAAAATGAAAAAGATGAAGAATTATTTTGTTTTCTTTGCATTTAACCCTTTGAATTCTCTTTATTTAGGATAAGGGAATAAATAACAGGATTTCCCTCTCCTACTTCTATTCTTTTGCAGTAGAGCTGATTGTATCCCCCGGTCTATCTTTGGGCCTTATACATAGAATTGAATTAGCCAATTTAAATACACACACCATACAACTCTTAATAATGCAGGAAACCTGATGAAAATGAAGCTGTTATCTTAGTAAAGTTACATAGGTTAATTAAAAGCCACAATTGTCCGCCTTTGTAATTATATCAACTTCAATAACACTAATAACAACAATAACGCTAGGTCTCTTTGTTGGTTTATGGACATATGTATCTCTGATTACTAAAACTGAGAAGTCAAACTGGTTTTTACCTAATGCAATTTGGTAGATGAAAATACTTCTGTGATGTCAGTGAGTGGCAAAATAATAAAAAAGGACCCTGGGTAATGAGAAGGGGAAAAAAAGATTACTTTAGATCACATGGGTGTTTGGCAAAACTCTTCTCTGCTGTAAATAGTTTTTACTACGCTCACTTTGGGACTGAACTTCATCCTAAAAGAGTAAATGTAAAACCTATTTCAGTCTCCTGTCCCTTCAAACTTTGCTTGTATCCCCTTTTCTTTGCTTGTGCTATGAATTGCCTTAATAATTAAGTGTATGACGTCTTACAACCCTCCTAAGCAAGTGTGTCACTATGAGTTGCCTGATATTCTTATTATCTTAAAACAAGTATTATTGAGTGCTTGCTTTGTGCCATGCTAAGTGCTTTTATAGTGATTAATTCATTAAGTCCTCAACAGTCATATGAAGGAGGTACATTACTATTCCTGTTTTACAGATGAAGAGAATACATCTGTTTTTTTCTTCTCTTCTGGTTCACCCCTGTGACGTACAAAAGAAAGCTGTTCCTAAGGAAAAAATGCTTTTGACCTAACTTTGCCTTTCACCTCATTCCTCTGCTCCTCTTGACAGTAAAGTTCCATATAAGTTATATGTATTTTCTCAAATACTTTCCCCATTCTTGGTTAAGCCCACTTTTCATCAGGCTTTTACCTACAACTCCACTGAAACTACATTTTCAAGGTCACTCACAACTTTCATATTAATGAATCCAGGCGTGGGTTTTCAGGACTCATTTTACTTGACCTCCCAGCAGCACTTGAGCTACTATGTTACTTCTTTCTCCTGGATACATTTTCTTTACTTTCAGAGAGCCATGTTCTCTTGGTCTTCCTTCTGCCTTGCTAGCATGCTCTTGGTTTCCTTTGGTAGGTCTTCGTTTTGTACCTGACTTTTTTTTTTTTTTTTTTTGGTTTTAGATTTTATTTATTTATTAGGAAGAGAGAGCAGGGGAAGGAATAGACGGAGAAGGCGACTCCCCGCTGAGCAGGGAGCTCGACATGGAGCTTGATCCCAGGATCGTGAGATCATGACTTGAGCTAAAGGCAGAGGCTTAACTGACTTAGCCACTCAGGCCCCCTGTACCTGACTTCTTAATGAGAGAGTACTTTAGGGCTTCGCCCTTGGGTCACTTCCAGGCCGATTTACAGGGAATCCCATGGCTTTGCCTCTACTCTTGGATATGTGTTAAGTGGCTCACACTTAGGTCCAAAACTAAACTCCTGATCTTCTCCTCCTAAATCAGCTCCACCTGCAGTTTTCCCCATCCCAGTGAATCGATCTTTCTAGGTGGCTCCAGCTAAAAACCTTCAGGTCCTCTCTCACCTCATACCAGTTCATCAGGAAATTCTGCAGGCTCTATCTTCAAAACATATTCAGAAAAACCCACTTCCTTCCACTTCTACTACCAACAGCTAACACCCAGTCTAAGGCATCTTTGCCTCTCATGAGGATTATTATGTTAGGTGTTAACTAGTCTTCCTTCTTTCATTCTGCCCACCTACACAATCACAGCCATTGTGTTCTTTTAAAACAACAATGGACCCTAGAGAATTGAAAACGTGTTCACATAAAAACAGGTACACAAATTGTCATAGCAGCATCATGCATAATATCTAAAAAGTGGAAAGAACCCAAATGTCCGTTACCAGATGAACGGACAGATGAGTGTGGTCTTTCCACACGATGGAATACTACTCAGCCAGGAACAGGAATGGCATGTAATGCTGCTGTAACATGGAGGAGCCTTGGGAATGTGCTGAGAGAAGCTAGATGTGCAAGGCCATGTGCCATAGGATTCTGCTTATATGTAATGTCCCAACTAGGCAAATCCATATAGAGAGGCAGAAAGTAGATTAATGGTTGCCAAGACCCTGGGGGAGAAGAGTTTGTAGGACTAACTGCCTAATGGATATAATGTTTCTTTTGGGGGTGGGGATGATAAATGTTCTGGAATCAGTAGTGGTGGTCGCACAACATCGTAAATATACTAAAATCCATTAAATTACATACTCAGTTAAAATGGTAAATTTTAAATTATGTGAATTTTATCTCAATTTTTAAAAATGTACATGGGATCCTGTTACTCCCTTGCTCAAAACCTCTAATGGTTCCTCATTTCTTTGACAGAAGGAAGTACTTAGAAGAGCTCCCAGGCATCCTATTGCCTCTTTGGCTTCATCTCCTGCTCTTCCCCACATTCCCTCTACTCCAGCCACACGGTCTCCTTGGATTTCTTGACTAGGCCAGGCATGCTTCACACTCAGGACCTTGAATCTTTTTCTTCTTCCTTTTTTTTTTTTTTAAAGATTTATTTATCTGTTTTTAGAGAGAGAGAGTACAATGGAGAGGGGCAGAGGGAGAAAGAGTCCCAAGCAGATGCCACACTGAGCAGGGTGCCCGATATAGGGCTTGATCTCATGACCCTGAGATCACAACCTGAGCCAAAATCATGAGTCAGACATTTAACCAACTGAGCCCTCCAGGCATCCTGACACCTCAAATCAATTCTCTTTGCCTAGATATTCCCTTGGCATGTTTCCCAACGTCCTTCAAGGCTTTGTTCCGCTCAGCGAAACCTAGCCTGGCCACTGTGTTTGTACTCACAAGCCCCTTTCCACTTTTGCACGCCTAGTAACCTCATACCCTGCTGGTTTTCCCTCTGCATTTGTCACCTTCTTTCATACTAACCATTAGCTTTTTATGTTTACTGTCTGTCTTCATCAAAAAGAATATAAGCTCTACTGTCAATAACTCTTTAAGTATTTGTTGAATGAATAAGGCACAGAGGGGTTAAGTAACCCACATGAGTCACAGAGCTCCCATTAGAGGGGCCGTGAATCACACACAGGCAACTTGGCTTCAGAGTTCAGGCTCTTCACCACGATGCTAATACTGTGAGGGCAGTCACTGAACTGCTTTCCTCTGTGTGTCTAATAAATAAAGGAAATGCTTTTTTTTTTTCCTTTTTTCCTTTTTTATGATCAAGTCTGATGATTTGAAGAAGAGACGAGAGCCTCACATCTGTGCTTTAAGGTAAACAACTGATCATATTTGTTGGGTGCGGAAGATGTTATGTCATATAACATTATGTTATTATCCCATTTCATAGAGGAGGAAACAGACTGAGAGATTAAGTAACTTCTTCAGGCCTTCCTAGATGAAGACAGAGGGAGCTAAGATGCAAACTCAGGTCTGTCTGAGTCCAACTTCTCAGTGTTCAACCTTGTTAGTAATCAGGGAAACACTGCTGGAACCATTTTTCACATATTAGGTTGGAAAATATTCAAAACCCCCAGTGTTAACAGAGTATAGATCCCTTTATACACTGCTGCAGTTTTTATTAGATGATGGTTTTAAAAACTGTATCAAAACTTAAAATTGTGCTTATCTTTTTGTAGTGTCATTCAACTTAAAAGAATTTATCCTGTAAAAAAAAAAAAAAAGAATTTATCCTGAGAAAATAATCAAGGATATGCTCAAAAATCCCATACAAGTTCTCGTGTTGTAATGTTTAAAATAATGAAAAAAAATTTAAAGATTAATTTAGAAAGAGCATTCACAAGTTAGAGGAGGGGCAGAGGAAGAGAGAATCTTAAGCAGACTCTCCCTGAGTACAGAGCTTTATGCAGACTTCAGTCCCACAACCCTGAGATCATGACCTGAGCCAAAATCAAGAGTCGGATACACAATCCACTGAACCACCCATGCACCCCAAAACAGTGAAAAATTGTGTACAAATAATATGACCGTGCATTGAGATTTATATAGATGATGATACAAGCATGAGCAGAAAACTGCAGCCTTTAAATATAATATGTGTGAACTTTTACACATGAGGATGAAAAAGTTAAACCTGATTTCACTAATTCTAAGATACGTTTTCTTTTTTTAACACGTCAGCACTGCTGAGATCCGGTGTCTCACAAATTACTGTTGTGTCCCAGTTTAACTGGCAATACTTTTTAAGTAATATGTAAAATAATATTTCTTACAGGGGAGGCATGTTAGACTTGATGCAGTACACTTGTCAAGAGAAAAGATGGCAAAACAGCACACACAGTGTGAATGATTTTTCAAAAAGGGATCTGTTTGGCTAAGTACAAAGGAAAAGACAGAAGAATGGAATGTTTAAATCTGGCTAGTAGGATTTCAGATTTTTTTTAACAGTTTCTTTTTACTTATAGAGTGTTTTTCCTCACTTAGTTTTGCTACAGTAGCACATGTTACTTTGTAATAACTTTTTTTGTTATGCAGAAGTCATTTTTTCTCATTCTCTTTTTTCCTCTGGGACATTTTCATATATAATGGCAACCTGCACAGATTGTTATTTCTTCCAGATTCTGAAGTATTGCTCATGGGATCCCTGGGTGGCACAGCGGTTTGGCGCCTGCCTTTGGCCCAGGGCGCGATCCTGGAGAGCCGGGATCGAATCCCACGTCCGGCTCTCGGTGCATGGAGCCTGCTTCTCCCTCTGCCTGTGTCTCTGCCTCTCTCTCTCTCTCTCTCTCTCTGTGACTATCATAAATGAATAAAAATTAAAAAAAATATATGAAATATTGCTCATGCATTAACTGTAACTCATAATATTTCATATTTACTTAGACCTTTTGTTGTTGTTGTTCCAAAGAAAGGCAATCACACTTTAAAATATCCCCTTAGTTCACAGCATGACTCTGGTAAGCATTTCCTTTGGGACTGAGGTTCCATTCTGTACCCACAGGATAACAGCCAGATGATGTGAGAGATGAGATTCCATAGTCTATAGAAAGGTGATCTTTATACTTACCAGTTGGGTTCTGTGATTTTTCTGATAAATTCAATTAATAAATGAGAATAATGATAAAATAACCCTGTCCTTATGACACTCTCAGAGAGAAACTATAGAAAGAGCTTTTTATGGAATACATTTGAGGAAACCAATACTACCAGTAAAAGAAGGAGTTAAGGCTTTGATAATAATTGCTTAAAGTGTCAAGATTTTGCAGAAATGTTTGCCATCCACAACCTAAGCCTCCTTCAGCACTTTGCTAGTTCATTCAATATAACTTGCAACTCTGTTTTTGAAGTTACATGGCACTTCTGGTTAGACCAGCCTAGCACAGTGCTTTATAGAATTTTTTGGATTGGCAATGCATAGTGTAGATTAAAATTTTAGGAGATCAGCCTGGAGACATGATATTTAATTATGAACAGCGTAGTTGCATTTTATGGGAATTTGAGTTATGTACATTTGGAGGAAGATGATCCAAAAACTACTGTCTGTGCAAAATGTGAACCGATATAAGTCCTTTCAAAATGTTTTCAATTCTTCAAGAGTAGCATAATTTCAAATTTGGTTGGCTGAGTGAGTTATAAATTGTGTTAAAGAGATTTCTATAGAGAGCCACATTAGCTGTTGAATGGGAATGTTCAGCATCTCTTATTGGTATCCTGCTAGCATCAGAACTTCTATGAGAGTTTTTCCAGATCCTACACAGTTAGCATAATATTCACCATTATTACAGCTTAAAGTTTTTAATCTGCAACAGTGTCACCCAAGTGGTCACTAACCAGTGGAATAGTATTAGTGCTGGAAAATATGTCTAAAAATCAGTAACCTCAGAAAGGAACATCGGTGTGATAAATTATGAGAGAGGGCAAAGCACTGCTGTGATAGGGCATAATATGAATTTAAGAGGAAGAAAGTAAAATGAAACAGCAGAACAAAAATCTGTTACAGTAGAGAGATTTGTATTTTTTTTCTCTTTATTTCGGTTCCAAGTCCTTAAGGGGCTACTGCAGCCTCTAGGAAAAAGTAGCTGTGGCTGAGATCCAAACACTATGGCTAACAAGTTACCCTTGTTGACATTTCTAGGAAAGTTCTGTTTGAGGATTTCCGGACCTGGCTTGCTGACATTTCCCAGATTGACCTGGAATCAACTATTGACATGTCCTGTGCTAAATACGAATTCTCCGGTAAGAAAGATAAAGCCCTTGATGTCTGGAGGACTCACAGGCTTTTAACTAAACAGTGGCAGCAAAATAGCATTGGCGTGCCTGGATCCTAGACTTGCACATGTCCCCTCACAGCAGTAGGAGCTTCTTAAGAAGGAAAATTTGACCCGGCTCAAACACCGAAACACCCATCTTATTGGAAGGGATAAAGCTGTGGTTCTCTTTGGTGGAAATATGATGGAGGCTGTTGACCAAATTTTCAGAAAAATGCTGATAATGCACACACATGCCGACTTCGGGTACAGTGTCAGGAAACTCAGAGGTAGTATTGTAAACTACTCTTAGGCTTCCTAGGGAGCAAATATCACTTGGAGCCTCTTTTTCTTTTCTTTCTGTTGTTATTGTTTTTGAAGGTAATAATGGACTACATTCTTAAGGAAAAAAACTTGGAACAGCATAGAAGGATGCATTGTAAACTTTGACAGGCCCCAGCACCTTCTCTTTGTCTCCATTTCTCTTCAGAGGTATCCTTTGTCACCAGTTCCCTTTTGTGAGCATAGAAATGTCCTTTTGAAAACGTGTTTGCTTTTTCACCTGAAAGAAAAAGTGTTTTGGTTTGTTTTACTAAGTGAAATTTTGACTTGAGTTTACTCTCATACAGTATAAAGTATAATGGGGAAGTATAAATTGGTAACAACCTTTTGAGGATAACTGAGTGATACACAGGACGAGTCCTAACATACACACTTTTTAAAAACTTTTTCCTTTTTAATTGAAATAATTTCAAACCTACAGAAAAGTGGCAAGCTTCACACAAATAATTTTTCCTGTTTTACTTGAGAGTAAGTTGCTGTACTACTACATAATTCCCGTGAACTTCAATAATTCCTACAACAGGGACGTTCTCCTAGATGATGGCAATAAACCATCAAAACTAGGAAATTAAGGGGCGCCCAGGTGGCTCAGTCAGTTAAGTGTCTGCTTTTGCCTCTAGTCATGATGCTGGGGTCCTGGGATCAAGCCCCACATTGGGCTCCCTGCTCTGCAGGGAGCCTTGCTTCTCCCTTTCCCTCTGCCTGACGCTCCCTCTGCTTGTGCTCTCTCTCTCACACACATACTCTCTCTCAAATAAATAAAGCCTTTTTTAAAAAATCAGGAAATTAAGATCAATACATTATTCCCATCTAATCCATAGGCTCCATTCAATTTCAGTTATTTGGTACTTCTTGGCCAAAGGATCCCATCCAGGATTACACAGTACACGTAGCTGTCATGCCTGGTTTGGTCTCTCTCAATCTAGAACAGTTCATCAGTTTTGCCTGGACTTTCATGGTTTTAAAGTTTGCAGATGTCTCATTTGGCAAATCTTCCCTCAATTAGGTTTGTCTGATGCTTCCTCGTGATTAGATTCAAGCCTTGCATTTTTGGTAGGAATGTTACAAAATTAATTATGCTTTTTTTTTTTGTTTTAACTACATCAAGTGGTACATGGTTTCTACGTGTATTGGTCTAGTCATACTAACTTTGATTACTTAAGGTGGTAGCTGATGTCACGTTTCCCACTGTAAACTTAATTCTTTTTCTCTCTGTAAGTTAATAAGAATTTTGTGGGGAGATACTCAAAGATTATGTAAATATCCCATTTCTCCTCCAACTTTAATTTGCTTGTTTTAGCATCCTCTGCCATTTCTTGCTAAATTATTATTTATGCAGTTGCCAAATGGTAATTTTTTTAATAATAAAATCATTTCCTTTACACTTATTAGTTATCATTCTGCTGTAAAGGAAACCTTCCCCTCTTTCCATTTGTTTATTCATATATTTGTCAGTGTAGATTTAAGGGTTACTATTTATATAATGGGCTATAATCAGTTGCTGTATTATAGTGATGCTCATACTGTCCCTGATTTAATCAATGGGAGCCCCTTTAAACTGATTTCCATGTCCTGTTGATGTGTCCCCATCATTCTTATGTATCTTATTTCCTAGCAAAACAAGATTTTTCAGGCTTGTCTTATATTTCCCCTGCTCTAGACTCAGAGTCTGCCATTCTTCCAAAGAACCTTGGTTGCTTTTAGTGATAAATGCTGCTTAAAAATCAGGATCTGGACTCTAGGTGTTTTTGCTATTAGGGCATCACTGCTCCCAGGCCTTTCAGTGGAAAAGAGGCAGCAAACACAGATGCATGTACATTCACATGTGAATTTATGTGTTTATCTAGAAGATCTAGAAATATGTAGATATCTGACTATATAAATATCTACATACATAGGAAACTCAATTCACATTGATTCCTACAGTTCCAGTTCAACACCATAGGGTTAATCCCACATTTCTCCATTTCTGTATTTGTAATTTCCTTCCTCAGCAATGAGAACCATGGTTTCCATTATTTTCAGTGTATTTCTTTATCAAAACAATCCCTCCATGTGTGAACAATCACAGTTCACTGTAGCATACCTTCCCTCTCCTGCCCTGCACGGATGCCTACCTTGCTTAGTCCCACCTGACCCTTTTAGATGTTTTAGCTCAGGAAATTAACAGGAACCAGTACCAAAAGATCTATGTACAGTGATGTTCATTTGATCATTGAAGCATTTTTCTTAATAGGTGAGAAATGGAAACAAGTAGAAGGGCTTTTTAAAAAAGATTTATTGATTTGAGAGATCGAGAGAATGTGAGTGGAGGGGAGGGTCAGAGGGAGAGGGAGAAACAGGCTCCCTGCTGAGCAGGAAGCCCAATGTGGGGCTCGATCCCAGGACCCTGAGATCATGACCTGAGCCAAAGGCAGATGCCTAACTGAGTGAGCCACCCAGGTGCCTAGGTAGAAGATAATTAAAGGAGAAAGAAGATAATTCATAATCTGTATAGTAGAATAACTATACAGCCATTAAAAAATCAATGACAGATGTGTATAGTGATAGAGATGGACACTTGCCAGGTAATAAAACATCCACCAAAGAATCATTGTAGGACACCCATTTTTTCTTTAAAGCAAATGTATATAGGAAAAATACTGGAAGAATATATGAAAAAAATACTGTTAATGATTATCCCTGGGATCTGTCCGTATATTTGCTCTTTAGTGCTTTTAGAGTTTTCCATGTGCCCTGTTTTATGTCTCTGATTATAAAACAGGAATGATACATGTCATTTCAGAGCTGGAGGAGCTCACAGTACAGGTGAACATCAGATGGACCAGTATTAAATCGCAGGATCAGATTAGTGGCTGCTCCTTGTGGTCACAGGGACGTTAAAGTATGTGTTGCACTATTGCAGATGCCCTCCTCTGCCATGACGACGAGCTGGAAGGGCGCCGGATAGCCTTCATTCTGTACCTGGTTCCTCCCTGGGACAGGAGCTTGGGGGGCACCCTGGACCTGTATGACGTTGATGGTAAGACAGGCACATGCTCATAAGCACTAGTAGCCACTTCAGAGCTCTTATACACAATGCATGTACTCCTCCAAGGAGCTGGAAGCCATTCAGTCGGGTGACAGTCTCAGGGGGAGTGGACACCAGCCCTGACAGCAACCTCTCTACATTGTACTTGGAGTCATTACTCCTGAGGGGGAGTCTGTTGACATGAGGACTAGTCATTCCCTACTCCTGAGTAATGACCGTGGAAAGTGCAGCACCTGGAAAGCTACTTGAAGCCATCGGTCTGCCGGGGCCAGTCCATCTGACAGGAAGTCAGGGTTGTTTCCTAATGACCAACACCAGATGTTGACTTTAGAAAACTTTCCAAACTTATTGTCCCCCTCCTCAATAACAGACAGATGCCATAGTAAGAACAGTGGTCACCTAGTGGAACTAGCAGGCATGAATGAAACAGATGGAAGGGGGTGGCATTTTGGGATCTGCAGGGTACATGAAATTCCCCTCAGAAATCTGAAAACTGTCAAAGTGAAACAAGGCAGCCTGAAAGTATTCAATGGTAACAAAGTCACATTTGTGGTTGTGTTCTCTCCTGGTGCAGAACACTTTCAGCCAAAGCAGATTGTCAAGTCTCTCATCCCTTCATGGAACACATTGGTTTTCTTTGAAGTGTCTCCAGTATCCTTTCACCAGGTAAAGATTATAAGCCACAAATATATAGCATACTAGGAATCATGCCTAGGAATCATCCTCTGTTAACAAAATGTGACAGCTTCCTGTTGGACTTCCATGGCCAGGTGGTACCCACATCCAGCGTGACAGATCTGGAAGTTGGCACGCCGTGGCCAGTCATCCTCCGACTTAGCTGGTACGTTCATCTGCTGCTCTCCTTGTCCTTTCAGGTGTCTGAAGTCCTATCTGAAGAAAAGTCACGTTTGTCTATAAGTGGCTGGTTTCATGGTCCTTCACTGACCCGACCTCCCAACTACTTTGAACCTCTCATACCTCGGAGCCCTCACATCCCACAAGATGTAAGGATAAACGCCTGTTCTTATCTTAGAAGCTTTACTGTATGGTTTGTTTTCCTGATAATGAAACTGGACTTTGAGTTTCCTCTTTCACTTTTCTTAGGTAAACTTTTGATAGTGTTTCTCAGGCAGTTTTCCAGCACTTTTAAGTGTAACAAGGAGAAGATAATAAAGTGAGGTTTTGCATATATTTTACTAGCATGAAGTGATGTAAGAACAAAGGCAATAGGAATTGTTAATTCACATTTTGCATCTGCTGCTTCTTTGTAAGCATGAAATTTTGTATGATTGGATCAACCCTACTTATCTGGACATGGATTACCAAGTTCAAATTCAAGAAGAGTTTGAAGAAAGGTCTGAAATTCTCCTCAAGGAGTTCCTTAAGGTAAGCCAGCACATCCTGTCCAGTCTATCTTGGGGACGTAAGTAGCAGGCCCTAACAAAATCTCATTGTTAAAACAACTTGTACTTTTGTCTTTCTTGCTGCTTGGATGGGTGAATAGACATCACTAAAGGAGTTTTTGGTTAGTTCCTGGTTAGAATGTTTATATCATCCTTTTCTTCCAGTAAAATATACAAGCGATGCTAGTAGCTAACGTTGGTATTGGTTGTATGCTTAGTGGGTTAAGAGTCCCTAATGTGGGGATGCCTGAGTGGCTCAGCGGTTGAGCATCTGCATTCAGTCCAGGGCATGATCCTGGAGTCCTGGGATCGAGTCCCACATCGGGCTTCCTGCATGGAGCCTGCTTCCCCCTCTGCCTATGTCTCTGCCTCCCTCTGTGTGTATCTTTCATGAATAAATAAATAAATAAATAAAATCTTTAAAAAAAAAATAAGAGTCCCTAGTGTGTTACCTAGTTATCTGGAATCTCAGTGCTACACACACAGACACACACACACACACACACACACACACACACACAAACTTCTATGCTTGAGAGGCAGCTTCCTTCCTATTCATTTGGCAAATATGGTTTCCTAGAAGTTTACTATTGCTTTTAGTAAAAAATAGATTATTAACTGATCATCACGTATTAATGACTGTTTGACAATGACAAGACAGCGTGTTTCAGCAGAGAGGAAAGTATATCAGGAGTCAGAAGACTTTATATTCATGTCCTGGCTCTGTGGTTTTACTAACCTGAGCAAGTCACTGAATTTCCCAGAGCTTTTAGTTCATCATCAGTGAAACTGGGATGAGAGCTGCCTTGCTCATATTGAAGAGTTGTTGTGAGAGCAAAACAAGATGTGGTGTGGTGCTTCACAGTTGACCCTGGGTCCCATGGAAGCACAAACCCAAGAGCTTTCCTCCATGAGAAGAAGATTGAGACAGACTCATACTGTCTCTCACTCTCTCTGTCTCTCTGTCTCTCTCAGAACTTTAAAGCTGACATTAGCATATCAAAGAATTTGAGAAGTCTTATAGTAAATAAACTTGTTTGATCATATTTTATTTAGCCTTACCTAAACCAGGCTTTGGGATCCTCTTTCCTCTTTTACAGCTGATAGGGCTACTGTTTTGAGACCACTCCTTGGGAAGCTATGTTAAACATATACATAGAAAGCAGACTTAATAGATTAATCAGCTTCTTGCTTTACACTTGGCTTTTTCTATTTAGAAAGTTGGTTACATAAGGGTGAGGCCTACAGAGACTCTCAGCGTGATGACGTTGACTATTAGGCAGTTTAACTGTTTTTCCTCACATCTTATGAATTGAAGAGACTGTATTATGATCTTTGTTTTATAAATACAGTAGTCTGAGAGGTTTAGCGATTTGACATGAGCTGTACAACCACTAGTGGAAATAGCCCAAATTGACACTGGAGTGAGTTGGCATGCTGATGATTATCAGTCTTTGTTCTGGCTGCACTGTATCAGGCCTGGGGGATCTTGGGCAAAGGGGATGAGTGTCTACTGGCCTTTTTAGGAATCAGCCAGCAGGATTCTGCAGTACAGTCCTGCCTGTAAGACCAGTGTGGGATCCTAGGGAGACTTGCAAACTGCTTCTTTCTTTGCTCATTTTCCAGCCTGAGAAATTTGCGGAGGTCTGTGAGGCTTTGGAGAAAGGAGATGTGAAATGGAGCAGCCGAGGTCCCCCTAACAAAAGGTAGCATCCAGACATTTGCTTTTGCATTCAGCACCTGCCTATTTGACTTCCAATAATAGGACATCGGCCCTGATGATGTTTCATTCCCAGGGACATCCAGTAGCACACCTTGACAGAGCCTACTTGTGCTTGAGTTGGCTGTGTAAGGACTTAGGGAGTGGGGTACAAAACTGGTGATCAGCTTTACCCCATGAATAATTGTACATCTGTGCCTTTGATAAACAGCCTGGCATTACTGCTTTCCAGGTTTTATGAGAAAGCTGAGGAGACCAAGCTCCCCGACATTCTGAAGAACTGCATGGAATTATTTCGCTCCGAGGCTCTGTTCTTGCTGCTGTCCAACTTCACAGGCCTCAAACTTCACTTCTTGGCCCCTTCAGAAGAAGATGAGATGGAGAACCAAAAAGAGGGAGAAGGAGCCTCTGCCACTGATAACACTGAAGAAGGGACAAGCCACAGCTCCCCTGGGCCAGAGAGCAAGCAGACAGCCTTCCGCAGCCGCAGCCAGCAGAGCCAGGAACAGACAGACCCGGAGTCAGAGGAAAATGAAGCAAAGAAAGGTAAGCCATGGTTATGATTCATCCTTAGTGACCATTAAGCATTCACCATTCAACCACTGATTCATCCAGCAAACATTTCTTGAGCATCTGTGATCTTCTAGGCCTGCTTTGGGAGCTGGAGAACAGAACAAAGTCTTCGCTCTCCCAGAGCTTATATTCTAGGGGGAGAGGACACAGATTAAACGTGTCCACAAACCACAATGAAACAATAATGAGAAGCATTTGCAGAAAATTTGAATAGGGTTGTGTGCTGAGAAACGACCCAACTGGCCTCTGAGGTGACCGGGCAATTAGAAAAGCCTGTCTCAGGAGCAGTTGTCCAAGCTCAAATCAGAATAACAGGAAGAATCTGTGGGAAGAACATTCTAGTTTGGAGGAGCAGCCATACATTTTATTAGGCTAACAATATATCAACAATGGACAGAAATAGGACTGACTTTGCCCCCAAACTACTCTAAAACACAAGAATATCAAAGAAAGGAAAGTGAATGGCTTATTTCTGCCAAGGATCAATAATAGCCTAAGAAAAACTTGCTTGAATTTGGGCAGATAGGTAGAAGGAAATTATTAAAAGCAGATGAAGTCTAGGGGCACCTGGCTGGCTCAGGTGGAAGAACGTTTGACTCTTGATCTCGGGGATGAGTTCGAGCCCCACATGGGGTGTGGAGATTAGTAAAAATAAATAAATAAATAGACTTTTAAAAAAAAGTACAGGAAGTCTTTCCTTCTCTACAAACAAGATCAAAAAGAGAAAAAGATAGGAAATTTAGGAGGTTAGACTTCTGTGGAAATTTTGGCACCAGTAACTGAGCAGCTACCAATTCAGTGTACACAGTTTGGCACCTACTAAATCAGACAAGAACATCTGGTGCCCAATTCCTCTCCTCAGTTTTACTCGGCCTGCTTACATTCTGATTTCTTGAGAAGGACCCTATTGCACTCAGAAGAGCAAAGACAAGAGAGATAGGTACCCACGGAAACAAAGCCAGCAGCGAGACACAGAATCCACAGCAGCGTAACACGATTCTGTGGCCTCCCAAACTGACTGACCTGTCGCTTTGGTCACCGTGGATACTTAGAACAACCAGAGCCAGGTGGCCTTTTCTGTGCTAGTCAATACACAGGATAGCCTTTCTTCAAGAAAAAGGTTGACATTCCTTGAGAATCAATATTGGCATCTATACCTAGACCCTAAAAGAAATCAGGTGAAGATCAATGGGGCCTTGTGGGCTTCTTTTTTTTTTTTTTAAATTTTTTATTTATTTATGATACTCACAGAGAGAGAGAGAGAGGCAGAGACATAGGCAGAGGGAGAAGCAGGCTCCATGCACCGGGAGCCCGACGTGGGATTCGATCCCGGGTCTCCAGGATCGCACCCTGGGCCAAAGGCAGGCGCCAAACCACTGCGCCACCCAGGGATCCCTCCTTGTGGGCTTCTTAAAAAAGTATTTGTTAACTTCTCTTCCTTTTTGGTTTCATTTTCATGGGAACCTGGAACTTGGAAAATATCTATACAGGCAGCCAAAAGATGCTTTGTTCTATTACTGAGCATCTACTGGTTGCAAGTCACTGGGCCAAAGCAGGTGGCAATACAGAGGCAAATGTGAAAAGTAATTGTTTGTAAAGTTTATCATCTTAAAAAAGTGGGGACAAGGCCAGAACTTTTATAACTTTAGAGGTTTTATAACTTTAGGATGTTAAATGTAACCTGCATGGTACCCAGAAAGAAAATAACTATAAAATAATACATAGGAGAAAATGAGAAAGGAACTTAAACATTTTCAATAGCAAGAAACCAACTAAACACAAAAGACTATAATACAGGAAATGAGGGACAAAAAAGCTGTAAGGCTTTTAGAAAGCAAAGAGCAAAATGACAGATTTAAATTCCTCTTTACTAGTAGTTACCTTAAATGTAAGTGACAATCAAAAGACAGAGATTGACTGAATAGACAGCAACACAGAACTCAAACTATCTGCTGTCTACAAGAGACTCACTTGTGATCCGGAGACACAAATAGATTGAAAATAAAAAGATGGAAAAAGATGTTCCATGCAAATAGTAACCAGAAGAGAGCGGGAGTGGCTCTATATCAAACAAAATAAACTGTGTTTTTATTTATTTATTTTTAAGTAGGCTCCACGCCCAGCATTGGGGCTCAAACTCATGACCCTGAGATCAAGAGTTGCAGTTTACCAACTGAGCCAGCCAGGCACCCAAACAAAATAGACTTTAAATCAAAAAAATTAGGGTGCCTGGGTGACTCGTGGTGGACTGTCTTCCTTCAGCTGCGGGCATGATCCCGGGGTCCTGGGATCGAGTCCCACATCGGACTCCCTGCGTGGAACCTGCTTCTCCCTCTGCCTGTGTCTCTGCCCCTCTCTCTCTGTGTCTCTCATGAATAAATAAATAAAATATTTAAAAAAAAAAAAAGATTAGAAGAGACAAAGAAGTACATTCTATATTTTTAAAAGTTCAGTACAGCAGGAAGATACAATGATTACAGATGTTTCTGTACCTGATGACATTCTGAAAGTAATATGAAGCAAAAACTGACAGAATTGGAGGGAGAAATGAGACAGTTGTCCAGTAGTGGCTAGAGATGTCAGTGCCCAAGAGGACTGAACACGATAAACCAGCTAGATATAACAGGTTTAACACAGAACATTCTGGGACGCTTGGGTGGCTCAGTGATTAAGCGCCTGCCTTTGGCCCGGGGCATCCTTGGACATCAGGATCATGGGGCATCCTTGGACATCAGGGAGCCCAGGACCTGCCCAGACAGGCTGAGGCTGGGCGTGGTGGATGGGGTAATGGCTGTGGGAGCGGCTGCCATTCTGCAAGCCGTGCTCCCTCCTCTGGGCTCTGAGTATGGGACCTAATGCCAGTGGCTAGAGGACAGGGAGTCTGTGCCAACCGAGGACTCCATCCAGAGAAAAGAGAGGAAGGTGCAGGGTGGGCCAAGAGGCAAATGAAGGTTGTTGGCCTACATCTGGGCCCAAACTCGAAGGATGTCCCTTCTCTGCTGGAAACTCTAGCTTCTTGTCAAAAAAGGTAGGAAATTGTCCTTGGCCCTTGAAGTGGGCTGAAGCCCTTGGCAAGTGACTAGGAAGTCCTCGCGTCTTGCCTTTCCTTGCTGCAGAGGGTAGTGGGTCACAGGCAGCTGAGAAATGGCAGCCACGGAAGGTCCCCTCTGGGAGAAGCAGCTCTGCCCTGGTGGCAGGCCCCTGGGCCATGCTGCAGTGGTACTGGGAAGTCAGGAGGGAGCTGCCTAGAGGAGGGGACTCCCACCTGCCTTTTATTTAAGCCAGTATTCTTTGTTCCTGCTTGTAATAAAATTTTTGTTTTTAAGAGTTAAAAAAAAAAAAGGCTTTCTGTTATTTTTTCTTAGACTCAAGTGTTCCCACATGCCAGGGGGAGCTGAGGCGTTGGAAGACTGGTCACTACACTTTGATCCATGACAACAGCAAGACTGAATTTGCCCTGGACTTACTTCTCTACTGTGGCTGTGAAGGTAAGACGCAGAAAGGACCACAGTGAACTGTTCCCTTAAGAAGGGAGTCTCCTGGTGGCTCTCTCCAGCTGAACCAGTTTAGAAGTAATGTGCCTTGGCCAGGATAGCAGATCACAGAAGCTCCCTGTTGGAGGGGATCTTGGGGGGTCATGAACTTCAGGCTCCCAACCCAGAGGATTTTATTTTTGACTTAGGTATGGGGGATGGGGACCAAACCATAATTTCCCACCAATGAACCCCCCAGATCTACATCTTTTATGTAATTGTCCTTCCAGGTGCATTTTACATTTAATTCTTCATTTTCAGTTCTTACTCAATGTTGATTGAATGGTAAATTCAAGCTTATAGTTCATAGAATCAGTTACTAGTACTGAGCTCACAGATTCCCCAGCTTTAAGCAATGTGGGATCAGCGATGTAAGAAGATGATGGAGAGCTTTCTGAATGCTGTTTGTTTTCCCTTTGTAAGGCTGGGAGCCAGAATTTGGTGGTTTTACTTCCTACATTGCCAAAGGTGAAGATGAAGAGGTAAGTTGCTTCTGACAGCAAACTATCTTTTTTAGTTCTTTTTTTTTTTTTTTTAAGATTTTATTTATTTAGTCATGAGAGACACAGAGAGGCAGAGACACAGGCAGAGGGAGAAGCAGGCTTCCCATGGGGAGCCCGATGTGGGACTCGATCCCGGACCCTGGGATCACACCCTGAGCCAAAGACAGACACTCAGCTGCTGAGCCACCCAGGCATCCCTCCTTTTTAGTTCTTAAGGAAGCTTTCATTCTTCAGAGACCCAGTTTTTGTGACCTTCTGCCAGTGTCTTTAGCTGATAAATCCATGATGATCTCCCTGCATCCCTCCTTTTTAGTTCTTGAGGAAGCTTTCATTCTTCAGAGACCCAGTTTTTGTGACCTTCTGCCAGTGTCTTTAGCTGATAAATCCATGATGATCTCCCTGCAGTGGTTCTAATTTATAATAGTGTATATTCAGCAGACAGGTGAACAGAACAGAGCAATACATTATATTGAATATACATTATATTAAATTCAATGAAAGGATAGAAGGTAAAGGTAAAAATTTTTAAAGACTAAAAAAAAAAAAAAAAAGGAGAGAAAATGTAACCTCAACTCCATGGCCAACTAACTCAAGCAGGAGAGAATATCCAGTGGAAAAAGGACAATCTCTTCAACAAATGGTTTTGGAAAAATTGGACAGAATGAAACTGGAGCATTTTCTTAGACCATATACAGAAATAGACTCAAAATGGATGAAAGACCTACATGTGAGACAGGAATCCATCAAAATCCTAGAGAGCAGAGGCAGCAATCTCTGTGACCTCAGCTACAGCAACTTCTTGCTAGACGTGTCTCCAAAGGCAAGGGAAACAAAGGCAAAAATGAACTATTGGGACTTCTTCAAGATAAAAAGCTTTTGTACAGCAAAGGAAATGGTTGACAAAACCAAGATAGCTGACAGAATGGGGGATGTTTGCAAATGTCTTATCAGATAAAGGGCTAGTATCCAAAATCTGTAAAGAACTTATCAAACTCAACACCCAAAGAACAAATAATCTAATCAAGAAATAAGCAGAAGAGGGACACCTAGGTGGCTCAGTGGTTGAGCGTCTTGCCTTTGGCTCAGGATGTGATCCTGTGGTCCTGGGATCAAGTCCCACAGCGGGCTCCCTGCGAGAAGCTTGCTTCTCACTCTGCCTGTGTCTCTGCCTCTCTCTGTGTATCCCTAATGAATAAATATTAAAAAAAATAAGCAGAAGACATGAACAGACATTTCTCCAAAGAAGACATACAAATGGCCAACAGACATAGAACAAAATGCTTAGCATCACTTGGCATCATGGAAATACAGAAAAAAACCACAATGAAAGACTATCTCACACCTGTCAGAATGGCTAAAATTAACAATTCAGGAAACAACAGGTGTTGGTGAGGATGTGGAGAAAAGGGAACCCTCTTACACTGTTGGGAAACCAAGCTGGTGCAGCCATTCTGGAAAACAGTGTGGAGCTTCCTCAAAAAGTTGAAAATAGAGCTATCCTACAACCCAGAAATTGCCCTACTAGGTATTTACCCCAAAGATACAGATGTAGTGATCTGAAGGGGCACCTGCACCCCAGTGTTTGTAGCAGCAGTGTCTATAATAGAAGCCCAGATGTCCACTGATAGATGAATGAATAAAGAAGATGTGGAATATATATACAAAGAAATATTACTCAGCCATCAAAATATGAAGTCTTGCCATTTGCAACAACATGGATGAAACTAGAGGGTATTAGACTAAGCGAAATAAGTCAGTCAGAGAAAGTTATAAGATTTCACCCATATGTGGAATTTATGAAACAAAACAGAGGAGCATAGAAGAAAGGAGGAAGAAATCAAACAGTGAAATCAGACAAGGAGACAAACCATAAGAGACTTTTAATCATAGGAAGCAAACAGGGTAGCTGGAGGGGTGAGGGGTGGAGGGATGGGGTAACTGGGTGGTAGGCATTAAGGAGGGCACATGAGGTGATGAGCACTAGGTATTACATAAGACTGGCGAATCACTGACCTCTACCTCAGAAACTAATAATACATTATATGTTAATAAATTGAATTTAAATTTATATATCAATCGATCTATCTATCTATCCATATATATCTTTCTAGGAGCACCTAGCTGGTTCAGTTGGAAGAGTAGGCAACTCTTGGTCTTGGGGTCATGAGTTCAAGCCCCCTGTTGGGAATAGAGATTACTAAAAATAAACTTAAAAAAAAAGTACCCAGCAAGGAATAAAGATGCCAAAGGATGATCAGTAAGCATTTATTCTACTCTACTAAGAAATTGCATGTAAGCTAATAGTTACATGGTGCATTCCCATGAAATCTTTCAATATAGTAAGAAATAAATGCATTAGGTAAAATATTTCTGGGTATGTACTGGAATGGGACTCACGAAAATGCCTTGACAGCCAGAGGCTCCTCCTAGTAAAGGATCTTTTTAAAGATCCTCTACTGCCAGTCTGAGTACATGATGTGAAAACCATCTGTTTCATGGTGAATCATTGAAGAAAAGAGTTGAGAATAAGTTCTGTGTTCTGATGTGTCATTATATTTACTTATTTCAGCTGCTAACAGTGAATCCAGAAAACAACTCTTTGGCATTGGTCTACAGAGACAGAGAGACTCTCAAATTTGTCAAGCATATTAACCACCGAAGCCTCGAACAAAAGAAAGCTTTCCCAAATAGAACCGGTTTCTGGGACTTTTCATTTGTCTATTATGAATGACAGGGCTGGGCAAAACTGAAAGAAAGAGACCCCTCCTCGGTACTGGGAAGTACGCAAGAGCCACGAGGTGACCCATGTGATGGTGTCCTTAGAATCTGTGTGTGGTAGGACTCCTCATCACTGTCCTCAATCTAGACCTTGGGCTTGGAGCCAGGTACTTCTCTCTTGATTTAAAAAAAAAAAAAGGCTTTTTTTTTTTTTTTTAATGTTCACTTTTTTGTTTTCCATATGGGCTTCCTTAGTGATTTTTCAAAAGTTTTTGTGAGTGGTAAAATATACATGACATAAAGTGTACCATTTTAAGCAACTTTAAATGTACACTTCAGTGACATTGAATACACTCATGTGGTTGTGCACCTGTCATCACCATCCACCTCCAGAACGTTTCCATCTTCCTGGACTAGAGCTCTGTCCCCATTAAAGACTAACTCCCCACCCCCAGCCCCTGGAAGCCCCCAGCCCTATTCCACTTTCTGGCGCTCTCTGTTCATAGAAGTGGAACAATACAATATTTGTCCTTCTGCAACTGACTTATTTCACCTAGCATAAAGACTTCAAGGTTCATCCATGTTTCCGGTGATTTTTTTTTTTTTTAATACTCAAGGCCCTTTCCTAATCACACTGGTTTAGAACATTACAGAAAGTTCTAGTCTGTTCTTGCTGGGTTCATTACACTTCCTCCCACTGCTTATGGCTTTGTTTCACCTACTCTCCTAGGACAGTGTAGACTTATGATGTTGGTATTCCTGTCTTGGTAAATGTCTGGCCCAAACCACATCTCTCCCCACCCCCCAACCCTCAGAGACTTCTGGTTGGTAGAGGAGAGGGCTACTTGTGCCCCATGTAGTGGTTCCCGGGGCCACTCCTTTTCCATCCTGGAGTTGGGGCTCATATAATATAACTGTATGATTCCGGCCTCACGATGTGTCTTTCCTTCTAAACACTCTCGGGTCAGCTATAAAATTAGTTGCCTTTTTTTTCTTTAAGAGGACAGATGCTAAAGGCCACATCAGAATGCCAAGAGCCCGTCCATTTTGTTACATCCTTTTTCCCCTAGACTGTGGTAGGGATTACATGCTAGGTTCTACCTGTATATGTGGGTGTGCCCGGTGGGCATAGGGGGCGCTGCATCTTTACCTGAAAGATGCTATTCTCATTCCATTGTATTCTTGTTTCCTCTCTCTTTTTTACATTTATTACCAACTGTTACCATAGCTTTTATTTGGGGTTTTATTAATTAATAGGAACAACACTGGGCTTCTGTCTTTGTTAATCCTGTAATATTTGAGTACTGACTCTCTTCCCAAGTCGGCATTTAAATGAGACAATAAGGGCAGCCCCGGTGGCTCAGGGGTTTAGCGCCGCCTTCAGCCCAGGGTGTGATCATGGAGACCCGGGATCGAGTCCCACATCAGGCTTCCTGCATGGAGCCTGCTTCTCCCTCTGCCTCTCTCTCTCTCTCTCTCTCTCTCTCTCTCTCACTCATCTTTCTGTGTCTCTCATGAATAAAGAAGTCTATAAATAAATAAATAAATAAGACAATAAGTTTTGCTTTCTTTTAGGTTGTTTCAATTTTTTTTAAAGTGTTTATTTATTCGTGAGAGACAGAGAGGCAGAGACATAGGCAGAGGGAGAAGCAGGCTCCCTGCGGGGGAGCCTAATGTGGGACTTGATCCCAGTACCCCAGGATCTGACCTGAGCCAAAGGCAGACGCTCAACCACTGAGCCACCCAGGTGCCCTCAAATTTTTTTAAATTTTGCACCCCAGTCAGTAAAAAAATGTTTTAGCATTTATACACATTATATGGATATCTGTCTAGAAACTTTACACAGGCATTAATTTTCAATACCGTTATAAAACACTGATTTTTTTTTTCCCGGGTGAGATGAAAAAGAAGCACCTAGAACTAGCTCCAGTGTCGTCTTCCCATGCCCACACAGTCTGGGCCAGTTTACACGCATACTATTTTGAAGACCATAATTTTTTCACCATGGTTTAGTGACACTCATGTGGAATTGCAACTACTTTGTAACTAATGGCTTCCATTTCAAAGCTTGCCTGAAAAGCAAGTTGCCACAGACTGATGAAGGTCATCCTTATGACATGACTTTCACTCACTTGCTTTCTGATGTGTTTTCATAAGCAGAAGAGAGAGGGATGAGGTTCTAGGGAACAACCTGTCAGTGGCATAACTAAAAGCAGAAGGCCCAGGGAAAAGTGCCAGGCAGGTGAAACCATCACATGTGCCACAATAGGAAAATAGACTGGTGGCTCTAGGTGATACCTATGAGGCCACCCCACTTTTCCTGTTCTGGTGCTCAGTTTAAACCTAAGCATACTACACAAGGGCTAAAATGTGTTTATCAGTTTCTCCTTAATCTCAGTGTGTTTATGGTCTGTCAACACAGCAGAATCTCCTATACGCTATGGAAAAGGATTTTGGTGTCAGAAGGGAGAGAGTCCCTGAGAGCCAAACCCTGATGTTTCTATCGGTTACATCATCTACAGCAGCGCCTCTTAGGCTAGAGGAGCATGTAGCTCACAGGTCACCTTCCTGCAATGACTATGCTCCGTGACTGAGAAGCTATTTTTCCTAGTACTTCATTCTTCATCTGGATTTTTAGGGCTTAATGCCAATGTCAACAGCTGTTGAGTGGCAAAAAGAGGAATTAAAACATGGGCATCTTTTAAATATTCATTTCAGAAAAGAGCTAGGATGTTCACCTGTATAATATGTGGCATCCTTTCTCTTAATTTTTAATAGTGAAGCTCTAATTCTTAGAATTCCTTTTAAAGATTTTTTCCCCCAAAGAGAACTGCTTTATATTGTTTCAGATAAGTAATACATGTTCATTGTGAAGAATTAAAACACGTAAAAATATAAAGGAGTCATCTGGAATCCCACCATCCTGTGACAGCCACTGTGGTGCTTTGTAATGCAGCCACTCAGCTGAACTGAACTGTGTTTCCCAGAATTCTGCTTCCACCCAGGAAGGGTGAGCCACAGATTCTTGTGCAAGATACGGAGGGTCCAGGTTAAGCAGTAGCCACTTCGTAGCTCACACATGTTGCATATCTCTAAGCCTACCTCCCAGTGTGAATCTGCATCTGGGCCGCAAGTCTCCAGCTGCGCCTGGATCTTCAGCAATCATGATCGAAGGTCTGCCTGCCTTGTCCCCTGGGCTTCAAGTTCCAACTCTTCTCTGAGAGAATGTGGCTTCCAGAGACTGCTTTGCCACTTCCTACAGCTGCATAAGGGTCAATCTGCCAGAACAATTCCCCTTTATATATTCATAATGATGGAAATTGAGAACATTTTCATAAAGTTATTTTGAGAGCCTATTGGCATTTCTGTTAGGAGGAGGAAAAATAAGGAAGAACTCTATTAATCTAACTTTGGTCCCCATTTTAAAGATGTGGAAAATGAAGCCTAGAAGGGAAGGGGCTGTTTTTTAACCTGGTTTTTCTACTGCTCGTTGACTGGCTCCCAAACTCCATGGAATGTGGTGGTTTCTTTCCTACAGAACACTGAAAGAAAAAAAAAAATCACTGCTTGGGCTACCTCTCCTAGACCATTATTTCTTCAGCTGGAAGCTTCGGCTGTCTTCTCTCTTCAGTACCATTATGTACTTACTTATGTGCCACTGACAATGAGTGAGAAAATGCAAACCCTGTTAGAAGGGTCCTTGTGACACGAGCTCTCCAGCCCTGATGAACTGAACATTCCTGCAAAAAACACATGATTTCCTTCTCTGATTGATGCAAAATCAGTCCACATAGACAATTCTGAAAACTACTTGGGAATCAGCCATGTGGCATCATTTTAGGAAAAGCAGACTTCTGCACCATACAAATAAAAAGATGAGTCAGGAGCTACAGCATTTAGTGTGGGCAGGGGCCAGATGGGAAAAGAGGCAAAATGCAAAACACCAAGCTGCAAATGGGTGTCTTACTGTACTTCAGTTTCAAAGTGAAAGTGGAGATAATTTAGTTCTGTGATCACAGGACTCTGCACTGGCAGATTTGTAACTGCTAATTATAAAATTTGAAACATAAATAATGTTGGAACTCATTCTTGTAAAGCACTTCTAGGGTTGCATAATTGTTGTAAAGTCCCTAGTTCTTTGATTTTTGAAGCTACTGACGGGCTGGCTGAGGACAGGCAATTCCATGGAGAGCAGCAGGTGCTTTTCTGTGCTCAGGACACTGGCTCTGTGCCCCTGGGACGAGAAAGCTGAGATCCAGCCCTGTTCTCACTAGAGGCTTAACATGGATCTCAACACGGAACTTATGAGGGTCAGGGAATAGCCATGGGAGGGGGCGATCTCCTGAGGAGAGAGCATTTGAGCTGAGCCTTGATGTATGTGGCTAGGCAGGCACACTCCTTCAGGAGTATTGAGTACCTGGATCTGGGTGGGGCAGGGAGACTTGGAAAAGAACTTCAGGCTTCACCCCACATACTGGAATCTTCACGCTCAGCTTTTCACTGAAGGCTCAGTGTTCACTTAGCAAAAAAATGCAGCAACAAAATAGAACTTCTGCTGTGATCCTTAGGAGGCACTCAGATTCTATCAGGATAGAACCATAAGGCAACAACACAGAAAGCTGATGACCAGACAGCTTTTCTCCTCCATAGCCTGAGCACAGTGACTTCTGAGAGGGAAAGTGGTGCTAGAATTTTGTATGAACCTGTCATCCCATCTGGTCTTCACATGACTGGGAACAGTCTGGAAGAGCAGGAAGGGCCATGGCTACCTGGTTTCAGACCCACACCATGACTCACCAAGCTGTGAGACCCTGTAGGAGACATGCAGCCTGAGCTCAGAGATATAAACAGCAAGAGGATCAAATAAATGTGAAAATAACCTATTTGTAACCTATAAATCAGGACTATTTAGAGATATATTTTGCTGCGGGTCAACCCCTTCAAGACTTGCTGTATTTTTAGGTGTAAGAGGGGAGGTTTTTTTCTGCAGAATGACAATGACCTTTGATGAGATTATTCTATTAGGGTCCCTAAAAATGAATAGTGCCATACAATTCAAACCAGTGCCAACCACAGATGGTAATTTCAACACATACAGGTTAGAGTATGGTTAAAAATAGAAAAAGACTCAAGAGTGGGACTTGAGTTTTGCCAGTAACTCTGTGACTCTAGCAGGTGCCTCAGTTTCCTCATCTTTGAAGCACACAGAAGATGCTTTGCCACTTCAGGGATTATGGAAAATAGTACAGTGTGTGTGGGTGTCCAGAACTTACAGGTTGAAAATGCTAACCAAAGATATTCTAGAGCACAGTCCATTAAAATGAGGATTCCATGAAGCTCACACTTCAGAAACAAGAGGTAATCCTAAATGCCTAAATGGAAGAAACCTGTAAAATTAATTTACCACAGGGGGAGAGCCTATCTTCCCCACTACTTAGGAATGCTGGTAGGAAGTGAAAAGTGACCAATGTTTTAGTCATTAAGCCAGTCCTGGAATATACCCGAAGACAAAATTTTCACTCTCAGGGAAGGAGCTGCTTGTTGTTGGCAAAAACACCAGCTTGCTTTTCCTTGCCAACACACAGCTGGCAATATTTCCTGGCCTCATGGCAGTGAGGTATGCCCAAGTCTGCCAAGGGAACGCAAGCGGAAATGATAATGTGCTATTTCCGGACCACAACTTTGATCAAAGCTTTCTGTGTTCTACTGACTTGGATTTAAATCACTGCAAGGTCCTAGGACAGCCCTTCTCACATAGGGTTCCCGGTGCTGTCAGGTCTTCGTTGGATGCAGTGAAGGTGAAAATAGTCACCCAAACAGATTTCCTGAAACCTCTTTCTCTGGAGAACTGGAGAAAGGCTGCCCTAGGGGATGACATGGCTGCAGGATCACAGGAAGCTGGTCCCTGAATAACTACACAAACATCCTTATATAAATGAAAAATAAATGGGTCATTGTGAACTTTGAGGTCTATTAGTTTCAGTAGCCCAACATGACGCCCAACTAACAGATCACCTTCCACTGACTCCCTTAACAGAGAGGTGTCATTTACACCCACCTTTCAGTGATCCAAAGGCACAGAGATCAACATTTCATGCTTGTATTTCCTCCACGTCATACAGATGGCTTATGAAATCTAATACAGTGGTGATTTTACAGTCAACACAAAGTGCAACTCTTAAATTTTAATGAAAAAAACATTTTAATTACAAATTCAATTAAATTTAAAGGAAGAAGATGTATCTATACATCTATACACCAACTTTACATACATACAGAAAAAAATGGACTTTGAAGCCCTTACATTTCAAAGATATCCCCCTCCTCTACACAAACCTGGTATTATCTGGTAACAGTGCAACTGATTCTAAAAATAGAAAGATACACTTTTCAGATGCAGTGGTTGCCTTGCATGTATCACTCACCAAGGCTATTGCCATTTTTAGCACCTGGGTTCACCAGGATGTGATCCAAGCAAACTAGACTCGATTTTTAGGGAAAAACCCTTTCTAGGAACTCCATTACCTAATCTTTCCTAAGAAGAAGCTGTTCCCACACG